ACTAAGATCTAACAGGACTAGAACAGAGAGAAAACCATTGTCTGAGGCCATGAGTAGGTCATTTGACACCTTTAGCAGAGCAGTCTCTGTGCTGTGATGGGTTCTAAACCCAGACTGGAAATCCTCTAATAAACCATTGTTATGGAGAAAATCACAGAGTTGATTCGCAACAACTTTCTCTAGGATTTTAGAAATAAAAGGAAGGTTGGATATTGGTCTATAGTTAGCTAGGGAGCTTGAGTCTAGAGTAGGTTTTTTAAGGAGAGGCTTAATCAATGCAGTCTTGAAAGACTGGGGAACATATCCTGTTAGTAAAGACGTGTTAATCATTTTGAGCAGGGACGTACTAATCAAAGGAAGAGTTTCCTTCAGCAATTTAGATGGAATTGGGTCTAAGAGACACGTCGATGGTTTGGCTGCTAGCACCACTGATTTTAACTCAGGAAGGTCAATAGGTACAAAATTACTAAGGTGCACCAGAGGCCTTAGGGGCTCCTCAACATTTTTAGGGTTATCTGAGAGAGAGACACTTGGTGGAGTCAATAGGTTACTAATTTTACCTCTTATTTTTAAGATTTTATCATTGAAGAAGCTCAGGAAGTCATTGCTGCTAAGGGCTAATGGGATACCTGGTTCAGTGGTGCTCGGACAGTCTGTCAGCCTGGCTACAGTGCTGAAGAGATATCTGGGGTTATTCTTATTTTCCTCAATAAGAGACGAGTAGTAGGTTGTCCGAGCACGTCGTAGGGCTTTCTTATATTTATCGAGACATTCCTGCCAGAGAAAACGAGCTTCAGCTGTTTTGGAGGAGCGCCAAATCCTTTCACATTTTCTTAATAACTGTTTCAGCTCACGGGTTTCAGCATTATACCACGGGGCTAGCCTCTCGCGTGTAATAGTTTTCTGTCGAAGAGGGGCAACTGAGTCTAGAACTGATTGCAGTGTGCCTGAGGTATCATCAACAAACTGGTCGAGTTGCAAGGGACTGATGTTTAAATATGAGCTATCAGTAAAGTTTTTCTCAACTACAGAATTTAGAGCAGACGGAATTACCTCCTTGAACTTAGTAACAGCATTTTCAGACAACCTTCTAGTTAGCACGACTTTGTTGTGAGGAGAGTAACCTGAGAGCACAAATTCAAAAGTTACTAGACAGTGATCAGATAATAGAGGATTTAATGAGCTGACTAACAGGGCATCAGTTTCGAGGCCATAAGCCAGGACGAGATCGAGAGTGTGGTTAAAGCAGTGCGTAGGTCTATGTACACACTGTGTAAACCCAATTGAATCTAGCAAGGACCGAAAAGAAATGCTTAGGCTATCATTTTCCACATCTATGTGAATATTAAAGTCACCGACGACGATGACTTTATCTGCGAGAAGGACTAATTCGGATAGGAACTCTGAGAACTCTGACAAAAACTCAGAGTATGGGCTCGGAGGGCGTTAAACTATAGCAAATACCAGTGGTCTCATGGACTTTGAGGCTGGGTGCGGGAGACTGAGAACGAGACTTTCAAAAGAGTTATAATCTAGTTTTGGTCTTGGGTTAATTCTAAGACTGGAATTGTAGATAGCTGCAACTCCACCACCTCGGCCGGAGTCTCGAGGAATGTGAAGGTTTAGGTGGCTAGGAGGAGTGGATTCATTTAAACTTACATATTCATCCTTACGCAGCCATGTTTCGGTTAGGGAGAGTAAATCAATGCGATGATCAGAGATTAGTTCATTTATTAACACAGATTTTGAATTTAGAGACCTTATATTCAGTAGGCCACATTTTATCTTACTAGTACTTGGTTCAGCTATGTTAACAGTCTTAATTCTAGTAAGGTTCTTGTTATTTACTCCTTTTTTAATTGATCGGTTAGAATTTGAGAGCCGAGTACGAGGGACAGACACAGTCTCTATATTAAAGTGACAGTAGCTAGGAGGCTGCTCTAACAAAAGTACAGAGGAACGTGTAGAGCTGTGGCTATGCTCCCTGATTTCTATGTCAAGCTGAGAGTAGCTTGGAAGCTGCTCTGAAGGGAGTACAGAGGGACGTTTTACACTGTGGCTCTGCTCCCTGATTTCTATGTCAAGCTGAGAGAAGCTTGGAAGCTGCTCTGAAGGGAGTACAGAGGGACGTTTTACACTGCGGCTCTGCTCCCTGATTTCTAAGTCAAGCTGATTGTAGCTTGGAAGCTGCTCTGCTCTCTTGCTCATTTCTATTGCTTTATTTTATCATTACTTTTATTAGGATTACCAGTTATCATTTTTATTATCATTGTTGATGTTGCATTTTATATTTACTATCCTGTTTCCACTTTTGTCCTCCTTAACTGTCTTAACTATTTTATGTTTTTATTTTGGTCCTCATGGTCTCATTTTATGTTGCATGGTTCCTGTATTGTCATATGACATATGAAAATGGCCTTCTACTCCGTTTTTGCTGAGCTTTTTGTTTTTATCTCTTTTCCATGTGCTCTACGGCGACATGTCAAAGCACTTTGTAAACATCTGTTTTTTAAAAAGTGCTATACAAATGAAGTTATTATTATTATTATTATTATTATTAGTTAAGCATCCCAACCACACAAGTCATTGTCATATGTTATTTATACTAACCCGGACTGAGCACTCATCTTAATGCAGCATTTATCCCACTGTGGCCTCTCAGGCCTGATTGCCTCTGAGCAGGCTAACAGCTGAAAATAACTGCTGTTATCAGGTCTTAATCAACCGTCAGCAACAAAAAGATGTGTAAAACATGTCGAAGCATAATAAGCTGGTGATAATTTATCTACAGCTAGTACAAAATAACACTGGCAACACTGAGGCATAACGTCAGCCCTGACATATGCTGATCCAACAGCACTCATGTATTGTGCAGATGTAATTATCCTCCCTCTATGAAAACAATTACAGGAGTATAGATTAAAGTCATCTGTTATTTCTGCGGGACTTGGGAACTGCAACAATTGCAACTACAACATTAAAACTGTCTCAGCTGGTGCCACCCCTAAAATGTTGATAGTGCATAAAGTCTATCCTTATTTAGGAATTACTTACAAACAAAGCTAAGTTTGAATTTGAGTATAGATATGAAGGGCTTAAATTTAACCAAAGCAGAGTGTCATAATGTTATAGTTGCATATTTCAAAATGTAATATATCATGAAGCAACCCTCTAGTTACTCCACAAGTTTTTGCCTTGAAGTGAACATTTTTAGACACGTTTGAAATGTAAAATGAACTGTACAAAGATGAACCAAAAATTGATGCTTGTATTTCATAACCTGCCCCTTTTAAGTATCAAATATGAATGGGTATTAAACAATTGTGCTGAGCTCCCCTTTGGGTGATGGGGAGTCAGCCAACATGCTAACATGCCCAATAAGAAGAGGGTGTAATGTCCGGTGCTGGGCAAGTTTAAATAAGTAACTTAGTTACAGTTACTCGTTACTTCTTTCAAAAGTAACTCAGTTACTTTAAGTTACTCGTTACTTTTAAGGTAACTATTTACTAGGGAAAGTAACTTTATGTTTTTACTCTAAATTCTCTTATCAATGTGTTGCCTCCCTAACTGGATAGCCAGGGAGGTTGCCAGTCCTCTGGCTTGCTTACATGTAAGTCCTATCCTACCAACATACCTGGCAATCAGTCTGTTTAGCTCTGTCTTAATTATAGACTGTGAAACAACAGCCTTGTAAAATCAAGCTTTCATTCTCTGGCTGGAGAGGCTTCTCCTTCAGCATCAGTGGAGCTAACGTTAGCAGCATCACCTGTGTTATCTTCAGGGTCTTTTTCCACTCACTTGGTGCAAGGTGCATGTTGTTTCGGAATGGTCTTTGATGTGGATCGAGTGTTCAAATCTCCACATAGATTACAGGTCACCACAATATTCCTCCTTTTGTCTTTAACTGTCAGAAAGGAAAAATAATGTGCATAATCCCACGCCTAGGCTGTCATTGACTGCTGCCATTGTTGTTTTCATTCATTCACTTGCACGTCGCTGCATCACGTGTGGTTCACGTCCACCATGGAAACTGTAGTCCTGAGTTATGCATGTGAAGTAACGGGTAACGAGCCTGTTTAAACCATAGCACTTGTTACTGCAAAAGTAACGTAGTTACTGTAATGCATTACTTAATAACGCGTTAGTCCCAACACTGGTAATGTCATCCACAGGCTGGCCTGCAGTGAGGATATGTGTGTTTAGATTGTAAGGATTTCTCTGGATTTAGTGTTTAAGGACTCACCCCTATCACCTGGCTGATTGGAAACGCATCCTCCCACCATCTGACACCACAGCCTGCTCCTTTAATTTTAACACACTTTATTCCTCACTTGTGTATTTCCCTCCCCATCCTCCCACACCCTCATCATGAACTCTTCCTCATCCATGGCTCATGCTGTTCTCTGTAGTGGACAAAGTGATAGCTTATTAATACCTGAGTCTCTCCTGTGCATGTGTGGGATATGTGTGTGTAAGTTAAATTGTCTTAAATCTTATTGGTATTTTGTGAAGACCCAGACCACTTTTGGAGACTTAAGGTTCTGTAAGCAGGCCTGCACACAGGGACCACTATGTTCTGGAAAATTCATGGGGAACCACAGGCTCTGACCATGAAGAGTGTTACGGGTTTGGATCAGCTGGAAAATACAGCTCCATTCAAACTTGAAAAAAAAAAAAAAGAAGTTTGAATGGATTTACTTTGTCCAGGAGGTGTTGATTCAGAATTTTATCCGAGAAAATAGCTTAAAGTGGGATCCTATCCATCATTGCTGACTCTAACTTCTACCGTCTAGAAAACCTGGGAGTACAATGTGTTTTATGGCAGAAATACCTCACACTGCTTTCTTGTAAAGGTCAGACTCCTTGGTCATGATGAATATAGACAATGCCAGTCTTCAAAGAGGCATCACTGTGTATTTCAGTCTGTTTCATAGAGACAGGAGCTTTAAAACATCAAATTATTACAATCTAGATCAGAATCGATCTCATAAGGTCAGCAGAAATAAAAAAACAACTCCAGGGCAGGAATAAAATCATATATTTATTCATTTTAATCAAAATGGACAGTTTGTACATTTTCTTCTCTACGAAATGTGGGTGTATAAAAATTTCAATCTCAAATAGATACATCTTTAATCACATGTACACACTAACAGTCTTATTTAAAATAGCATCAGCAGTTCCCACTACCTGTAAATGTATCATGTATAATATGAATCAAATCCATGAGGGTATTTTCTCTGCTCTCTTGTGCCTAGTGTCATTGAGGTCCTCGTTGCCATGGTAATCGCTGTAGTTTTATAGTGCAAAAGTAACAAACTCAGTGTCAGTTAAAAGTTGATCTCCTGTCACTTTCGTGCCTCCAGCAGCATCTCCTCCACAGTCAGCAGCTTCTCTCTGGGTTTCCCAATGGCTTCGCCCCTTCTGGTCTCCAGGGCGTCGATCTTCTCCCAGTCTGAGAACAGCACCGGTTTCACCCCTATGATCCATGAAATAAAGATGTTCAAATTAGTTAATTTAACATTGAGAACTGGTCACCCCACTAAACCAGTGAGTGTGATTTTGAAGGTATAAAGCACATCCTGAACTGCTGCTGTCTGAACTGATCCCATTTCTTTACATTCTTTAATTTAACTTGTTGAGTAATAATAGTAACCTTTTAATTATGAAAGTTTGTTACAGATGAAATCCTATCCTGTCAAATCAGTAAATCATCATAAATGAACTTCAAAAAAATAAATAAGCATTTAAGTTAAATAACTAATATTACTTTTTTTATGGGTACATTTCATTTGCCCAAGTTTTACAAGCCATTCCCAAAAGCTGACATTTTTATGAAAGAATTAAACATACAGTATATTGACACATGAAACTAAATGAAAAAAAATGAAAATTGAACAAATATATTACAAATAAATTTAGGTGACACTTAAAATAAATCCACAACTTACACTTACACCATTTGCACATTTATAAAGCTTTATATATACATTAATTCACATTCCTTATAAATGATTATAAGCATTCATAAAAACTGTTTTAGCAACACTAAGCACTGGAAATAAATACTAGGGGATGATTTCTCATCAACTGATCTTAATCCAGATATAAAAAAAACAGTGTTTATTTTATTTAAAGTTGATGGAGAACTCATTCAGAGTTTAAACTAAAGAGGCCCTTAGAAAGATTTTGACTTCAAAAATCTGTTTTATTTCATTAAAATATGAGTCTTCAATCAGCTATCCCTTTTAATTTAAAAAGGTAAAAAGTAGCCTTTATTTTGTACACTTCTTTTCACGGCCTTTGACATCTTGGAAATCAATCAATCAATTTTTATTTATATAGTGCCAAATCACGACAATTGTTATCTTAAAATGCTGTCCAAGAGAGCAGGTCTAGACCTAAATCTTGCGCAACTTTGGGTGTTGTTACATCTTTAATTTACTCTGGAAATTAATCAAAGTTACTTAAAACAAATTTAAAAATTAAACTCCCAATGATTCACTGAGTAAGTTCCCTATGAACTTTAAATAACTGGATTAAGTTGTGGAGTAAGAACGTGTTATGAAACTTTGAAATTCAAAGTTGCTGCTGTAAGGTATACATTATACTGTAGATCATCCCTTCATAAGGCTTCATGTTCCTTGTGTATCACACCTTATTAACACTGTTATCAGTTCTCATGAATGCTTTGAATCTTTTTCAAGAATTGTTTCTAAGCATAATAAATGCATCTATAAGGCTCAATGGTGCATTTTAAGAGGCGGTTTAATACATTGTGTTATTAAAATGTTTTCTGTGGCCCCAAGCTAAAAGCTAATAAAACAATCAGAAAAGCTAAATCCATTACCTCTCTCATCCAGCAAAGCACTGATACTTTGTGAACCAGGTTTTCCAGCTGACACATCCAGCCTTCTTGAGTCCATGTCCTCCACCACAGAGCGTGCAGTGTCAAAGCTGTTGTTCATGGTGGTGGCTATCACTCCAGTTGGTCCAGTTTTCAGCCAGCCACTGCAGTATAGACCTAAAGACAGGTGGATTACTGTATGCATGTTGACCTTAGAGAGATCACAGTGAGCTAAGTGGTCTTGTTTTGGTTGTGTTTACCTGTAGCTTGTTGGACTCGGCCCATGATGTTGGGGACGATGGCTCTGTGAGAGTCAAATGGCACTGATGCATCAATGGGTAGGCTCTTGTAGCCAATACTGCTAATGACCAGGCCACAAGTCACATCCTCCACTTCCCCTGTGAGCACTGCTCGGGCTGATTCTCCTGAACCCTGGTCACACAAACAGGACTAAAATGATCAAGACCACATCCAAATGGGGGGCTGCTGCCTGCTGGAATTTAAAATCTATGGTTTTCACCTCCAGCATGTTGATAGCCAGTCTGATACCAGCTGTTCTTTTGTGGTCGGGGTCAGAGAGGACTTCTACAGGGCTCCGGAAGAATCTGAAGCCCCAGACTCTGGATGCCTTTTTCCGCCTCTCCTGCTCCTTCTCTCCAGGGACCTCCATGGCTGTCTTCAACATCAGCTCAGTCAGACGCTTCCTGGGCCTCGGCAAATCTGACAGAGAAAAGGTACCTCTGCTTAAAATTTGACCAGATTTGAGATGTCCTCTGTTTTTTCTTTCATATACTGTGAGGCACTTACTCCTATCCTCCTCCCTAAGGACCTAGATGAGCCGAAATAGAGTTAGTTGTTGTTAGGTTTAATTTGTAAATGTCACACATCCAACAGAGGTCAATAAGGATAAAAAAACCCCACTAAAAACAATGATAACAATTGCAGTATACAAAACCCACTGTTTATAGTATAGCCCCTCAGATATCTTTTTATTTGACATAACCTGAATTATTGATAAATGAGCATGGAGATTTCCATCTTAGAGGGGTGAAGGCAAAAACCAATCAATAAAGAAAGAAAGAATAGATTTATGAATGCAAGTTAAGAGCAAAAATTGATAATGAATTCTGATTCAATTCCTTTTTAGTGACTGTGAGACTAGAGTGCACACTGCTCAGGTTTTTATATTCTGAACACTTACGTCTGCCCAAGTGTGCATGTGGTGCAAACCCTGTCACAGAAACGCTGTCCCTGAATGACCTCAGCGACAGTCTGGCACTTTTTTCAGTTCATTATTAGCCAACACACAGATATGGAAATATCTAAAGGGTGCTTATACTGCCAGTGTAACATACAGATAAGGCAAGCACAACATTAAACCAGATAAATGAGTCTTGTTATTGGAGTATTGGCATTGAAAATAGACTCTTAAAAGGTGGGGTAGGCAGGGTTTTGTTAAAGAAGCATCTTTTTTTGTGGTGTATATACAAAAAAGCTTTTAATATCAGTCAATATCTATTAGTTATTGATGACATTTGGTAATATAACAATATGACTGTGTTCTGTTATGTCTGTGTAATCAACATTAAAATTTTTTTGAGCAGCTCGCTCTTTCTGACTGTAAACAAAGCCATTCTCCGCCTCCCACAACCTGATTGGTTGTGAGGCGGACACTGCTCCCTCATGTTGCGAGGCATGCGCCACGTCTGCCAATAATGTTCACGAGCCCAAACAAAGTTAGCGTGCTACAATACTGGACAGTAGAAACCAACCAGAAAGCACGGAAAACACAAGCAATAAAATGAAGTAAATACCGGAGACTCTGGCAGAATAACGGGCACTTAAAAAGGAGGTAGACTGGACAAGAGCTAAAAAGCCAGGTCAACATCAGCATAAACGACGAGGGGTGCTTCAGGATCTTTTGGACCCTGTAACCTTTCTGCTGGACAGGTTAACCACTTTAGTAAAGTAAGCCAAGTGTCTTAAACAGGAGTGCTTTTTGATATAATATTAATAATAATAATAATCAGGGCATCCATGAAAACATTTAGGGTGTAAGGCAATAATCCTCCAGATGGTGGTGCCCTTGGCCACTGCCCACACTGCTTTGATTTGGCCTTGACTATCAGCCTGAATGATGTTTGACTTCAGTTCTAGAGATTTGTAATGCCGTGACTACAGAGAGTTGATCTTGATCAAAGGTGAAACAGTATGCTGATTGTTATATAAGCATGCAGATCCATGCTTGATCATGTGCTTCCGCTAGTTTTGATACGCCATCTTGTTTTAGTAAAATGTGTGCAAAAGTGCTGAAGGTTCCTGTCATTAGACCACACTAGACTCCACAGCTGCAGCACAGACCAAAAAAAAAAGTAATCAGACTGGTTTTCAATGGGCAGTGTTTCTTCATTGGCCTTGGGGTGTTTCCTGTTACTGCTTTTTGAAACCACAAACAGCTCATCAGAGCTGTGTTGCTTAGGTTTCAGGTACTACAAGCCACCAGCTTTACCCGTCACTTACTGGTTATCATGTTCAACAGAGACTAGACTGAGATTGTGACAGATAGCCGTGAACTGAGGCAAAGAGACTGTGATCACTCAGCACAAGTTGCATCAGATCAGACAGCCCAATGTCATTTCTGTTACAAGGACAAACCCACCAACAAGTCAGCAGGAGGAATAATGAGTTTACTGTCTTTATCAAACCTGCACCTCAAAACTGGCCTGTGTATTTACTGGTTACCAGTTTCCAGTCCCACACAGCATATAGGCTGAAAGGTCTATAGGGTTTGTTCTGCTGTAACCACAACTTCCTGGTGACATTTTGAACACTCTGCATCTTTCAAAGTCAGGTTTTTTGAACCCAGACTTTAAACATGTGTGGTTACCTCACATGTTCTGTGTGGCTAGTTTGATGGAGGAAAGAGTATGACACATCTTGTTACGTTGTGCTCAGTATGTTGGACACGTGTGCAGGTGACATGTTGACTTTACTCCTCAGGTAATTGTTTTAAAAAAGATGTGTGATGACAAAAGAAACGCAGCTTTAAGTGCTGACTCTTCACTGTAACAAGAGCTCTATTTTTCTATTAATGTCAGCATCAATAAGTCCAAAAAGACTCATCTCACCTTGCTGAATCTGTCAAATGCATACACTGTTTGAATATTTTTGACCTTTCAGTCATTTGTACCTTATTCTTGTGTCTCAGCCCCATTTAGGTAATGATGTTTCACTTTATCTGTAACTGTCAGTTTTCTGGGTTTTGTTTGTTTGTTTTTACCTTTTTTAATGATAATTATCAAGTAAAAGTTGCAACAGTTCCCACTTGCCCAGTTCATGTGCAGGGTGAGATGATGAGGCAGTAAAAAGGAAGTGCCTCAGGAACTCAAAAAAGGTGGTAGATGATGAAATTTCTTACCATTGACGGCCTCTTGGACACCCTCAAAATCAGCTGCAACCATCTCAGGTCTGGTATCTGGCAGGTTCACCATTTCTCTAAGCTCCTGTAGACAAGACAAAAAAAAAAAAAAAAACACTGAAAATGGTGAAGTCCATTATTTCAATATGAAAGAATGTTATTCTCTTAGTGAACGATTTTGGCTGTTAAAAAAAGACAATGTTGACTCATTTTATCATTTTATAACATTAATTATTGACAGTTAACCCGTGTAATGCTGTTCATTTATTACCAGAACAAACATAAAACTATAATAAACACAGAGTTGACCACACTGTACACACCTGTACACACTTTCAACCAATCTGTGCTGTAAGGCTGTAAAGCAAAATGCTGCCACTGAGAACGCATAAATTAAATTTAAGAGACCAGCAGACGGTATTAAAAAATATTATTCTGTAAATATTTACTGTTAGTTCCTCTATCATTAAATGCCAAACCTCCCTCTGCCGCCTTTTAAACTGAACTTCCTTGGTTTGATTGTGCCTGTATGTCTTTAACCAATGAGTGCACAGATCTGCACAGCTCCGGACCTTTAGATCTGCAAACCCTGCTGAGGTGCCTCATTGATCTAAAAAACATGGTTTTTAACATTTTGATTTAGTGTTGCAGCCGTCCAACATGTTTTTATTTAAATTGCCTTGATTACTTGGTGTGGTAATATGGTGGTTAAAAAACCTGAATTATTTGGTCTGGGGTTTGACAGTACAGCAAAAGATGGCTTCGACTGTAAGTTGATCTTTCTTTTTCAAAGTTAAACAAGTTGACAGTTTCATTCCTTCTCTCAGATACTAACACATACCTTTATTGTGCAGGCAACCTGGACGGGTCCTCTCCTGCCAACTATCAGTACTCTGCGGACTTTGCTCTCTGCCAGAGCCTCCAGGGCCAGCTGGGTGATGTCAGTACTCTGAGACAAGCATATAAAATATGGTTATGTATATATGTACAGGTTTACTACCTTATTAGGGAGGATATATTCCCAGTAAGTATATACTGATAGAATCATCACCCTCTGTAGAGAACCTTATTTCAATCGTCTTGATAAATGGAGTGGACTGTGTTCAAATAATAAAGCACACACACGTGAAAACAGGCCCTCATGGTTATTCCTCTTTTTTTATTAAGTTGTCTGTTATCTTCAGAGACCAAGGTTGAGTGCTCCTCACCTTTAATATATCAAGCGGACACAGGAGGATTCTTGCTACATCCAAGGCCACATTTCCCTGTCCTAGAACAACAGCTGTTTCACAACTCAGGTCTGGACTCAGCTAAACCAGGAAGAAAGATTTTTAGATTTGAAAATACAAGGAGCAAGAAGAAAACCTCAAGAGTGGATAAAGATGACTAATTTGATTGTGATTGTCTCTGATGTGCTTTTGAGTTGAATTGTTTGTTCATTAGTCTTACCTCTCGACAGCTGGGGAGCCCGTTGTACCAGCCAACAAAGTCTTTGGCTGAGTAAACACCTGCCAGGTCCTCCCCTGGAACCCCCATACTCCTGTTTCCCTCTGCTCCGTAGCTCTGACAGTAAAATGTACAACAAACACGCACATATGCATGAATCATGGGATAACTTCTATAAGAGGTGCAAGCAGCAACACTCTGTACTAAGGATCTTTCATTTCTAACAGTCAGAACTCTTGTGGCTTAAAGCATTAAGCTCTCTAAGGTCACCAAAACTGGAGCCTTTACTATGAAGCAGGATTTGCAGATACTGAAGTAACTCCAGGTTTGGAGTACTACAAAGCTATGTCACTTGTTAGCAAAGTAAATCACCATGGTTACTCATATTGAAAACCTAACCTGCACCAGAGCAGGTTAGGTTCAGGATAAAAGAGAAAAGTCTGAGCCAATAGAGAGAGACAGGGGAGAGAAACCAACAGGACACTTTGTCTCCCTGTAGGATTTTACATAGAAGAAGACAAGAACGAAAGTTACTGATTGTGTGTAAAATGCAGTTAGACATAGAATTGAGAATGTCAATTACTTTGCATCATGTACCTTTACTCATTTATACCATACACAGATCCTCTCTTTTAACCCCATCCTGGCTGCAGCTGAAATATTATGTCTAAAACTGACATACACAACAACAAGCCAGTTTCAGAGGATAAATGGAAGTCACTGTTGTCACACTCATCATGGAAATGTGACATTGTAAGATGTTTCTCTCACATCTATCTGATGGCTCTTTCTCCATGTTGTAAACATAGCTGTGTTGAGTTTAGTCTTGGTTATGACTGCTATCATGTTCTACTGATATAATAAGTTTCTCTGTGACTGACAATAATAACTATGACTAGGTGAGAACAAATGTATTCATGTCTGTGGTTGGTCATTTGTGCCTGACACTGTTCATGTTGACTTCTTAGGTTTAAAACCGGCTTTGAGCAATTCGAGCAGCTTCAGACATAGTTATGGGAGGCGCCTTTTTGTCAGTATCTGTTTCTTGCAAACCACAGTGAATCTACAGAATTTTAAGACACTGACGAGTTCGGCTTCTTGTAAACTAAAAACAGATCTGCTGCTTGCTGCTATTTTGGCTCCTAGCTGATTGACCTAACAGACAGTTTTATGCTTTCCTGTTCTCACCAGTACAACTGCATGGTAGGCCTGCTGCAGCTCTTCAACACTCACATCCTTCCCCACATTCACATTACCGTAGAAGCTGCAGCGCGAGTGGTTGGCCGTCTGTGTGAAGGTGTTGATGACGTTCTGAGGAAGAAAAGGCCATAATGAGAAAACAGAGTTAAGGAGTTAGATTTCTCTCACAGCAGTGATTGAGACAACTTTGCTGTAGATCTGGTTCAATCTGCTAAATGTAGGTCATTAAGGTTCATGAGTTTCATCACACATAACGGTACAGGCACCAGTGTGTTGTGGGAACAGTATTAAAAGATTAGTCTGGAGCAGGAGTGTTCAAAGCCTTATACTGTGGACCCTGTGGATGACAGAGTTCACTGTGTGGCATAACTGTACTCTGAGTGTAACTGGTCAGCTGCCAACTGCAAACAGGGTGGTTGGTTGGTTGGTTGGTAGGTAGGTAGACATAAGTATAAGTTTTTCAATTTCATTGTCAATGCATATCAATCATCAGTTTCTCTGTGCACACAGCACTGCAGTCTCATGTCTCTCTATGAGCAGCAAAGAGACATTCACCTGTGCTGATTGCTTGTGGAGGAGCTTCAAACTAATGAGGACATAGTATTAATAAATTTAAGAACACGGGTGAGAAAATTCAGCAGTTTGAAAACAGCATCATTAGTCTGACTCTTTGAGAAACGTTCTTAGCGACAGTCTAAAGAAGACATTGGTGACTGAAGTTCACTGCGTTTCCTTTCATTTCACTGCTGTTCCCTTACTTTCTAAAAGACTGTGAGCTGACAAAAACATGCACACCTTTCACCTATCCTGTTTTTCCCATTTAAACTCACAATCAAACAATTCAATCACATAAACACTGTGCAGACATTCTTGGTCTGTTTGTAGGTCACACTGCCGGACAGCTTATTTCAGAGCCTCTGACTCCAAACCTGCCAATGTGGGAGTGGTTGTCTGTAAACCTACTGAGAAATTTGTTCCTAATTAATCATTACACCTAAACAGTGAAGAACATTTGTATTTTCTAAGACACTTATTCTAAATTAAAGACCTTGACTTCAGGGTGATCAGGGGCCACTCCAAACCTGACCAGGCCAAAGGGGACCGGCAGTCGTTCGTAGATGTCCACTTCAACATCTTGACGGGCCTAGGTGAAAAAAACAAAAAAGACTTTATGGAAAGGGAAAACTCATAATTGATATTTTGCTATTTCATAATAATGCATCAGATTTTATAGCGCTTTTTAATCAGTGAGCCCAAAGCACTTGTATTTGTAGGGTATGAATTATATTATTTCTTCTGGTGGGGGCTGAAGAAAAAAAGGTTAATCACACACGAGTTAAAGTTTATCAGTAAGACTTCTGAATGAAAGTCTTTGTTTGAAGCAGTAAATTAAAGCTGGTGCTGTCCCTCATCCAAACTCTAATCATTTTAAGTATGGCTGTAAAGATAGAATAACATTTGGTATTCATTTCACTGCAGGCAACAACTTGGCAGTTATGGCCTACTGATAGTAAACCAATAAATAGTTGATGACAAGCTGTATGAAGGTACAAACGTGTCCTGACACAGCCAGGTGACACAAAACACCAGATTATCATACAGAGAGGGTTTTGAGTGGTTTTATCTGAACAAAGGCATCAACAAAAAGCTGAGGTTTAAGCTGTTACACCAGTTTGAGTTTTAAAGGTAACGAGGAAATACAAGGCACACTTCTCATGATTTTTTTTATTCAAGGAAAGCCAAAACATAGAAGCCACACCCTTTACCGGAAAATTTCACATTTTTGTCTTATATTGCTCCGAATGTTTTAATCAGGTGACAAGTTAGGACTGCAGGCAGACCAGTTTCTCAGCAGGACTCTTGTCCCTGTGAGAACGTGGTTTGTCATGGTCTTGCTGACACATTAAGGTCTTCCCTGAAAATTTTTTTGTCTGGACAGCGGTAGATGTTGCTCCTAAACCTGTAGATATTGTTCAGCATTAATGGAGCCTTCACGGATGTGGAAGATACCCATGACATGGACTCTGATGATCCCAAAACCATCAAGGACACTGGCTTTGGACTGAGAGCTGAGAACAACCTGGGTGGTCCCTCCACTCTTTACAGCAGAGGATGCAGAGTTCATGATTTCCAAAAAGAATATTGATTTTTGATTTATCAGACCTGGATCTGGGTTTTTAGAGGACTAAATATGAGGTTAAGAGGCAGACGTTAAGATTGCTAAATTAGCATGCACAAGACTAAGCTACTGCACATACTGAAGTAGTTGCCAAATTATGTTTAGCCCTAGTTTATAACTTTTCTGGCAACAAATGAACCTTTACAAAGCAGAGTGAGTTAATCTCATTATTGAATAAACTGGGCTTTATGAACATTACATTTTTATTTGCTTTCATAAACCCTGTGTAGGATTGAAACATTTGATGTTTGCATTGACCATATTTCTTTCATTATGGGTATAAATAAGAAATAAGTATCAGATGGAAATGTAACTTGGTACAAGAGAGAATAAGTTTATGTTGACTTCCATAGATTTTATTATTACAGAATGTTAAAGGTATATTGTAAATGTTTATGTTTATTACGGCTCCCCATTAGTCTTCACTTTGTGACGACTATTCTTCCTGGGGTCCTTCACTCATGCATACAGTCAACTAAAATTTAAAAAAATCCATATGATTTCATGGCATTGTACAATACAATAAAGCAAACAAAATACAAAAGTACAGATCATATAATCTGGTTTAAGCATTGAATAATTATAATACAAGAAAACAAACAAAGTACAATAGATAATGTCATACTCAACGTTCATGATTGATTATTTGATCAGCGAATAATTTCCTTCAACACTTCAATATCCCATTACATGATTACTAGGCCACAATTTTAAGTCCATACAAAGAAGACAGAAGAATGTAACCCACATCCCAGATCATCTTCATTATAACTAAATACTATTCTTACACTATAAGGCCTACCTTGATCAAATGCTGGGCTGTGTAGAATCCTGCTGGACCGCTACCAACAATACAGACCTTTGGGTTACCAGAGGAGAAAGATACGGTTCCACTTCTTTTTACACCTGCAGAGAACACAGAGGATATGAAGTAAGCTGTGTTTGTTTATAAGGCACCGCATTATCAATCCCAGACCATGTTTGTCATGGGCAACAGCCAGGTGAAGGTTTCCTCCTACAGCAGTGTCAGTGACAGACTGAGAGCCAAACAGTGAGTTCTACACTATTACCAAAGATGGACAGAGTACTAAAGTGTTCAGCTTCTTGGATTCAATATACTTCAGTAATTGTACACTATCACTCTGATAATCTGCTCGGGCTAAAAGGGAAAGTATGACGTCTAAATTATGTGAAGCATATATTTAACCAACAAGAGACCATCAGTGTTTAAGGGGATTTTTCCAGCTTCAATCAATCAAAACTTTATTCACACAGCGCTTCTCATACAAAATATACGACACAAAGTGCTTCACGCTTTATTAAAAACAGATCTACATCCTTCCCCTCAACTACCCTACTCCCACAACCATACAACCACCATTTAGCCGTCACATACACAGTCACACCCAAAGCCACACACGCACGCACGCACGCACGCACGCACGCACGCACGCACGCACGCACGCACGCACGCACCACACCTGCAAAGTACAGATGAACCAGCTGCGAGAGCACCATCTGAGGAACTGTCTGCACCAGAAGCAGAGAACCGCCTGCAGCCACAGGACACCGACACAGGGCCAGAGGAGAGATGTAGGAGGCACAAGCTCCCCTGGACCCATGAGACAGGGCCCTGCAACCACAGCCAACAACTGCTTGCAGTGCAGAGGGCCCCCCAGAGGAAACACTGGGGGTCCTAAAGATGATAAAAGAATAAAAATAAGTAAAAAATGAAATATTTGAAATATGAATAAAACACAGAGTATAAAATAATGTAAGTGGGTAAAAATAAATATGAAATATGAAACCTAGACTAATAAGAATAAATAGAAATAAAAAACATAAATAAATATTAATCAAAGGCTGAGCTAAAAAGGTAGGTCTGAGCCTGCTCTTAAAAACATGAATGTTCTCTGCAGCCCCGAGGTCCTCTGGCGGGATGTTCCACAGACGAGAGCTGTAATACTGCAAAGACGCCTCAAAATGTGTGTGTGTGTGTGTGTGTGTGTGTGTCGTGACTTTGGGAATGACAAGAAACCTGCTGCCAGAGGAGCACAGGGTCCGAGAGGGTTCATAAAGAAAGAGCATTTCTAAGAGATAAGAAGGTCCAAGACCATTAAGACTTTTAAAAACAAGTAAAAGAACCTTAAACGTGATCCTGAAACACATGGGGAGCCAATGCAATTCTAAAAGCAGTGAATTGTTGGCCCACCTCCTGGTCTTAGTCAGGACACATGCTGCTGAATTTTGTAATAAATATAAGCTTAAAGGTTCAAGTAACTGAATGTTTTTGTTCCATTTGTTTCCACTGCCGGCTATACAAAGAGTCCAAAGTGTAAATTGTTCAGGCCCAGTCTGGTCTCTTAAGTCTGGGAGTTGACGAAAAAAGCAGGTGCCATATTTTTTAAAGCTGTGTTTCTGACCTGAGAGGAATGGACTTGTGAATATATTTATAGCTCTACTGGAGTATTTCTTGTTATGATTTCAGTATGAACCTCCTCCTTGCTCCAAATATTTTCAATGATTTTAATTGTTTAAATTTGTTTGTAATGACCTTTTAATGAACTGTTTTGATTTGCCTCATTTTAAGCTTTCACTGAGATGTTTTTGCCTTTGTAGTTTATTATGGATGCGATATTGCTGGGCATGTATGTTTTGTAGAGCACCTTGTGATGTATGATTTGATAGTTTCTGTATGAATAACCTTAGTAGTCATCTTTAAATAGTTATTATATTATTAGAGAAACTTGGTGTCCTTATGAGTATAAAAATAATGGTGTACATATCAGTGTGAATATTGATATCTCTTTGCAAATACTGGCATATCCAATATTGATGTTAATCCAATATTCTACAACATGTGTTAGCATTATTAATTTAACTATAATATTTTTTTTTCACTTGTTCCTCATTTTTCTTTCACTCAGATGAATTAGGTTGTTTTCTATTCTAGTCACCACACTACGTCAGGCTATTTGGCAGCTGTGGACCAGGGGTAGAATCTGACGTCTCTGGAGGGTCAGGGGTTTGACCCATATGCTGAAACGTCCTTGGGCAGACTCTTGACCGCACCCGCCCTCACTGGTTGTGCCAAGTGTTGTGTGAATTGAATTGGTCAAAGACCGATGGGCTCTATACATATCAGCCTCTGCCAACAGTGTGTGAATGTGGTGTGAACTCCAATTCATACTTCTACTAACAATAATCATCATAATTATCATAACAAGGAAGGTATGATGTTATCAGCCCCGTATTGGTTTCAGCAGATAACACCTTAAAAGTAAGTGTAAAATGATTACCAGCCTTGGCTAATTATCTGTGCCAATATTCAGCATTTTGCCGATCATCTGTATTTCCCTTTATTTTCAGAAAACTGATAAAAAGTGAAGCACACAAAAGTTTTGGATTTGATTAAAAATTTGCTAAAAGCATTTTGGTAAAGTGTTGTGATATTCCATATTCTAAATTTTGCCAGACAATGTCAAATTTTTACGATCAATGCATATTCTTCCCAAATATCAGTCTTCTGAAAAACTTAATATCAGTGTTCGCCCTGAAAATGCAGTATTGATCAGACTCTACTGAAAAGTTGAGTTAAAATCAGCAGGTAAAAAAAGGGTCACTATAACCAAACACATCAAACGTGCAGTTTAGACGTGCTAATATTTATGTATGAAGTGAGTGTCATTCATGACTGTGTAGAATTAGGCTATCATAAAGCAGAGGGATTGAATGTCTATAAGTAATAGAGCATACAATATCGTAAAGTCAAATATTGCCTATTTTAGATGTCTGTTTCTAAAAAAAGATCTTTACATTAAAAGTAACAGTGATAACTAAGAGAAAAGCTGCTGTTCCTCACAAGGAAGAAAATAAGTGTAAATGTCAGCGGTAGTATACGCTGAAGTGAGTGTAAAATTTCGGCAAAGCTACTGGCTATCAGCAAAAATCCAAAATATTTCGTGTTAAATTCTTTTATTTTTACAAAAAAAAAAAAAAATGGATAAAATTCATTTGACAGTCAGGTGGTAGATATCAACCTAGATGTCAACCACACAGCTGATAAAAAGAAGGAAGTCCGCAGGTTAGTTTAAAAAACAGACATTTTGTGATGGTTTACTGGTTGTTTCCTCCGTACAGGACATTGAAGGCTAATCATTTCAGAGATAACAGCTAAATCTTTAAAAAGAGGATCGGGAGAGAGGCTCACCATCATGAAGTCGGTTTATCCACTTATTAGATCCTGGAGTCCAGAACTTTAGCCCGGAAAACAGCAGCTTATGACCGCTCATCTTCAGCTGAAACACAGTAATTCTGACTGTGCAGTTGTCTCTGGTTAAGCTGAGCGGCTCTGGACAATCAGAACCATCGGAACCAGAGTCTGATCTGGTGTTTAGAGAGCTGCTGCCTTGAGCTTTGGACACAGAGAGAGAGAGAGACCAGAGGCGAAAACACGGATTTTGCGGATAGATTTTAAACACAGACAACGTGCTCATTAGTAATAGTCAAACTGACAGCTAGCTTAAAGTTTTACGACTTTAAACGATTTTCTATGTGGTCAGAAAATATTAACTTGATCATTTTCTTATTATTTTTCTTTGCAACTGCTTTCAAGGATGCATATTGTGTAACACCAATAGCATTCCGGAGAGCGACGGTGATCCAGTACGTTGGTTCCACTTAAAGTGCATATCAAAATATTTCGCACTTTTATATTGTTCCTCCAGCTTTTCTCACTGTAAGATGTCTAAAATTGAATAAACGATTTTCTTATTAAAATAGGATTTTTTTTTCTGCTATGCTGGTGCTTAGCTCGGGCCCCACTCACACATGTGCAAATATTTCTGAAAACTTAGTTGTTTTTTGTTTGTTTTTCAAGGTGAAGAGTTTTGTCCTTTCTTTCAATGTAGAGTTAGGGCCACATTAAACTATTCTTTTTATTTTATGACTTAAAGATTTTTCAAGTCATATTATTTTGAGAATAAAGTGGTATAATAAAATTATTTTCTTGCAAGAAAAAGTCATGGTAAAGCCATGACATTACAAGGATAAAGTTTTAAGAAAACTAAATGGTGATGTTTCAAGATTAAAGTTATATAGTTACAAAAAGTAAAGTCTTGGTAAAGTTTGGACATTACAAGAATAAAGTCTTCATGTTGTGAGAATAAAGTGGTGATACAGTGGTAGTTCAGGTTCACGGTGAGAAGCCAGCTGTCTGTACTAAATTGAGGACCATGGAGCATCAAAAGTGTCCTTAATGTTTTGTCTCCTCAGATCTACATTGTTTTAAGATTTAGGACTGTGAAGAGACTGAGCAGAAACTTTTAGAGCTGTGGTATCCCCCTTCAAAATAGCATTATGAGACTGAACAAAAAACTTTTCTTCTTGACATAAGGGCTTAAATCTTGTGACATGACAACTTTATTCCTGTAAGAAATTGATTTTACTGTGATTTTGCTGTTGTTCCTCATTATAGTTCACACACAGTTTAAAAACACTGTTTAAAATTGCTGTTTGGTATAGAGGACGCCTTGTGAGGATGCTCACAATGTTTTTTTAATTGTGTTTGACATAATAGACTGATTACACACTTTACTGTGTACAGGCATGGCAGCATGCCTCTGTTCTTGCATGGTTGTTTGAACAGAGAAATATCTACAAACTAGGGATGTCCTGATCTGATATTGATGTCGGATATTGGTCCAATATCAGAAAAAAAAAATAAAACGAATATCAGACTATATTGGCTATTGCAATCACAACAACAGTGTATACCCAGGTACTAACAAAGTAGCAAAGAGTCGGCCACGTGGCAGTGTTTTTTAAGTCAGAAAAAGACATTGCAGCTGAGTGCTAAACTTGTCATGCACAAGTTTGTGCCAATATCAGATCAATATCAGTATCGACAAGTACTGAAGACTACAATATCAGTATCTTATTGGAAGAAAAAAAGTTGTATGGGAACACCCCTACTAAAAATTGTCTTTGTTGTAGATGTGAAGACAACTTTGAAATTGTGGTAGGTCTATATTCTTTGTAGACCTGTTGTATGTAAAGATACATTTCCTTCAGTCTGGTTCAGTGCTGCTATAATCATGATGAAGACGACTGACATGACAGAAGAATGGGTGTCTATGGTGAGCAAACTATTTAATAGTGATTCTGGCATTGTGGATAGGTGCTACAGGTATTCTATTAACCATGTATCTCTCAGTCTAGTTCAGTATACACAAACTGTCATGGTGTAGACTGCTGACTTGACAGTTGTCCAGAAGATGCTCTCTGACTCCATCCACAAAGAGAGTAAGCCACAGAGGGTCCCTGCTGAAAAGTCTGTCTGAGTCTGTATGAAGCAGATTCATTAAAGTCAACAGAAAGGAAAAGTAAGAGAGGAAGTGAGGGTGGAGTCAAAGCATCAAGAACATCTACATTCCAAGTCAAGGAGATGGACCACAAGTGTCGTGGTCCTGCTGTCAAGACCTGAACCAGAGACAATGTCACAAGAGTCTCACCTGGACTACAAAAAAAAAAAAGGACTATTGCTCAGTGATCCAAAGTTCTGTGTTCAGATGAAAGTCAATCTAGCATCTCATTTAGAAATCAAAGTCCCAGAGTCTAGAGGGAAATCAGAGAGACACAGAATCCAAGAATCCTCCATTTAAAACAATGATGCAAGATTTTTGTGGTGAAAGAGTCCCAGCTAAGTGCTCATTTGCATTATTTTTGTATTGTAAATCTTTTTTCCTCGAGAAAAAATGTAATAATTTGATTTAATGGATTTCTGAGCTGAAATTAATCCAAAAATGGCTCATAATTCCTCTACATGTTAGGATGATAAAATATATGAACGTTGCTCTTTTTGAATTAAATGACTGAAGATAAAAACTGCCACTGTATTTAAACTTATAGAGTTGTGCATATACTTGTGACATGAAGGCAGACCGATGAAGAGTTGGACTCCCTCATCCAGAATAAAGAGGCAGTGATGACTTAAAAAGTATCTGAAGATGTAAAATACATGAAAATTAGACAAAACTCAGATTTAATGCTCATCTTATATCAGGCAAAAAATATGCTCAAAATGAAAAAACAAACAAAAAAACTTTTAAGCACACTGAACAGCCTGAACAGGTGAAACTTAAGTGTAACTCTGCCAGTATATTGACAAAAGTGCTTGCTTTGCAGTTTTTCTCCACTTACACTCTGAAAATACATCTCACATGTTTACCCTGCATAAGCCAGGATGTGGTGGTTCAATCACCTATTGAAAACAAAACATACATCCGTACATGAGAGGAAATGAAGAGCAGTGACACCTTACATGAGGTGAGCTCTGCTCTTCATTTTTGTGCTCTATGATAGCTTCTACTGTGCAGTCAGTCTGAACTTTTCCTCAGACTCTTTGTCTCATCACATCAACATCATTTAAGCTCTCATGAATGCAGGATGCCTGTCATCCACAGTTCCTGCAGATGTGATCAGATAAGGATAATGTTCTGCAAAGTGAGTGGAGTCAAGCTGAGGCCTTGCAGGTCTGGATGCTGTTTCAGCTCTGGTGGGTCGAAAATGTGCATGAAACTGTGAAACACAAAGAAAAACAGCTGTTGTATTACCACAGTCATTGTATTTGCAGAGTAGCAGGATCAGGTCCTTTTGCCTGCAGTGGTACTCACTCGGTTGCACTTGGTGAGCACTACAATGAAGAATAGCAGTACGACAATGAATGCTGTCACACTTAAGACGATGAAGATGAGATCCAACATTTGATGCTTGCATTGCTCCTTAGGGTCTTTCTCTGCAGTAGGACATGGAGTGGGAGGACAGTTAAACCAAGGACAAAATACAGTGTGCATAAACAGAAAGTGTATTCTCATGATTAATTTTTCCAACCTCTGACAATGATAACAGTGCCTTTGCTGGATTGGGTCGGAGGTATCGCAGTGTTTGTCGATAGGTAGCTCCAGCTGCAGAAATACACATCGGTGTCCTCCACTCCCAGCAGGGACAACTGCAAAATGAACCCCTGGCCCTGATGGATCTTTGGGGCCGGAGTTACACGGATTCGGCCTTCAAATTTCCCCTTGATAGTGGTCTTGGTGACTTCTCCATTTTTCAGGTTCTGGTAAACAATCTCCTCGTTATTTTTGAAGTACCTGTGCAGGGAGAAGCCCAGTGCGCCAGACGTTGATGTGGAGCATGTGATTTCAGCAGATGAGTTCACTCTCATGAAAGAGATGGACGAGGGTTCTTGAGAAACTGAGGGGAGATGAAGTGTATCTGAATTTAACTAAGGTTTAAGCGTTAGCACAAAGTTTTCAGTTTATGCTAATTTTACTCTTCAACTGCATTTTAAAGGTAGTCATTGTATTAGTACAGATCTTTTTTTCATTTTTCCTTTGTTCATTTTAAAATTTATATGAAACACTCAAAAACAAGAATTTAACATGGTTAATCAGCGTGCAATGATCCATTTTCTATCAAAACTGAGGATAGTGCCATATGTTAACATGCTGCATCAGAGTGAGATGATACAGTGAAGTGTCTACACAGTGTTACAGTGCAGCAACATGTACAGATTTAACAGAGCAATATGTAACAGTCGAGCAACAGTTGAGGAGGCTACAGTACCTTTACAATGCAAATGTGCAAGATGCAAAAGGGCTGCTACAGTGCAATACATTATAGTGCTGCAAGATCTAACAGTGAAGTGACAGTACAGGGTAGCGTAGTGCGGCAACATTGCAAGATATTACAGTACAGTGAGAGTTGATACAAGGCAGCAACAGTATTATCTATAGCACTGCAGTCACTGTCCAAGGTGTTACTGTCCAATGACAGTAAAATATATTACAGTGCAATGACAGTAAAATATGTTACTGTGCAGTGACTGTAAAATATACTACAGTGCAGTTATTGTTAAAGATGTTGCAGTGACACCAACACATTTAGATTTCAGAGTGCAACAGTTGTAGATGTGACTGCTACAGTCTAATAAGTTAGTTAGCAAGATATTACAGTGCAGAGAGAGAGTGCAAAATGCGACAGGACAAAATGTTCCAATACAGGGACAGTGGACAATACAAAGGTGCAGTGTGATTTTAAGATGTTGCAGTGCTGCAACAGTGCAAGATTTTACAGTGCCAAGTCAGTGCAATATGATACAGTGCAGTGACAATGTAAGATGTTCCAGTACACATTTATACTGGTACAAATACAAAACCACATCCATAAAAAACCACAATAAAATATTACTTTCTTCTTTTCTCTTTGCATTATTTAGTTTTTGTTTTCTTCTTTTAGTCATATAGAGACTTAAGTTGTATACAGCACTGGAGGGTTTTTTGCATATCTCTTATTGTTATGTGGATAATAGTTTTAACTCATGTAAACCAATCAACTAAATGAAACATTGTTTATCAAATTTCCTGTCTCATTTTTCTTCTCTCAAACCCTCAGACTCATGTCATCAGTGACTGCCAGGGGCAAAATTTTGTGCTCAAAACTTTAAGTAAAATTTTTTTAAAACTGTCTCATCTTTTGTCTTTAAATTGATTTTGTATGAAGTTGACATGAATTTGAACAAGTAGTTAGTTTTGTTCTTAAACTGGTACTTTTAATCAAAGTAACTTAAATATGCATGGCTGGAACAAGGCTTTAACTTTGAATGCATTGCTCCGCGGGTACTTTTGATTAAGCATTAAAAGCAAATCAACTAAGAGCCTTTTTCTTGAACTACAGCTCTTTCAGAAACTGCAGAAGTGGAGTAAGGCTTCAAGCAGGAAAGGATGACTCAGACTCTCCTTTAAAGTCATTTGCATTTTGAATCTAAACTCTGATCTGAACCAACTTTAGCTGCTTTCTCTCTATCTTACAAAAACTCACCTGTCCCCATGCCGAGTATCACCTCAGCAGACATGCAGAGCAGTCCCAACACGCAGTTCAACCGCTGGGCTCTCATTCTGCTAGCTGGGCTGTAGTTCGGCCACCAGAGATGCAGACTGACAGACAGCTCTATGAGCACCTAACAGAGGCACTGTGATGCACAAAGGAAAAAAAATGTGACTGGCTGACACTGTGGTTTGATCAGCTGATGTGTATGTGCCCTGTTCAACATCAGATCAAAGGTGTGAAAAAGCCTTTTTCTGAGCAAACTATACCCAAATCGAAGCTCTACAGCTGCATGCTCTTCCCACGCTTCCTCTTTTTAGCACACACCAGGTTTCGTTTATGATTCCACTTTTCGTGTTTGTTTGGACTAACCGCTTTTGGTAAACAACTTAAAAAGCATTGTTGTGCAGACTGGAGAAGCACAGGGAAAATACCACAGCAAGAAATCAAGACAGCAACAGAGCAGGTGTTAACCACCAAGACTCTAGTGGAAAGATGCGCACTGAGGAAGGTAGAGGCTATTCTTTATAAAACATGGATCATCCACTTCACTACACCTTGATGACCCAGAGGGCCAACTGTGGTGGACAGCTCCTCTCACTTTACCGCAGGACAAAAAGATGCAGATGATCTTTTGTGCTCAGCCATCAGACTGTTAAATTCTTCTGAAAATAGTAGATGACATGAGCCTGCAGACAAATTAATTTCCCTTTGTGGATCAATAAAGTTCAGGCTCTCAAGCAGCTTTGCATTTATAGAAACGGACAGGACTCTGGAGTGGAAATCACTACATGGGCTCAAAATCAGTTCCTAAAACCAATGTCTGTGAACACAATTCATTACAGCATCCACAACATAGGTTAATACTGAACCATGCAAAAGGGAAACCAGATAGAAACAGGAACCAGAAAAAACAAAGAGTTTTCTGGACCTGAGCCCGCTAAAGATGGACTCTAAAGACAGTATTTCTGATAGTATGGGGATCATCAGTGTCCATGTGGTAGAAGAGTCCTGGTGCTACACTGGCCTGCCTGTTACTGAAAACATTTGGAGCATCATGATAAAAAAAAATATATATATACATACATACATGTGTGTGTGTATAGAAAGGAGACCCTGAACTATTGAGCAGCTGACTTAAAATCATTAATAATGATTTTTTTTTTTAATTAAATAATCTTTTTCCCCCCAGTTTTATGAACTTATTTGTTGTCTTTGCACTATGTCCCAACTCTTTTGAAACTGGGGTTGATTTGGCACACATTAGAGCCCCCACACTAAAATGAGCATGCACTGTTGGAGCACTTTGATGCTGAACATTGATGTTTAATCTCTTTAAAACAAACAAAAATAACATTTAACTTAAAACACTCATCTGTGGAATGACGAAAAAGTCACAACAAGAATAAAATGATCTTGTACCTTAAAAAAAAATGAAGACATTGATTCATTTAGGATGGATGAACCAAACACTGAGCTGGTAGTTGCACATGAGAAAAAAAATTCGGTGTAGTTACTAAGTGCTTTAAAAGGCATTGATCTTCTTGAATCGCAGAGCAGCAAGGTTTTCCTGTTAAATGAGATAAGACGGTCACACTGTTGCATAGTTATCAATGTGTATGATGACACTGGAACAGTGGAGAAACCTTAACACAAATTAAAACAACATGTTTCATAAAGGACAGTCTACCTTTGGAATAAATAAAAAAAAAAAAAACCTTCTAATGTCAATTCTGCATTCACAAGCACAAGGTCCAGGAGTTCTGGCTGTGCTGAAAGGTTTGAGTTGTTTTCTTAGTGGTTTATTGCTTCGTCCAACATCTGACATAGAAACTTAACACCTGCTACAGATTTGTGTTTCTCAGGACAGCTGGTGGATTCCAGGACTTTGAAGCACACTCTCTGTCAGCAGCAGTTTTTTCACATCAACGTGTCATTCAAATAAAAGAGCTTGTTCTTCTGGACTCCTCATGCTCACATAGATTCAGTCTCAAGTCCAGGGCAAGAGAGCATCAAAGTTCAAGACAGACAGCTCCCTCATGCGGTCACATTGTAGAACAGCACCAATAGAGACTTCACTGGTCCTTGGCGTGCCCTTTGTGGTCCCAGTTTGACTAATATAATGGTCCAGTTGACCAGTCAGCCCCAGTTTAACATTCATGTCCTCCTCACCACTGCATGTGTGGTGGCTGTGTGTGGACCTGACTCTCGTTCCTGTACTGGGTGTGCAGTAGTGTGCTTGCCTGGGGGGAGTCCTGGCCCTGCAGCCAGTCCTGATATAGGGTATGCAGAGCAGGGTTAACCTCTGGTAGACAGACTGGTAGGCTGCTATAGACCTCTTCCATCTGCTGCACCAGATTTTTATCCACTCGGCCGGCCACATCACTTTCTGCCTGACCACGACCACTCAAGCACCCTGAGAGGAAACATGGCAGAGAGCTCAAGTGTCACGCTCATTCACTGGTAAAATATTAAAACAACACCTTCCTAAATCATGTCTGCAGTTGTGGAGTTACCTCCTGGGCAGGAAAGCACCTCCACCAGCTGATAAGGCACTCGTCCTTTCCTCATCCGGTGAACCAGAGTCTGGATGTTCCTAAAACCATAGATGGCAGCAAACTGCAGCAGAGTTTCCCCATCTCTCTCCAGAGTCACTTCCTGGAAGTCCCTGTTCCTGCACAGTAGACATGGAAAACATCAGGAAAAATAATCATCTTCAATCAAAATCTAAAGATATGCAAATAAAAAGCCATTGGTTCTGCTTTCAATGATGAAAGATAAATGTGCAATAAGAGGTAAACTAAGATTATAATACAGAATAAAAATATAGCTCCCTCAATGGAATATTTAGGATTTTAAGTACGTCACATCAACAGAAGGGTGTTTTGACATCTGTCATTAGTTTGCTGTGGTCTGTGATATAGTTTCAAAATAGCCTCAAATTCGGTCTGTTTGCACACAGAGACATTTACATGCAGAGCAAAATGTGTAATGTTGAAAATGCTCCATAATTGGTCCATAAACACATGAACATACATTAAAATACTAAAACCACAGACTCTTGAGTCTTTGAAAGTAACTCAACACATAAGTGTTTAAAAAAAAATTTGCTCATTAAGGTTTATTTCTCACTGCAGCTGCTAAATAAATGTTTTGAACTGCCACATCACGATGCTGTTTATTTGTTTTACCAGCAGTCTCAGTCTGAGTCTCACCTGAGGGTTTTGTATGTGATCTCATGAACCTCCAGACCAAAGAGCTCTTTGGCAGCATGTTTGAAGATGTGCTCCAGGAAGCCTTCAGATCCTCGGCCCTCGTGTCTCACTGGTGTCAGGTCACCAGCCTCACCAAGCCTGCGACGATTAGAAAAACTACATGATGATACAGGCGATTTCAACAACCCCTCAGTGAAAACATACTTTTTTCAGAGGGGATGGCCAATTCATCACCTACAGTGACAAAGTATCACAAAGATATTTGTGCTCCCTCAATGGCCACAAGGACTAAATTCAAAGTACAAGTTATGCACTGATTAAAATACCTGAGAGTTTGCATTTGTTCAGTTACTTCTCACCAAAGACAACTGTGGAAACTGGTTTATCTGATACTCACACATGGTCCAGGGGAACAGAGTCCAGCTCTTCCACTGAAACTTTTCTCTGCTCCATGAGGTAAAAGATCTCCCCTGAAATATATAATAAAACCATTATTAATATCACTGGTTCAGTATGTGTCATACAGCGTGGTGAACATACTTACCCTCATGGTTTCATTCAATACTCATTATTTAAAGCCCACATTTTACTAGAAATAGTGCAAAGACAACACATCAAACATTGAAAGTAAAAGTTGTTAATAAATGCTGACTTAAATTTGATGCCAGCAACACATTTCAAAACTGTTGGGAAGGGTCCTATTTATCATTGTGAACCCAGCAGACCAGTTTCTGGGGTTTTTCAGTGAAATGTTGTCCCATTCTTGACACACAGAGGATTTCAGCTGCTCAACAGTTCAGGGTCTCCTTTTTCCTGTTTTTGGTGTCATGATGCTCCAAACAGGGGACAAGTCAGGACTGCAGACAGACCAGTTTCTCAGCAGGACTCTTCAACAACAGAGCCATGCTGCTGTAATCCCTCTTTTTAGAATGTGGTTTGTTATTGTCTTGCTGAAATCTGAAGGATGAGGTGTCCATGATTTCCATAAAGAATGCCAAACCACATGACACTTCATCCCAGAGAAGTTGTTGACATTTCTAGTTCCTGTTTCTATTTGGTTTCTTCTTCCCACTGTTCAGTTTGAACCTCATTCCTGGATGCAGTGATGAACTGTTTTCACGGACAATTTTTGTGAAGGGGATTTTGAGCCCATGCAGTGATTTCCACTTCAGAGTCCTGTCTGTTTTTAATGCAGTGCTGCCTGAGAGCCTGAAGATCAGGACCATTCAGTCTTGGTTTTGGTCCTTGTCCCTTTAGTACAGAGATTTCTCCAGTTTCTCTGAATCTCTGAATGATATCATGTTCTGTTGATGATGAAATCCACTCATTCTTTCACATATAACACTCAAGAAAATTATTCTGAAACTGTTGAACTGTTAACTCACACAGTCTCTCACAGAGTGGTGAACCTCTTCCTATCTTTCCTTCTGAGAGACTCAGCCTCTCTGAATGTCCTTATTACACCCAGTCTTTTTACTAAACTATTGAAAATTCATCTCATTATTAGTTTGGAGATGTTCCTCCAGCTCTCTGTCCTCACTGTTTGAAAACGTGTTGCTAGCATCAATTTTAAAATTATCATACATTTGTTGTTCAACAATAAAACTTGTCAGTTTTAATGTTGCAAATGCTGTCTTTGTGCTGTTTTAGTCAATTACAGGTTAAATAATTTGCCAACTATCAAAATGTGTTTCAAAGTTACATTTTCACTGAATCCCAACAGAAAATATCAATTCAAATTCAATATCATATTGTGTTTAAAATCAACACTCTCTTTCAATTGATATAATTATGCCTCATTATATGTTATATGTCTTTTTTTTATAGCTGGGACCGACTGCTATGTGAGAGTAATTGTGATGGCTGTATTATGACTTATAATATAAAAAAAGTTTCTTTTAAAAGTGAACTTGATCATTAAATGTGACATGTTTTTTATTTTCAGGATGAGATATTCAATATTAAGGTCAAACTGGCTCCAGACCTCCAAAGAATAAATGCTCTGACATTAACGTGATCTGAAAATTTGTTGGTCCAGAGTAGAAGTGTGTGAGATGAGGAGGACTGTACCTGATGTGAGGACACAGTCCACATCTCTGGTCTCCAGCAGGCTGTTGTAAAACTCCTCTCTGACAGCCTCAAACTTTTTATCAAAGCAGGGGGCCACCAACACATGGTACACCTTCTCTGGACTAAGCTTCTGCAGGGATAATATTGATAATATAATAATAATAATAATAATAATAATAATAATAATAATAATAATAATAATAAGATACTGATTAGACAGATTCCTCTGATGCACAACTGAACGCCTTTGTCTTCATTTATGTTTTTTTTTCAGATCAACAACACAGATTACTTGTATGACAATGGCGCCAAAATGTCATTAATTAGTCCCTTTAATTGGTCTGATTAATTGGTCCCTCTCTTCAACAGACCGCCTCCTTGTAAAGTGAGGAGCACCAACATAAATATAAAGAAGAAGCTCACCTGCTGTTTGGAGAAGTAGTCTTTGACCAGACAGCCCATAATCTGCTGAGGTGACCTGGCCGTGCAGATGTGAGGGGTGACCAAACTGCCCAGGACGCGCTCTGAGTAACGAATCCAACCTGGAAGCACAAGAGGAATATCATCAAATACAGTGCCTTGAAAAAGTATCCATACCCCTTGAACTTTTTCACATTTTGTCACTACAACCACAAACTTAAAAGTATTTTATTGAGATTTTTTGTCATAGACCAACACTAAGTAGCACATAATTGTGAAGTGTAATGAAAATGAGACATGGTTTAAAAAAATTTAAACAAATACAAATCTGAAAAGTGTGGTGTGCATTTGTATTCAGCCCCCTGTATTCTGATACCCCTAAATAAAATCCAGTGCAATCAATTGCCTTCAGAAACCACCTAATTAGTTAACAGAGTCCACCTATGTGTGATTTAGTATCAGCATAAATACAACTGTTGTGTGAGGGCCTCAGTGCTTTGTTAGAGAACACAAGTCAACAAAGAGCATCGTGAAGACCAAGGAACTCACCAGACAGGTCAGGGAAAAAGTTGTGGAGAAGTTTAAAGCAGGGTTAGGTTATAAAAAAAATATCCAAAGCTTTGAACATCTCAAGGAGCACTGTTCAATCCATCATCCAAAAGTGGAAAAAGTATGCCACAACTGCTAACCTACCAAGACATAGCCGTCCACCTAAACTGACAGACCGAGCAAAGAGAGCACTGGTGAGAGAAGCAGTCAAGAGGCCTATGGTCACTTTGGAGGAGCTGCAGAAATCCACAGCTCAGGTGGGAGAATCTGTCCACAGGACAACTATAAGTTGTGTACTCCACAAATCTGGCCTTTATGGAAGAGTGGCAAGAAGAAAACCATTGTTGACAGAAAGGCATGAAAAGTTCCGTTTGCAGTTTGCCACAAGCCATGTAGGCGACACAGCAAACGTGTGGAAGAAGGTGCTCGGCGAAAAAGTAATACTGCTCATCACCCTGAACACACCATCCCCACTATGAAACATGGTGGTCTCATGCTGTGGTCATGCTTTTCTTCAGCAGGGACAGGGAAGCTGGTCAGAGTTGGTGGGAGGATGGATGGAGCTAAATACAGGGCAATCCAAGAAGAAAACCTGTTGGATGCTGCAAAAGACTTGAGACTGGGAAAGAGATTCACCTTCCAGCAAGACAATGACCCTAAACATACAGCCAGTGCTACAATGGACTGGTTTAGATCAAAGAATATTCACTTGTTAGAATGGCCAAGTCAAAGTCCAGACCTAAATCCCATTGAGCATCTGTGGCAAGACAACAGACGCTCTCCATCCAATCTGGCTGAGCTTGAGCTATTTTGCAAAGAAGACTGGGCAAAAATTTCAGTCTCTAGTTGTGCAAAGCTTGTAGAGACATACCTCAAAAGAGTTGCAGCTGTAATAGCAGTGAAAGGGGGCTCTATAAAGTACTGACACAGGGGGGCTGAATACAAATGCACACCACTCTTTTCAGATTTTATTTATTTAAATTTTTTTAAACCATGTGTCATTTTCGTTTGACTTCACAATAATGTGCTGCTTTGTGTTGGTCTATGACAAAAAAATTAATAAAATACTATTAAGTTTGTGGTTGTAGAGTGACAAAATGTGAAAAAGTTCAAGGGGTATGAATACTTTTTCAAGGCACTGTAAAAACATGTACACAAGAGAGATACGGTAAAACAAATACAGATGATGAATTATAGAAGGAGTAGGTTTATCATGGATCTGTTTGTCATTGTCATGCTCAGAATTTGTCTGTTCAGTCTACTATATATGATGCTCTCTGAATGCTTCAGATGGCACAAGCAGGAAATGAGTAAGCATCCTCCACTTAGCAGCTCATGCACATGATCTCAGCTCTCGGTTCCTCTTTCTGCATCTGCATCCCTGTTTTTAGTAGGGTTTTTTAAGGCTGATGAAAGTAAAATGATAGACAGATTGAGAGGAAAGGCTGATGAGAGTGTCTCCAGACTTTGTTTGTGGAGGAAAAGTCAGCCAGTACTTTCAGTCTCTAACTACTGCGCATTAAATGGGGGCAGAGTCGGTATCTGTTCTGTGACAGGACTGCTCCTTTGAACTCTGCTCTTATGCCTTGGTACAGCATATGAACAAACTAATTTATTTCTCCCCTGCTCAAAAACAATTTTTATATAAACTTAAATCTCTGGGGAACCTTTCTGTCTGTGTTGGTTTTCGCGCCCTTTGTGGACAAATCAGCGCTCTTATATCCTTGCTGATCTCACCCTTATCTGTACAAGTGTCCTCTAACAAAATAAGTCATCTTGCTTTCTTCTAACTTTCAAATGTTTTAATCGCTCTGGATATGTGCTGCGAAAATAAGCTGCAAGTATCCTGGGGGGTATTCCACGAAGCTGGCTAAAGAAGGCTGGGCTAACGCCAGTAAGCGTGGCTTGAATAAGCGTCCACTTTAATCTTAGCTGCGACTCGTTCCACTAACGAGGCTCAGCTGTTTTTCATCAACGCTTATTCAAGCCAGGCTGAACCAAGCCGCGGCTATGCGCGCCTCCGCAGTACATAAAAAGCCCAGACGTATCAATTGTCGCAATGACGAGATCATGGAGAAAAAAGGGCAGAGCAGAGTCTTTCTCAGCGGCGGAGCAAACACTCTTCATGGAGTTGTACAAAGAGTACAAGGGAAAAAACACTTTCATAGCAAGCAGGAGCGCCTACAGCAGCAGGGGGCGCCAATTTGACAAGAGTTAATACAAAACCGCTTTGCGGTGCCGCCCCGGGTGGCTGCCCGGTTCTCCTGTGCCAAGAACCGCTACTGTACTGTAGGCATAATTCATGTTTTTGATTTGACAAATAGATATCCATAATGGATTGGTATAGCAGCTACAGGTAAGACCTAAAACTAAAGTAGGCAAACTTAGACAAAAAGTGAAGAAAAACATGTACCTGGAGATGTCTTTCTTTTCTTTTTTTTATTAGGGATGATAGTGGCACAGCGCCCTTCATTTAAATAAGGGAGACGACACAAATGAGCTTGTACACAGAGTAGTCATGTCGTCATTTGCCATCACCTTCACATTATCATCATTATAATCAGAATCGACCACTGGTGAGAGGGAGGTTTTTTTAATGGGAAATTGTTGCTGTTGTCGCCTTCAGTGTTTTGGATGAGATCATTTGTGCCTTTCTTCTGTTATGTGTTGACAATAAATTGAGAGTCACAGACTAAAAGAAATAAAATCAGATATCTCCAAATAATTACTGCTGACAGGATCGAACCCCCAGAGCAGTGAAAAACACATTTTACCGGCAGTTCTCTTTACCCACTCAGCTACTGAATTTCTTTTTCTCCTTGAGGTTGGCGTAGTATTGGGCATGTCCGAATTCACGTATTCCTGTGGTGTTCCAAAAAGTTCTCAATTTATTTTTCCGAACAAGAGCATCATTTATTACAGATAAAGATGAAATTACTGTGTGACATGTGGTTCACAAAGCGTCTTCTGGAAGCCCGTCGGACCTTTTCTGAGACACAGCTAAGGTTAGCTTGACTGTAAGCCTGCCTGGGACCAGGCTTGTCGTGCTGGCTGAGTTACCATGGTTACCAAGCCACGCTAGCCCTAAGCCTCATTTGTGGAACCGAACTAAAACTAGCCAAGCTAACCGAAATAAGCCAGGCTTTGAGCTAAGCCAGCTTCGTGGAATACCCCCCTGGTCTGACTCTTATCTCCTCACAGCACTCACTGACATCAAAAATGACAGCAATTTTCATTTTCAAGAGGGAACCTTCCTAAAAGAATCGAAAAAAGTCTATCTTATCTAAACAAATCCTATCTAATCTAATCCCTTAATTAAAATACAGTCACTGTAACAGGCTAGGTTAGTTGAAGGGCTCAGAGTTTATCTAATCGCTTCAAACAAGAGTGCAACAGGTACAAACTCCTCTCTGCCTCCATGCTTCATGTCAGTGATAAAGAAACAACCAGCTATTAGCGGCATCAATTTCATATTTTAAAACTGTCCTTTAATGTTAACAGCTCTGTGTTCAGACCTTGTATTTGTTTAAAGACATCATATTTTGTAAGGGGCTTTGTGATTATTAACTCTGAATCCTCCAAGTCAAAGATACAGCTGGGAGAGCAGTGAGCTGTTTGGCCAGCAGGCCTGTCCAAGGGCATCTCCTACGTAAAGGAGATTGGGGGCTGAGCCCAAACCCCCACCCTCAAAAAGAAGTGGGCACAGAAATTATGTTTTATTTCTTGACTTCAAACAAGGCCCATATCAGCAGAGACAGCACGGCAGCATTATATTGTGGGGGAGTCTAAACTAAACCATCCCACTAAAGTAATCCAGAGATTACACAAATTTGAGACTTCAGAGAGAGAAGTGACGCAGATTTAGACTCTAGGCAAGGCAAGCTTATTTGTATAGAACAATTCATACACAAGGCAATTCATAGTGTTTTACAGATGCAAGGTGAGGACACACTAGAACAACATTGATACCAATTTATGGTTGATAAATTAATTGAGTTATTTTGAAGACAGAAGACATTTTGACTTTTTACTGACTAAAACTAAAAACGGTAAAAAGACTAAACTGGATCCAGACACCAATTAAGGCCTTACTGTTTCCATCGGTCGCTTTCATAACCAGATAGAACTCCACACAGGATCTTCAAACTCTAAATCTATTATGAGAAGAATTCTAAAAAGCTGAGACACACTGTTGAACTCATTTTAAGTTTAAACAATGATTAAAATATTTCTTAGTTTTTTTTTTTTATTTGCTTATTTTGACATTTTAGATAGTTTCATTACTGCTGTAAATATTTCTAAAGATCAAAATTTCCAGCAGCTTCCTTTTCTGAGGTTGAGTGAAACCACATTTAAGAACTAGTTTAGAGACCCCACAGAGTAAACAAGTGAAAAAGAGCCTAAATTTGTTTCCTGAGAAGAAACTGAGAGCTCCTGAAGGTCTTCAACACTTTCTCACTCTATCTCTGGTGAAGGGCGTGGTTTAAGAGGAGCTTCATATCTCTATCCACCAGCACACACTGCTATCTAAGCTTCTAACACAAGCTGCCATGAGGACCAGCAGAGGCACAGTGGGAAGCATCAGAGTAGAGGTCAAAGCTGTGAATGAAAAGGAAAGAGGCAAGGAAAGATCCTGGGAGGAGAAAAGGGGTGATAGTGTACCTGGACAGGAAGAGGTGAACATGGGCAAAGCGTTGGAGTCATGGTGCCTCCTGCGGAACCTCTGAATAAACTCCTTCTGACTCTCCAAGATGCTGAAACCGGCCGCCAGCGTGGTGTCAAACACATACCGCACTCCTGCCGGAAAACACAGAGGGGTGAGGACACAGACAGAAAGGAGAGGGCGAGGACACAGACAGAAAGGAGAGGGCGAGGACACAAGACAGATGACTGAAACTGTCAGCTCTTCACCCCAATGACAAAGGTGACGACATCTTTACAAAGTGATGCCAACAGTCTCAGAAAAACTACAAGCTCATGAGGCTTATGATGTAACAAAACAAACAAACAAACAAAACAGGTTTTGTTTAAAGCCTACAATATTAAACTCCATGAAGACAATGACACACAAAACCTGATATAAATTCTTATTAAAGACTTTTTAAGGCCTTTTTGGATTCAAACCAGAGGTAAAAAAAGTAAATAGTTTTTTCACACAGCAGAATAATGTAAATGAACACAGGCTTAAAGGGATATTTCTTCATCGAAATGCAATCAGACTGAGACGCTAAGGCAGAAGAACTACTGCATCTGCAGTGCAAAATGATTAATATGGTGATTCTTACTTCAAGGAAATTATAAAGAAATTATTATTTCCTCTTCCTTGAGCTGCGTCACCCCGCAGCAGTCCGTAATGGACTGGCCTGAGGTCTTGCTACAAACAAGTGGCTGCCGGAAGAGAGTAGGTGAGTTGTGTTTAGTGTCTTAGCTAAAGAAATGCATTATTTGTGGCTATAGAGTGGCGTTTTGGTTGAGGTTTGTGTGTGGCTCCTCAGACCGCTGTGTATTGCTATCCTGCGGTCATTACTAAAATTGGTATAACTAGAGAAGCAAGCGGTCGGCAACATTGATCTCTCAAGGGGGTGTCTAACTCGGTGTTACTGTGTGTTTGACCCAAATTAATTTTACACCGGAATATCCCTTTAAAGCTCCTGTAGGGAGTTTCTGACATTAATGAAATCAACTGAATCTCACACTGATGCTTTTTTAGAAGAGTGAAGAGTTGGAGTGGAGTTCAATTTTGTTGCTCTCCCCTCATTCATAGAGCTTGTTTAGCTGTTTTAACATATGAAAAAGTGAATTTTTATTCAGATCTTTGTCTAAAATCGAAGCCCTCTCACGAGCAAAAATAAGATCTTAAAAGGTATTTTGAGGCCTTAACTTTTTGAAACTAATCTAAGACTTTTGAAGGATCTGCAGAAACCCTGTGAAACTAAATGATCAGTTCAACATAACACAAATATCCTGGATCATCTGTATCATCTCAAGTTGAAATGCAGAGATGTAAATCTGTCAATTTTGAATAATGCATGGAATCAATATAAATATTGTGGGAAGTCTCTCTGTGACAGTTAATGAATAATGCTCTCTCACCTAAGCTCTTGAGAAAGCTACAGAGTTTTTGGGCAGCCTCGGTGAAGTCCAGTCCAAACTTTACAGCAAAGAAAGGCAGGGACTGAGGGCACACTGATGCTACCAGCACCTTGTGCTTTGACACGTCACACCTCTGTCAGGGAAACAAAGGGGACAATGTAAGATAAAGCTCTGAGATTCACCTGCTCTCTGCTGAGGGTTCAGAAGGAGACCAAGTGGGTATTGTACCTTGTTAAGTGCCAGCACCCGTTCCACTTCCTCTAAGCTCTGCTGTGAGATCTTCAGACTCTCCTCCTCTGACAGACAGCCATCACAGGACAGACAGGCGCTCAGCAGCAGCTGAGACCCTTCCTGCACCTAAAAGGAAAGATTTGGATTGTCTTAGGGATTTTGTTTCTATATAGTGATTTTTTTCCAATTATGTTAATTCATTTTTTCTCAAGACAATCAAACACTTAACACCAATTCTCAAGCCAAGACAAAGACAAGTCAGAGATAAAGGATAATGATGAAGATGCATTAAAAAGTGTGGACCATGGGAGCGGAATAAAACAGAGGGACAAACAAATATATCTAGATATGTGATCTACTATGGTTCAGCTCTGCCAACACATTCACACTTCCAGTTGTTATTGCTTATGTATTTACAATACAGCTGTCACCATATCACAATTTTACCTTATAATTTTTGTGGAATTCAAATATCACAATAATAACAATAAGATTGCATAAATTATGGGAAACCTTACTGATAAATGTGACTAACTTGCAGTCATCATCCATTTCTAATTCTTGTTTCTCATGTCTTTATTTACATTCATTTGTCTTGCGTTGATGTTAATTTTTTTCCTGCACTGTGAAACTATGCTTTTATTTTCAAGTATGGACTACATCTGGTGGATCATAAGTAACAGAGCTGAATTAAAACAATTAAAAGAACTGTTACAAAGATTAAATGTTTACTGCAGTAGTTACCTGAATGGATACAAGCACAACATCAATATTTCATTCTTTAAAGACAGTTACCATAAATACTGGTATAGCATGACAGCTCTAGTTTACATCAGTATACACCAGAAAGGGTTTCAACATCCTTCTAAAATTACTCCTTTAATCAAAAGAATAAGGTTTCCTGTTTTTTTCCCCCTCACATTTCAGTCACGAGGCCAAAAGGACAACCGAGAGCGGCGACATCTGCTCAGGTTGGAGTTATACTTTTTAAATTTGTGGATTTTAAATAACATGCCATTCCAGCACAGTCTAAAAAGGTTTGACTGGTCTGACTATATATCATGTTACATGTTTCTAAAAACATGACCAGTGTGCTTTTCTTCTTTAACCTCAGACAACAGAGAGCTTGTCAAAGTAACAGTTTAGTACAGAAATGATTCTTTCTGTATTCAAATAAACCATAGTTGGACTAAGTTGTATCTCCTTGTATCTGTTCAGGAAGAACAGATTCTTTGAGCCTTTTTCACTGCGCTCTTAAGAGTCTTTATGCTCTCCTGAATAATGATGCTTTGAGGCATATGTGCTCCTAGTGTCGAACCCTGAAAACCACTGTTGTGGATATGAGTTATATTATCTGTAAGATATAATCCACTAATGATACAATTCAATAAACACTACATTTGACAATCAGTGAAACTCTGAGTGAACAGACGTCACCTGTCCATTGATTTTATCCCTTTCCTTTTCTGAGGTGGTCCCATCTTCACTCTGTTTCTTGTTGCACTAAAAATCAAAAAGATATTTCATGATTGAGGACAGAAATTCAGAAGTAAGTCATTAGTGAAGTAAACTGGAGTTAATTTACTCTAATATTAGTGAGTTATATGCAGATATTTACCTGTTTGGTGCAGTTCTCACACTTCTCCTTACGCTTTCCTACGTTGACCTCAGACATTTTCGCTGACAGTTATCTGTAAATTGAAGATAATATTTACTCAAACAGCAGAACTATTACAGGAAAGCCTTGTGTTGAAGCACTGGTAAGATGACCGTGCTTTCAGCCTGCTGTTGTGTGCTGCTCCGTCAGCTCCACCCTCCCAGCCTGTCCAATCACTAGCAGCTCACTTATCATGAACACAACAGCTCAATAATGATGGGAAACCAGGAGGGGAAACTGACAATGAACTAAACTAGTATCCTGTCATTAAGAATTTAAATGGATCAAGTTAATTATATACACAGTGCAAAGGTAAACACCCTTTAGGGCTGTTGCATCACATTTTGATGGTTTGAGCAACTAAAGATAAGACACGTAGAGGTGCAGCTCAAAAAATTAGAATATCAAGGGAGAGTTTTTCAAAATTCAGGAGGGTAAAATTTCAGATACTTATGTAATGTTTTAAACCAAAAATGACGCTGGTTCAAAACTCACGAGAGTTAGAAAGCAAGTATCTCACATTGGCAGAATCATTGCTAACATCAGTCAAAAGGGGTTTGTAATTCAGGGATGTCAGACTTCTGGAAAGTAGGTTCAGTGAGTCACACAGTCAATACTTGGTTGGGATGTCTCTGCTGCTTTAACTTATTAGCCTTTAGCTCTGCCGATGTGTTAGTGAAAACCAGGCTACATGGTGGCCTTCAGCTCGTCTGGATTTTTGTGTTGAGTGTTTCTTAACGTCCTCTTGACAGTTATCCGTAAGATTCTCAAGCACACGGATATCCTGGTTTGCCAGTTTCTGGTAGTTTTGGTGCTGGGGATGGGCAATATGGGCCAAAGAATTTTATCACGATAAGTTTTGCCATTCTGGCGATAATGATAAAAGTCCTAATAAAAAAAATTATGATTCCATGTTTTTGACTCATTCTGTCTTGAGAACCCCACAATCATTGTTCTTGGATGGCACTACCAGTTGGCATTGGCAAATAAGATACTTAACCACAAGTTTAAGGAATAGGTTATTAAGAAAACTAGTAACAAATAAGTCTGAAATGTGAAAACTCTTATTGCACAGAAAGAACCACAGCAGTAGATCCACTGTCCATTGTCAGGCATACCTGATAGCACTCGTCTAAGCCCCAATCTTGAAGGAAATCCCTTATATCCCTCGCTTACATCATCAACTTAGGTTTATTTCATTTAACATGAGATGATAAATATTCATCATGGTGGATTTTTCTTGCGATAAATCGTGAGCGTTAATTAATCACCCATTCCTATTTGGCGCTGTGGGCAGGTGCCGTGCCAGTATAAATCTTTTCAGCAGATGAAGCATGAAGGTCTGTTAGACTTAAGGCTGAGCTGACTCTGGACTTAATAAAACACAGTCAACCAGCAGCAGCTGATGACCTGATACCAAAAACCATCACAGACGGTGGAAACTTTACGCTGAACTTCAAGCACTTTGGATTCTGGGCCTCTCTGATCCTTCTCCAGACTCTGGGGCCTTGATTCCCAAAAGAGACACTAAATTGACTTCCATCTGAACACAGAACTTTGGACCACACACAGCAATAGTCCAGATTCTAATGACATTGTCTCTTGTTCAGGAGTGTCTGGATGGTTGTAATCCATTACCTGGACCCAGCTGTGTGTAGAGATTCTTGATAGTCAGGTCCTTGTGAAGCTCCCCTAAGTTCTTGAATCTGCTTTTATAGACAATCCGCTCAAGGTTGCACTAATCTCTATAGCTTTGGGTTTAGGTGTTTGGGTTTATCTACTGGACCATTGTTAAGTCAGCAGTCATCCCCATGGTTGTGGCTTAATGTTCTGAAGTAGATTAAAATATACTGAACACAGCGTTGATTCTGTTTGAATACTAGTTTTTTTGTTTGTTTGTTTTTTTAAACCAAAAATTTCAAATTGAAATGTTTTCTTTAAACCTTTTGCACTATTTGCCTGCTGAATTGGATTAAATTTCCCTTCTGGAATCAATAAAGTTCTACTTATCGTACTTATCATGATTAAAAAAACTTTCATGAAATCACTTTGAATATATTAGTTTAAATGTTAGCAGTCCAGGAAAAATATGTTTGGTCACTTAAGATAACTAATGGAAAATACTGATGATTTAATGATATATTGAAGTTGTAAGCAGCATATATTCTCAAAGTAAAATCTCACATTTATTATAAGATTGAATAACTAACATGTAAATTGAATTATAAAAATGTTGACTATGAGCTGAATATGAAGTTACAGGTACAATTTCAGCCATTGCTAGCTTTTATTTAGTATCAATCATTTGGAGTCAGAGGGTTAGGAAGGTTTGGGTTATTTTCAGCCTGTTTCGGTGCGGGCCTTTTCTCTGACTACAATAATTTCAGTTTTGGTGAATCTGTGTAAATTAAACATTTTAACATGAGCTTATAACAATGCAAGGTAAAAAGAAGGGGTAACTCACAGAGTGGTCTCTGTTGTAAAGCCTTCACACACAAAGACGTGGAAACATGCAGAGGACAGTGAAGAAGACAGCCGCACTGATACACAGCAGGTGAGGTCAACAGTTACTCAGCACTCTCTCAGTCTCAGGTGAAGCCGTCTTTAGGTCGTGTCATCGCCTCTGGACACAGCACCCCCAATGTTGTATAATACTATACAACTTAAGCTTATATACGCGTCGAAGAGCCTAAAACATTCGCCAGTCATGTCTTTGGACGTCCAACTCCATTGTGTACCCCGGTGAATCTAGGACGCCTGCGCAGATGGAGTAACTGTCTCCTCATGCGCTCCGGAAGCGTCAACAATTTTCAAAATAATTTCTTTAAATGTAAATCATTGAAAGATAACCTAAAAAGGAAAAAAAAAAAAAACACAAATAAGTATACAAAAAACAACCTTGGTTTCTGCTGTCATTTTTCTTTTATTTCATTTTGCGAATTTATTTTAAAGGTTCTTCTATCAATCAGAAAAAGAGTGGTCTGCTGCTATCATTTTTTGTTGTGTGGAACCGTTTTAGTCTTGTTATTACATTTTTTCTCTTTTTTGTATAAAAGTCTTTGTATAGGTAAAAGAGAGCTTTTTATCTGTGCTCTGTGTGCATGATTAGTGTACTTATTCTTCTATGTTTGCTTTGCTGACCCTTTGCTGCTGTTAACACTGCAAATTTCCCCACTGTATAAAGGGTGTAGGCTATAAAGGAGCTTTTCTTATCTTGTTATTCTGTCTGCATGAAATAACAGAAATTTATGGACTGTCTTTGTTTGTGGAGAATATATTAACCATGCAAAAACTTTATTTATCCACAAAGGGAAATGTCTGGAATCTCATAAAAAATCCACTGGAAGGAAAGTTAATAAACTGTGTAAATCCAGTCAGGTGAGAAGAGAAGATGACATTGTTGAAGTCTTCTGGTATTAACTGTTGACAGTTGCTCTTTGGCCATATTATGTTCCAAGGGAGTTCAGTCATATTACAACAACACTTGTATGCGTGTATTCTCCATGTTAGCTTTAGCATCTCTGTCTGACATTATGACAGTAATGCCAGGTAGATCCACACTAAAATCTGAGATGTTTTGATTCAACCTAGTTCCAGTAAACCACAGAGGACTACACTCACAATAAGCTTTCTCAGCCTTCACTAAAATCTCCAATTCATCATTTTTGTTGGGTAGAGAGTTGACATTTCCCATGATGACTCATGAAAGAAGAAGAAGAAGAAGAAGAAGAAAAAGAAGAAGAAGAAGAAGAACTTTATTAATTCAATTATCTGTAGTCTCAGGTGTCATGTCTCAAGTCATCAACTATTTACAGAAGAATTATAAAATTTGAGGGCTGTAGGTACAACAGATCTTCTGAATCTTTTTGTCCTGCAGTGGTTTTAAAAATATTGATTTGTATAAGAGAAATTAACCCCTTTAAAAAAATAAGACATTTTTCTTGAAACTTTGAATCGCAAAAAAGATCAGAACGCCATTTGTAAAATTTATTTTACTTTGGGCTTTTGTTTTGAAGGCGGCGCCAAAGAGAAGCCGTCCAATCAGAGCAGACTGATCCAGGAAGGAAGTATCACCCATTCAGGACAACTTGCTGTGTGGAGATTGTTGCAATATTATGAGAGGAACTTCCTTATAATCTATTGTATGAGCTTCCTCGTACAAGTTCTGTTTCATATCTGAGAGGTCAAAATCTGAAAAAGAGAAGAGTCAAGGTAAGTGACACAAAAACATGTTGTCGCTAGTGTTTGTTATTGTGAGACTGATGTGTGAGGAGTTCATGCAGCACACCTCTCCACTCTTACAGACAGCATGAGCATCCTGGTGGTCTGTGTGATCGGTAGTCAGCTTTATAACATAGGGAGTTCAACTTATTCTTAGATATCTGTCAAGTTCTGGTCTAACCCAAACAAAATAAATCTAAATGGACCTGAATTTGAGACAAATGTCAGAGCAGACGTTCCTCCTTGATAATGTCCTGCTCATCCAGGACATTAACACGCAGTTCCAAATGACAATGACAAAGGAGCTCAGTCATATAAAAACGCTATATTTCAATATTATGTGTCAGAGATAGCAAAAATACCCACCTTGGCCAAAAGACCACTTAAAATTCCCAGTGTGAGACACATGCAGAAACAGTATCTGTGATTGAGACAGTCAGGGTCAGGCATAGGGATGCACAATGGTGGATTTCTGCTCATATGCAGGATATTTTCAGACTCATTTTGGCCAATACTGATATCAACTAGAAATAATCAAAGTGTTCTTTTGATTATAGACATACAATTCTATGTCTACTGTCTGTTTATCAGGCTAAAGATACTTCTATACAGTCTTCATGGATAATTTAATGAAACACGTCTTTGCTGAAAATGATATATTAGCAGAAATTTTCATATCTGTTGATACGATAATTGACTTTTTAAGCTTACATCTGCTGATACGAATGCCATGCCATTAGAGTCAAAATAATGATTAATTTGGCTGTTAAAAAACAATTTGAACTAATTGGCTTTGTCTGTCGAGTAATAACTACATGTTTTCCCATCCTTACTGACAGCAGATAAAAAAGAAAGCAGTTACTGGTTAATGTTTGTTATTGCTTCATTCATTGATATCAGTCATGTTATGAAAACTGTAGTATAATCCGGTGTATTTTCTTTGTTTCATGAATTAATTAAAAACCCATCTAAACTATATTACTGGCTGAAATGACTGTGTTGTAAAGAAATACTAGGTTTTGTTATGGTTATGAATTTGTTGTTTTTTATCAAACCAAAAAAACAATAGTGGTCAACAAACAGCTAAAATGCTAGGTGTCTACAGTTCAAGCTCTGCCTTCTCTACAGTTTCCCTTCAGTGCCTACGCCTAGGACATTTCATGAAGCCCCGAGTTGGCTCTGTTTCTCAGCACCCACCCGTGTTAATTTAATTCTGACCATGTCTTGATAGAGGAGCATTAGAGGATAATGGACAGCTTGCTGTGGATTTTATTCACTTCTTATTGTCCAGAGTATAAAAGCCAAGAAGCTGAACTGTCTTTATAAAGTTAACTGATTAAAATCATTGAAAGACTTCAGCAGCAGTCAGACTCACATACAAGGAAAATGTGACTGAAAAAAATGGATTTAGACCCAGCAGGACTTACCTGTGATGGACATGCATTTTAACATTATTATTGCAGTTTATCGTTTTTGAAACATCACATTTGGAAGAGAAAACATTCAAATATTGACGCTCAATCAAAGCACTCAAGAAACACCAACAGAACAGAGTTACTGTTTAGTGAAATGATCAATTTAAACTTTTTTCTGAAGCACGAGGTCTGTGCTATTGGTGAGGACATTAGCCAATATAGGGTTACTTTGGGCCCAATAACTACTGAGCCCAGAGTATTAGGAGCCATCTTGGATAGTTCCTCTGGTTGTGTACTGTTGGTAGTAGTTGTTGTCAAAGTAGTTTTATTATAAGTATTTATATGACCGCTGGGGCAGGCCTCAGCCTTGCACCAGACCTAAAATGGGAAAAGTGGTAAAGATGATGCATGGATAGATTTGTACAGGATTGAGAAGAATATAACACAATACATTGACTGCCATTGCACTAGTATAATAAAATGTAGTCTGAGCCTCTGCATTGTGCAACAACAGCATCAGGGAAAACAGTCTTTATTTTGCATTATTTGCAGGAGCCATGGTGTTGTAATTATTATTGGTCCACGTGATGTCACCAGTAATAAGAGCTTGGTTATGAACTTTGAATTTTTCTTATAATGCAGTCAATAACTTTGTTCTGTGTAAACTTATGATAAATCACAACCCTGAGGAATTGTGTCCCAGCGAGCCTTTCAATATAAACAAAATTACAGATTAGATCAAACTTGGTTTCATAAAGCCCTCAGCTGGATACCACTTGGCACATGTGAGAAGCTCCTTTAGGGTGTAATAGTCGTGTCAAATCAAGAATTTCAATTCATATTGCTGCCTCTCTTCAGATGGGATACATGACGGTAGAAGAGCAAAGTGCCAACCTACTCCACCTGAAGAGATCCCCGGGTATTCGCTCCTGGTCTCTGCTTGTTGGTAAGTGTGTGTGTGTGTGTGTGTGTGTGTGTGTGTGTGTGTGTGTGTGTGTGTGTGTGTGTGTGTGTGTGTGTGTGTGTGTGCAAGAGTTCATACACTCTTTATATGAAACCCCTTTTAATGTGCTAACATTAAAAACATCTCTGCTCTTTTTTTTATAATCTCTGAAATGAACAATAAGACTCTCGTTTTCATTGCAGGAATAGCATCTGTTGGGTTAACCGCTGCATACTACAGCTCAGGTACACAAATTGAATTGACATCATCCCTTAAAACAAGTTAAAAACAACAGCTTTCAACTTACTTTAATGTCCCACAATATCGTTTTTTATGTCGATCTTCCAGACAGTATCCTCTGGAAGCTTTTCTATGTGACCGGCTGCCTGTTTGTGGCCATGCAGAACATGGAGGAATGGGAAGAGGCCGTGTTTGACAAAACCAAGAACCTTATTGAGCTTAAGAGTTTCAGCTTGTACGCTTTAGTCCTAACACTTTGGAGGAAAGGACATGAAAAAGGTCTGAGTGATTCACCTGATACAGCAGACTTCAGATCTACTTATAATATCAAAACTAGATCTGAAGCTCATGTTTGATATTTTTTCTTTCAGTTGTGTTGGACCTGACACAGCTGTGTGATGTCTGCGTCCAGGAGGAGAAGGTGCGTTATTTGGGGAAGGGCTACCTGTTGATGCTGCGCCTGGCTGCTGGGTTCTCGTATCCACTGACTCAGAGCGCCACTATGGGGAGCCGCAGGTGGGTGTGTCATATTTTCGAAAAACAGTCCACACATTAGTTAAAGACTGTCCTGGTATCAGGGTGTATAGTAGGAAAACAAACCTCTCGCTGGTACTCTTTCTCTGGACACAGCAGAACCTGTGGTGATTCAGACATCATGAGACCTTCTCTCTCTAGAGCTCTGAGGTTCACTCATCACTGCTCTTTGTAAACTCATGTACAGCCTGCATCATCTATGCAGAGACTAAATCACAGGCATGTCCTTATATATGAGCGTACCTGCCAACATCTGGGTTTTAAAATCCGGGAGATTTCTGCGGCGCGCGCCAGGCAATTTTGGGGTTACCCTGTATGGTGGATTTATTTATGAGAGAATTTGTAATTAGATTGCTCATCCAAATAAGTATAAGGGAAGCTGCACACTTTCTTGTTTTGTTTTAACAATAACAAATGGTAATAAAAAAATAATAGTTACGATATGCCTTGAACTTGTTTAGTCCACCAATTTTAAAGTCCTCCAATGTTTTACATGCTCTCCCGTATGACGCTCTCTGAACATCTGTGCAAGCAATACAGCACTCTTTTATCTGAGGCTGCCCTGAACGCATCACTCCGAGACGGCCCACAACTATCAACGTAAATATTATATCTCACATTTGTTTTGCTTTCATTGAAGTGTTCATTTTGCAGCAAACACTGCTTAAATATAGTCTACAACTTAAACCGACCTAAAAGTGTCTGTGAGGCTCAGCAGAAACACAGGACTATCTTGAGTTGTCAAGAAACCTGGCAACTTTGGAAAAATATAGTGATCCGATTCATGAATGAACGTGGACCATCAAACTACGGGAGATTCCCTGGAGAAATGACAAAACAGGAGGTGGGCGGGAGAGTCTCGGGTAAAACCGGAGTGTTGGCAGGTATGTATATGAGGCAGTTCTCAACTTTCTCTCCTCTTATTTATTTGACGTTATTAAAATGAAAAATATTATAAGCTGCAGTGTTTTACACTGTGACTCAGACACAGGACTTCGTTTTGTTTTCTGTCCCCAGAAATAGGGAAAGGGTTAAAAGAGCTGGTGTGTGAATGTTTTTCAGAGTAGTTTGGAGGTGTTGAAGGATGATGCATCAGGCTGTAGATGCTCTGACCTTTGACTTTCTGTTCTATGATCCAGAACATGCTGTTTTTATGTCTGTAACTTTGTTTGAATGTGCTGCTGCTGGCCTTGGCCAGGACACACTTGTAAAATAAGTTTTGATCTCTGGTAGTTTTTCCCATTGGAGATCATTAGTACTGATTTTACAAGCAGCTCACATCCTCCTAACTGAATTCAGTCACAACCTATTGTTTCTTTTTTTTTTCCTTTTTTTTTTTTTCGGACAGAGAGTGAGAATCAACATGATGTCACATTTTGGAATTGAACCAGGACAGCCCACTTTACCTTCTGTACATGGAATTAACTGCCATGTCGAACATTGTTGAGTGGTTGAAATCGAGCACATTATCATGATATCTGCAAGAGCCAAGGGGATATAATAGCAAACTGTTAAGCACTAGAGGAAAGAGATGTTCTGCACATGCCCTCATGCTCACTTGCTTTATTGAATCAGGGCGAGAGCTTCATTCGCTGACATTTTCTTAAAGGCACCATAAAGAGTTTTTAACTGGTTAAGAAACAAACCAGAACTGACACAAATCCCTCTTCATGACCTTTAGAAGCAAATAGGACCATCAGCAACAGGGCTGATCATTTTAAGTTGTGCTTGTATCACCAACTGCATGGACTGCTATAATTCTCTTTTCTTTAATTACCCAGGAAGTCTTTAGTCAATCAGCCAATAAAAACTACAGCTCGCCCAGAAATCTGCAGCTACAGTTCAAATGCTTCAAAGAAAAGTGATCCCATAACCTTTCTTTGCACTGACTCCCTCTTTTGATAAGAGTTGATGTTACAGTTTTTGTTTTAAAGCTCTACATGGCCTCGCTCCTCCAAACTTTACAGAACTTCTTTCATTTTCTGTTCCATCACCTTTTTAAAACGCCCCTCATATTGAACCCACAAGCACCAGAGAGAGAGAGAGAGAGAGAGAGAGAGAGAGAGAGAGAGAGAGAGAGAGAGAGAGAGAGAGAGAGAGAGAGAGAGAGAGAGAGAGAGAGAGAGAGAGAGAGAGAGAGAGAGAGAGAGAGAGAGAGAGAGAGAGAGAGAGAGAGAGAGAGAGAGAGAGAGAGAGAGAGAGAGAGAGAGCAATGGTTTTACTCCTTATTCTCTGAACCTCGCTGCATTTCCCCATCAGAAGAAGGAGCTCTCTGTCTTTTGAAGCTCCTGTGAGCAACTTTTGTTTTTGTAACAGTGTAAAGATTAAATGTGAAAAATGTAAAAACAGGGATGTTTGTTTGGCTGCTCATCTAGCCCCTTTCACTACTTTCAGTTATTGAAAATCTTTGAATAATAAACGTCAGTTTTGTCACTGATGGTCTGTTAAGTATTAAAGCATGAAGAAGAAATCCAGTTGGTTTTATTTACATCAAAAAACTCCTCAATGGAGCTTTAAAGACCTGTCCTTTTAATCTGGCTTCTGCAGGTGGTTAATTTGCAAATATTTTATTCTATGTTTCATTTTTTTAGCCTTGGATTTAATGTGGCTTAAAAATGACTTAAAAATGTGAATTGGTCATGTTGAAGACCTGGATCCTCCTCAGGCTGCTTATCATCTGACATATAAGCAAGACAGTAGTTCCAAAAGAGGGAAACACATATGCGTAGACACTGACTTGTTCTAACAGAATTATCTGTTTCTGTTTCCTGTCAGTGACGTGGAGGCAGTGGCGTCCCTGTTAAAGCGTTTCCTGGGTCTGGAGGAGCTGCAGAAACGCAGGCAGCAGGAGGAAGAGGCAGAGTATGGAGAGGAGGAGGATTCTTTAGACAACAGCAGTGACTCAGAGGAGGAAGTAGAAAAACACTGATCTCACTGTGATTTATAACCCCTCTATAACTTTGGATTTTACAGGGGCATTGTGGTGGAGCCGAGGCCTCACAGAACATACAGTTAAATTATGCCCCATTACTTGTCATACTGTTAGCATGTGCATGAAACATCAACTGATGTTGACAGACATCAGTTGATGTTAGCCCAGGGGACTCTCAGATGTTTTCTAAAATTAAATTTTCATGTAAACTGGAGTGGGAAAAACATCCAAGTGTTGTCAAGTTTAAGGTTTTGTGATACCGGTTCAGGAAATAATAACTAGAGGGAGGGTTGGAAAGGAACTGATAAAGCACTCTTGAGTAGCTTTTGAGTGGCTTTCAACTTTTTGAGATTATTTTTTAAAACTAGGACTCATATTTTTACAGATTTTCTACAGGAGGTGTTACACATAGCTTCATTGCACATAGCACCAATTACTGAGTAAAAGGAAACACTCAACACGTGTGCAAACATCTACAAACACTGGCAAATAACAAGTCCTGCACCAGTATTTATCTGTATCCTACATCATCCCGTCTCTCTCTTCATTACATCAATGCAGATCTGGAAAGCTTTTACACCTTCCTGTGGATTGAGTTTGATATAGGGCAGAAGACGTTCCCTGTATACTGAAACACTGATGGATTTTAATGATCAAACAGTGTGGGAACATTAGTCTAGAGAAGGATTAGCATTATGCAGTTTGTAAAACATGTTTTCTCACAGCTCATCTAAAGATCAGACACAATCTTGACAAAGTGTTATTTATATATTTAATCTGTCAGCTCTGATTTTAACAGGTTGTGCGTCTCTAATGGGGATGCACAAATGAATCAGCATAACATCGCTATCAGCAGCTCTAGCAATTTCTGCTAGTTGATGTAATTATTGACCAAAAAGTTGATGTACTCTTAATGTGCATGTGTTGACAGCCTATACATTAAGGCTGTATAGAGTTGTTATGAAGTGTTGGAAACAGACAGCAGACACATTATGTAATATTAACATCTTTAAAAAACACAAGAATCAAATGCTGTTGGTCTTGTTTGTCTGGTTCTGAAACAAAGACAATCACAACAGAGTAACAGATAAATTTTGTTGGAGAAGAGGAACCAAACAAAAACCTTTACAAAAAGGGTGTGCATGTTTCGGTGCCCACATTAGTCTCAGCAAAAATGGGATAGAAAATATTGGGATATCTGCAAGTCACATATTTTCAAAAATCCAGTTTCTACATCCCAAATCTCTACATAACTGATTAGGTGACATCTAAACTGCAATAACATAAAATCTCATCAAGTCAGTGTGTCTCACCTCCTGAAATGTCTCACTACACTTTATTTCAGCTACATTTACCTGATGGGTTCAATATCAATCCAATTTCAAGATATAAAAAACAAAAAAAATCAGGTTTTTAATCTGGTCAAGACATTTTTAGTCAGTGCTTTGGCAGCTACAATGCAAGTTCTTATTTTCAGACCATAATAACAATCCAGCATCTGCCTACAAAGTGCAACACTGAGACAACTGCTGCTCAATAATTTCATCCTGTATAGATGCAGAGTCAGGATCACTTCACATATTAGTGATGTTTGTTATATCACAATGATAAGTTTGAGAAAATATGTCCATCTCACTGTACAAGTATTCATGACTTTCTGTTTTATAACTCAATGAAAGTACTTTTACTGGAGAAGACAAACAGACCAAAGTAAAAAGCTCAATCGAACACCTTTTATATCTCTGTAAAGGTCGCTCTCTGTAAAGAGATATCATGCTGAATGACTGTTAGAGAACACACTCCAGTCTGCAGTTTACTGTGCCTTGCTACTGAGCTCTAATAAGTGTTTATGTGTTTCATGTGCTGTGATTTTCCCACCATTTTCAGGACCACCCTCCCTTCCAATAATCATCATCATCTTTGTGTTATTATTTGCACAGCTCATACATGCATGTTCAAACCTTGTTCAGGTATGAGGGATTTTTTTTGTGGGTGAAAGGTTTTCTTGTAAAGCTTTTCCATCTTTCAACATTCATTGACTTCTTATGAACCAAAGACTGAATCTCAGGCAAACTTTCTAATGTGTTGGTTGACTAAAACACGATTTCTTATCCTCTTAGTTCACTGTCTGTGTTTATTATGCACATTGTATTGGAATTATATAAAGTTTTTTGTATGCAAATGTATATGAAGGTCATCTTTCAGCATTACTGCAATTAATACAGCAGTTTCTGTTCTGCAAGTGTAAACGGATACTTAAATAAAGTCAAGTCAGTACAGGATGCAGAAAGGCCATTTGAAATCTCTCAGTCTGATTCTAGTTTCTATGGCACCATCTCCTTCACACAGGCTCGGATTTCCTCTGTTATCCTCTGTAGAGGAGCTAACACCGGGCTGACATGCTCCTCTATCCACTCTTGGGCTGTTGAGTCGCAGTAAAGACGGACCATCTCCTCTCTCACAGCCTCAACCTTCTGCTGTATCGAAGTCAGATACCTGAGAAGACAGAAACACATGGTGTGGCTATTGAGGGATAAGTAAGCTAAACAGTAAAGCAAAAAAAAGGCAAAGCAGTGTGTAGTGAGTTTGACTGTAACATCAGAAAATCTTACGATGACGCTTGGCTGTGAATCTGCATGGTTATCAGAGGAGTGACCATCTTCCTCCGGCGGTGGTAGGGGCTGAACCATCCTCTTACAAACCTACAAAAAGGCAAGCAATCAGTATTTCTGCTGTATACACACAAAAATGAAAGCTGCAAATACATGATAGACTCTAGTTTCTGTTTCTGAAAGGTGTCACGTTTGTAACCTAATCTTTGCTTTTCTGGCTGAGAGTTCAGAGAGAAGACTGACTCAGCATTAATGCCAGTGACGCCGTCTGGTCGCTCAGCTCGGCAGAGAGATAAAGTTCTGTAACAAACCTCTCCTGGCTGCGTCTAAAGGCAACAAATTCAAGACCCTGTAGAATATTTTTACTCACTGTTAACAGACTTTTAGAGTTTAAAATCAGATCTAACTCATAAATGTTGAAAAATGTGTTTCTTGTTGATATTTTGGTTAATAATTGATATGTTGACCTTTAATTGTTTTGGGAAAAATTTCCACTTTTGATTTTTCTTACATGTATGACAAACACAGTGGGCAGAATGATTTAGGAACTGTGCAAGTCAACTGGACTGGATCATTTTACACACAAAAAAACTGATGAAATTTGCCCATAATATAAGAAATTCAAATTTATATATTAATTTTAAAATTTGCGACTAACTATATTGAACTCTAAGAGTCAACTAACTACACATGCCTCTCCAGAGATACTTGACTCTTAACTGTGCCAGTGAACAAACATTAAATGGACAATACTTTTCATAAACTGAACAAACTGATTTACTATGTTTTTATGATCTTGATAAATATTGTGAGTATTTGTGACTCTAGATTTCTAATTATAAGGACCAACAAGCTAAAATCAATAAAATTATGGCCCAAAAGGCTTGACAGATTTCATTTTATATTAAATGAACCAAGGAATATACATAAGCAAACTTTTTTAGACTAAATTACGAAAGAAAAATCTTTTTTACAAAATTCTAATTTAATATATTGACGGTATCAACAAGATGAGTTGGGAGGTAAGTTAAGCTTCCCATAGCTGCTGGCTTGATGCCTGTAACTCACATGTCACTTTCAAAAAACTTGATGTTCTCTGAGTTGAGGAGCGTGTTCAGGTCCACAAGTAACTCAGCGAGTCTCTGTCCTGGGAACAGTGAGCTGTCTGCTGAAGTCCTAAAAGCCACATCCAACAAAAAACAGGAAACATTCAGATTGATTACACACAGTGACACAGCAGCAGAGTAATAACAGTCACAGAGACTCACCTCCCCATGGCTTCTACCTCCACTGAGGAAATGCCCAGCCTTTCTGACACTTTGATTTGATCCTCCACACTGAACTGACCACAACTGAGCGTCTGCAGGCAGGCTGCTAGAGACGGGAGTGCCACAGGCATCAGCTCACAAAGCACAGACAGGTGGTCATACCTGAAGAAAAGAGTGAGCAAATATGGGACAGCTTCTCTGTTTACTGTATAGACCAACTCGAGGATAATTGATTTTCATGCTAACACTGTCAGGTGAAGGGGAACAAAATTCAGCACTCAGGCTGGGTTAAAGCCAGATGATAAAGACGCCATTAAAAAAGAAAGAGAAGAAAAAGTCAGTGTATGTTTGTCTGTTCAGTGAAGCAGAGGCTTTTCCTCCTCAGGTCTGAAGTTTGAGTTCAACAACACAATATTCATTTAACTCTGACAAAAACATTGGACCATATGAATTACATCTAAAGCAGGGTTTACGTTAGTCGATATTAAAAGGCTCTTGATAACTAGAAAAAATTAACATATCAGATTGAACACAAGACTTTTTCCCCTTAAATATTAATGAAAAACTGAGATTGTAACATGGGTGTAACATAAGTAAACATGTTCAGCTTGCTAATGTTCAAACTGCTTAGGTTAACAGTAAATAAAGTTGTTTTACCACTAGAGGGGGCTATTATGTAAGCTGTTGATTCACAGTTGGGATTTTTGGAGTTTAAGATCCCCCCTTTTTTGTGCTGTGTACATAAATACAACTCTGTGAATATATTTTTGCTTTTACTCAGATGCTGCAAGACTTGGCCTATTTAGTGATAAGCAGTGACATGAAGAAAACAGCAGGACCTGAATGATGTCAGGCTGTGACATTTGCCAAAATAGAGGCAGAGAGACACCACATCACTGTCAGTATTGAAAGCACTGAAGGAAACATCACTAAACCTTAACTTCTATACAGGAAAGACTGTAAAAAGGTGACTCCAGCTCTGGCAAAAAGAGGGTCAACCATGATGTGCTGTCATGTCATGAGTACTGCAGTGATCAGCATCCTCTTCAATTTTATCAAGATTAAGTCTAAGTTAATGTAGTCCACACTGAGAAAGGTTTGGTGCTTGTACAGGCTTTGAAGATGGAAATAAACATTGAAACAATTAAAACTCATGTTTTTTTCTCTGTCACTCAGGGGATAATGCAAAACATGGTGAAATATTAGAGCCCACAAGGACAAATGAAACATTAAGTTTAATAATTACACAGCCCTGTAACCCTCCATGTCTGGAAACACTAACAGATTATCACATTTTTACAGTATCTCTCTACCTCACAGCAGGTTCTATGAAGCCGTTGCCTAACATTGCAGGTCATTAAAAATGTAGCATAAGTGGAATGTGTTGAATCACATCGTAAGTGTTGAGGGTTTTCTTGGTGTGGTGGTAAATAAAGGTCTTAAGAATACAGCTACAGCTATCTAGAGCTTAAGTCTGTTGTTCTTTAGGGCTGGCATTAAGAAAAAGGAGAAGAGGAACTTTATTGATCCCCAAATATGGAATATTACCAGCAAGAAAGTCTACCATAAACTCTGATCTGAACAATACTTGACATCAGTAACAGAAAAGAACTATAGATGGCACACAGCTGATTGATTATAATCTAAAATATACATTTAAATATCAAAAGCCCATTAAAGTAATAATTGTGTTTGACTACATTAGGGGGGAGTGTTATTCATGCATTGTGCTGTGTGTTACTGAATGTTAAGATGATGTGGTTTGGGATTTTACTGAGCTTAAACAGCCTCTAACAGCATGCACCGTTGAGTCCTGTGTAGTAAAATAAATAATTCAGGTGTAAAGTGGTGTGTGCACTTAAGCAGTTAAATGTGCTTCCAGTCTTGAGGTTTGCAGCATCTCCATTAAAGCTTCAATCAGGAAGAGCTCTTACCTTTGCCAGCCTGTGATGGCGATGCCCTGCAGGTTTATATGAGCAGATAAAGAGGCCGCCACCTTCAGCCACTGCAAATGGTTATCCACATGCTTCTGTGTGCTGGGTACACAAGTGTAAACACTGGTGGAGCCTTTAAAGGAGCTGGCTGTCCACAGGTCTGACATTCCAGCACTGCAGTATTTTTCTAGCAGAGACACTGGGAACAAAGAGAGTTCAAAATATCACAGCTGAAAATGACAGCTTGATAAGGTGAAAAGGTGCAACAATAAAGTACTGATTCCATTAGTTTTCAATCCATACCAGTTTTATCAACATCCAGATCAGGGGTGTAGTCCCACAACATTGGCTGGACGAGTCCCACTAGACCGCTTTCTGTCACAAAGACAAAAGAGGACTCATTGACACAGACAAAAGCAACTGTACTTTTACTTGAGTGGAGTATTTGAGTGCTCTTTCCACCCTGGTTGATAATGATGGGTGCAGCCCCTCTCATCAGTGTGTGAACAGGTGAATGTGACATGTAATGTAAAAGAGATTTGAGTGGTCAGAAGACTAGAGAGTCAGTTTTCATTTAGTATATCAATTGTAGTAATTGGTCCTGTGAAAACTGCGTTTGTCCATTAGTCTGATTAATAACAAGGCTTAATGATGTGGTTTAATCTATGAAGATTTATCATTGTCTAGTTGGAAGAAATATTTGTATTCAGACTGCTTAACGTCACAAATAAATTTAGATGAATAAAACTAAAGTATCAAGTGAAGCACATGCACTTAAATAAAGTGAATACAACTTTGTAAAATCCATCACAGTATCAGTGTTGTTTCATATTCTTTGTCTAATCCCCTCTTAAATACAGTGTCTTGGTCAGTAACCTTAATGCAAACTTAGGAAATACTAGCATGAAAAATGCCTTTAAGAAAGCTGCCATGTGACTTATAATTCTTAAAAAAATCTATATCCTGATGATGACGAGTTCAAAACTTTGAACTGTAGCTGTGCCTCTAACATCTTCCAGGTTGATACTTCTCTTTCAAACATGAGACATGTCAGTGATTAGATTGTTTAGTGCACATGCACTTCTATTAATTCTTACCTTTTAGCGTATCTTGACTCATGCCTCTCATCATATCATCCCACATTATGATGGTCATGTGTGGCCACGCCTTCTCAATGGCTCTGGCCACCTTGGTCACATGACTCAGAAAAAGCTGCTCCTTGGTACGTCCTGGTGTGGCCAGCCACAGCTTGGACTCCTCCCCCTCACCGAGGATGTACACCTTCAGGAGTTTTTAAATGGAGCACGAGAAAATTCACATTACTTGTGATCAAAATGTCTCCACTTTGACTTTAAAGAGACGACTCTTTACCTCATCTGCTCCAATGTGCAGTGTTTGCAGTCCTGGATGCAGCTCCACTACCTGCCTCAGCATCTCCATCACCAGCTTCACCCCATCCTCTTTGTGAGGATTCAGGGTGCCCACACAATATGGCACCTCCCTGAGCTCCCACAGAGGCCGGTGCTTTAACACAAACTGTGAGAGAAAATGAAAGCAGCGGGTGACTTATACAAAGAAAAGCCTCAAACATCAACCTCAGCTCTGTAAGAGTTTGGAGTCTGTGTAAAATGATGATAAGAACAACATTTGAAGAATTGAAACAGGGCACTCCAGAGTAGCTGAGTCTCACCACTTTAAAGACAGAATAATGTTCCTGAGTGTTGAATGTGAAGGAATGAGTGGATTTCATCATCTACAGAGCATCATATCATTAAAAGATTCAGAGAATCTGGAAAAATCTCTGTACGAAACGGACAAGGACCAAAACCAAGACTGGATGGTCCTGATCTTCAGGCCCTCGGGCAGCACTGCATCAAAAACAGACAGGACTCTGTAGTGGAAATCACTGCATGGACTAAAAATCACTTCAAAAACCACAGTCTGTGAACACAGGTCATCACTGCATCCACAAATGAGGTTCAAACTGAAGAGGAAACAATAATCATATGATCCAGATCTACTTTAACGGCCGAACTCCCCTAAAGATGAACTGAGGCAAAGGAAATCATGGATAGCCCGTTCCTGATATTTTTTATTTCTTATGCTCTTTTGTGCTGATATGCACCTGCAGATCTGCAGTGAAGTACCAAGTGTTTTTACCAACATTTTACACAGTGTCCTGTTCTTACTCTAACAGAACTGAGGTTGTATTAAACACCATGAACTGTGCATGATGACCACAGACAGCTTACATTCAATGATGTTGTCAGAGTAAAAAGGAAAATAAAATATTTGCCTCACCTCCATGTGTCCAAATGTCTGCACGAGTGGGATAACTTCCATTCCCTTGGACTTTGCAAAGTCTTGCATAGACAGCACCTCCTCTCGGCTGTAAACAGAAGGCAGAGATAACTTATGAGAAACTTATTTTACTTTCAATGGTTGTTGCCAATGATTTCGAAGCTTGATGGCTGCTAGCTGATATATATATGATGCAGATGTCATCATATATATACAGTATATATACATTTTGTTGTATATGTTGAGAAGAATCTAATTTAAACAGTTTTCCAAAACTGTCCCAAAGCCCATATTAATGTCTGTTAATGTTTGTTGACAGACTGGCCAACCTAAGCAAGCGTGATTGGTAAATCAGTTTGGTAATACAGTTTTTTAATGATAAGTCTCACCCCACTCTCTATTCTCACTGTACCAAGGTCACACAAAAAACTTCCAGAGACAGGACCTTTTCAATCGCTGCACCGAGGCTGTGGAACAACCTCCCATTACACATCAGATCTGCTGACTCTCTGGACTGTTTAAAAAAACTCCTCAAGACTCACTTCTACTCTCTTGCCTTCTCATAACCTGATTTCTCATCTAAATTAAGTTCCTACCCATTTTGCTATCCTGTCCTTTGTGTAAAGTATATATGTATATGTTTACCTTATCAAGTGAATTTTTTAAATGTTCTGATTTTAAGGCTGTAGCCTTCCATCTCTCCATGACCTGTACGTCTCCAGGACTCGGGGCCCAGCAGGTCGGATCGCAGCTGACCCTTCTCACCCTGCACATGGACTATTTGAGACACTCCCCTCAGGCAGGAGGCTACGGTCCATTCGGACCAGAACCTCCCGTCATAAGAACAGTTTCTTCCCCTCTGCCGTTAGACTCATGAACACTTTATTACTCAGTCACTTTAACTCTGTCACTTTATCACTGGTCACTTTAGTTTAATCTACTTTGGATTTTTTAATTGCACTCCTCCCACTGCACTGTAGTTCTAGATTGTTTAGTTGTACATAGCCTCTTATACTCTTATACTTATTGCACATAGCATTGTACATAACCTTTTATACCGTTATATTTTTATACTTTTATACTTTATATATTTCTTGAATGCTCTTATTAGTTTTTATTCTAGTATTTTATATTTCGCTCTGTTTATTGTTGCACCATCATGCCAAAACAAATTCCTAGTCTGTGAATCCTGTTCATTGACAATGGCAATAAAACCCCTTCTAATTCTGATTCTGATTTACCTTATCAAGTGAGTTTTTTAAATGTTCTGGTTTTTTATCAAAGTCTGTTCCAAATTTTCCTGCTGTAAAGCACTTAGGCTCAAACTTTGTTTTTTTTAGTGCTCTGTAAATAAAATTGACTTGACTTTAAGCAGCCAATCGAATAACATATCTGGGATCCTGGAAGTGGAAGATAGCAATTTTAGTCATTAGATTTTAACTAAACAGACACTATTGATCTTTAGGGTGATGGCTCTGTTTGCTGTTGTAGGTCACAAAAAGGAATCAATATTGATTTCAGTCTGTTTCATGGCAAGAGCTCCTAACAAGAGCCGTAAGTGTTGTTTTAAGGTTTATAGTTTTAGTACAAGAGCTATGAACATTATAAAGCTGATGAAAGTGCTCCACCAGTAAATCAATGATTGTCCTGTGTTTTACAATTGACCTGTAAGCAGGCTGGGCTGTGGACTGCAGCAGTTTCAGTTCCCCTCCATAAGGAAACATGTCTTCATACTCCACCAGCAGGCCATCCACTCCCAGCTGAGAGAAGAAGTCGATCAGCTGATGGGGTAAACACACATTAATGGACCATTAGCATGACAGCTGTGTCAGGAGTGTTTTATGTGCTTCAGTAGTTCGCTGTGAAAGCTGCAGCACAGAGTCTTACCTGATGAAGGTATCCTATCCTTGGGGGGGCACCTTTCAAATCTAGATGAACTAATTTCTTGCCTTTAGGCCAGGGTTTACATGCCATCCTGCCTGTAAGCATGGACGGACAAATTAGCAACGTGGTGTGTTAATGTTTGTTTATCATTGGAGTGACTCACCTGAACAGAAGAGAACAAGGATGTGATCACAGAAGGGATTTCCAAAGTGAGCAGGTTGCCGATGAGAGACAAATCACTTTTTAATTAGCTTTTATCGCTTGCAGGCATTTGAATGCTAAAGCGCAGTGTAGGTAATTGATCATTTTAGTCGAAGACTTGAGGCATCTTGTAGGAAAAGCAAATGGATGGACGACAAATTAAAACAATGTTGTGCAGCTTCGAGTTGCGGAACACGCAGGATAAATACACTGCCCTATGTTTCGTGGTTTTGCTCTGCTGTCGGGCGAAGATGACGTTAACGTGGTCCAATCAAAACGCTGCTTTCTCTTCCGGAGAGCCAATAGACTTGCTGATACGTGCCAACCAGGAAGTGGAACGAGATTCAGGTGGTGCACAAGCTGTCCGTTGTTTTTCTGAGATGTTGAGGCTGTAAAAGAATAACGGCGGGTAAAGGTGTGCTGCACGTGCTCACCTGCGGAGGTTTGGGGTTGAAATGGCTTTAGTGCGGATGAGAAACACACAGGGAGCAAATGCCACCGAAATAGAGAAGAAAATTAAGAGGTGAGTGAAAGACAGTGACTGTGTGCAGTCAGGTGGTCCACTAAAACCGAGCAGACTGAAGGGGGAACCGAACCGAAACCAGGGACACACTGATGGCATGGGTGTTTACACTCAGTACCACAATAAACACTCACTAAACGAGAAAATACTACAGCAAAATATGATAGTCAAATAAGTTAACCGAATGAATCAATACAAATTCTTTTAACTGAATATTGTGCATTTGAACAGTGAAGTCAACATATGCATGAAATGTATATGGGAGTAGATAACTACTAACATTAAGTGACAAATGATTATTTTGAGCCTCTTAATAAGCATGCTTCATTGTGACTTGGTGTCTGTTAGTGAAGTTAGAGGATGAATTTAGCAGCATTTTACAAAGAAAGAAAAGATGTTATGAAGAAGTTCTATCATAATCATAATGATTTAATTTCTGATGACTTACACAAAGTCTTTTACAGAAGCAGCAGGTCCTCATTGTGGAGGCTGACATGTTTTCACCACCATGTTTTCTATAGTTTACAGAGAAATTAGGCTAAATTACAAGAGTTAGTGCTTTTGTTTACGGAGCCTGCTAATGTTTCTTACTATGAGGAGGCGCCCTGACAATAACTAATTTATTTCCTTACTCTGACAGAAACTCGACTCATTATCCTTAAACTAACTACAATACTCAGAGTTAACCAGGGATTAGTCTCATGGCATGTCTCAGCTCTCTGCTCAGTCTTTTCAGAGTGTGTCTGTCTTGAGATAAAATATTAGGGACACTTAAACCAGATGCTCCACAGTCCTCATTTTATTACAGACAGCTGGCTGCTCACCGTAAACCAAATTTACCACTTTATCACCACTTTATTCTTACAACGTGAGGACTTTTTTTTGGTAACAATTTGGCTTTATTGTTTTGTAATGATGATAATAATCTTTGCTCTGCATTTAGTCAGACGTGCAGGCAATGCCACTTAGACAAAACACACCCAGAACTACACAAACACAGTTTACAGTTTATTATCTTAAGAATCTGTTTTTTTTATAAAGGACAGTTTTTTAGCTGATATCAGAGCAAAAGTAGAGAGTAACTTAAGTGCTTATAGAAATTTAGAGAAATCAAGAACACAACATTTGGCTTTCAAATGTAGAGGAGTAATGTTTTCTCAACAATAACACCAAAGTTAAAAACTTTCTCCAGAATGAAAACAAGTTTTTTTTGTTTTGTTTTCTTTTTTTCAAGAGGCTTGTATTTGGAGTGTTTCTTGAAATGAGAATTAGAAAAGTAAATCCAGAGGGATTATCTGAACTATTCTTTGTTAAAACAATCAGTAAATTTAGTTTATAATCTTTTTTCTGTTCCGGGCAGAGGTAACGCTCTGAGGCAGTCGTCAACATGGAGGGGTTCTCGTGGATCTGTGGCCTTATTGCTGGTGGCTCTGTCTGTATGTTTGGCAGCTGTAGGTCTGTACTTGACCTCTCTGGACGGTGAGATAACAGAAACTCTGGTCAGTCAGAGTGAGCTGGTGACTCCCAAACCCAGAGTCTTCACCGTCCAGTGTTCCGAAGACTATGAGAACTATAAACGCTATCCGGGTGAGTCTTTGAACAGTACGGGCTCAGGTAGTCACCAAACAAATACGCCTTTGCTGTGTAAATATAACTGAGATGGGATGATGCCAAATCTACTAAATTAACACGTTAGACTGTTTTCTAGGAGTCTCATCAGTGTCATAGACCCTGAGTCCAGGACTTGTATGTTCCTTGTTTCTGTAGCTCAGCTCAATACTTCAGTTTTTAGTTACAGTTCACCATTTGAAATTTAAGCTATAAATGTTATCTTCCAATGCATTGTGAAATGGCAAATTATCCACTAGATGGCAGTACAGTACAAGCTTTTAGCCTGAGTGTCATTTCATTTAGTTCACATTTCCTTGAAGTGTACAGAGTATTTTCATTATTCTTTCATACATTAAAAGTTCATTACTGAGTATTATGTTAGCTACTTCCACTTGTATGAGAGGTTGTACTGTGTAGCGCTGTGTTATTTTTTACTCTCTTTTTAACCCTAAGCTCCGGGAGTCTTGTAGTCATGTGGGTTAAAAGTCTCATGAAAATATTGCATGTTAGTGTAATCATTGTGTCTGGGGGACTATTTTTTAGGTGACTTGATTCAATACATGTTCCAGGTTTGAGAAAACTCACAGACTTCTAATCCTTATCTTTAATCCAAATGCTGATAAGAAAAAACATTGTAACTTATTGTGCCATCAGCTCTTCTTTTTCAGACCCTGTAAACCTTAGTGAGCCCAGCAGACCAGGTTCTGGAGTCTGGAATTGAAATGTTGTCCCATTCTTGCCCAATAGAGGATTTCAGCTGCTCAACAGTTCAGGGTCTCTTGTCCTGTTTTCTGTGCCATGATGCTCCAAATGTTTTAAATAGGGGACAAGTCAGGACTGCAGACAGACCAGTTTCTCAGCAGGACTCTTCTCCTACAGAGCCACACTGTCGTAATCCCTGTTGTCAGAATGTGGTTTGTTATTGTCTTGCCGAAATATGAAGGTCTTCTCTGAAAAAGTCTTTGTCTGGATGGCAGCAGATGTTGCTTCTAAACCTGTAGATATACACTCACCGGCCACTTTATTAGGTACACCATGCTAGTAACGGGTTGGACCCCCTTTTGCCTTCAGAACTGCCTCAATTCTTCGTGGCATAGATTCAACAAGGTGCTGGAAGCATTCCTCAGAGAGCTTGGTCCATATTGACATGATGGCATCACACAGTTGCCGCAGATTTGTCGGCTGCACATCCATGATGCGAATCTCCCGTTCCACCACATCCCAAAGATGCTCTATTGGATTGAGATCTGGTGACTGTGGAGGCCATTTGAGTACAGTGAACTCATTGTCATGTTCAAGAAACCAGTCTGAGATGATTCCAGCTTTATGACATGGCGCATTATCCTGCTGAAAGTAGCCATCAGAAGTTGGGTACATTGTGGTCATAAAGGGATGGACATGGTCAGCAACAATACTCAGGTAGGCTGTGGCGTTGCAACGATGCTCAATTGGGACCAAGGGGCCCAAAGAGTGCCAAGAAAATATTCCCCACACCATGACACCACCACCACCAGCCTGAACCGTTGATACAAGGCAGGATGGATCCATGCTTTCATGTTGTTGACGCCAAATTCTGACCCTACCATCCGAATGTCGCAGCAGAAATCGAGACTCATCAGACCAGGCAATGTTTTTCCAATCTTCTATTGTCCAATTTCGATGAGCTTGTGCAAATTGTAGCCTCAGTTTCCTGTTCTTAGCTGAAAGGAGTGGCACCCGGTGTGGTCTTCTGCTGCTGTAGCCCATCTGCCTCAAAGTTCGACGTACTGTGCGTTCAGAGATGCTCTTCTGCCTACCTTGGTTGTAACGGGTGGTTATTTGAGTCACTGTTGCCTTTCTATCAGCTCGAACCAGTCTGGCCATTCTCCTCTGACCTCTGGCATCAACAAGGCATTTCCGCCCACAGAACTGCCGCTCACTGGATATTTTTTCTTTTTCAGACCATTCTCTGTAAACCCTAGAGATGGTTGTGCGTGAAAATCCCAGTAGATCAGCAGTTACTGAAATACTCAGACCAGCCCTTCTGGCACCAACAACCATGCCACGTTCAAAGTCACTCAAATCACCTTTCTTCCCCATACTGATGCTCGGTTTGAACTGCAGGAGATTGTCTTGACCATGTCTACATGCCTAAATGCACTAAGTTGCCGCCATGTGATTGGCTGATTAGAAATTAAGTGTTAACGAGCAGTTGGACAGGTGTACCTAATAAAGTGGCCGGTGAGTGTAGTTCAGCATTAATGGAGCCTTCACAGATGTCGAAGATACCCATGAAATGGACTCTGATGATCCACATACCATCAGGGTATCACATACTAACGGTATGATGATAAATTAGACAGTCCTTATTCTCTTTAGGGCAGAGGATGCAGAGGCCATGATTTCCAAAATGTATGTGAAATTTTCAATCATACAGGACAGGGCCGTTTTCTACTTGGCCGCATTGTTCAACTATGAGCTCACACAGTTTCTCACAGAGTGGTGAACCTCTTCCCATCTTTCTTACTGAGAGACTCAGCCCCTCTAATGTCCTTTTAATACCCAGTTATGTTACCAACCTGTTAGACATTAACGGCCTTAGTTTAGTTTTGAGTTTTGTTGCCCCTGTCCAAACTTTTCTGAAACTTGTTCCTGCTGTCAAATTCAATGATCAATAAAAATCTACATAAATAGATTAATACTTCATCGATCCATTGCAGGACAAAAAATAAATAAATTTTGGCGAAGTCCCCCAAACACTTAGTACAACACCTGCTGACTGTTTGATGTATTTTCAGATTAATGGCAAAGTTGGAAACAGATGTTCAAAAACAAAGAGTTTAAGATTAAGTCCTGTTGTTTAAATGACTCAGACACTCCCATCAGTAAATTCATGTGCTGGGTCTATTTCCCAAAGCTCAATGTGACATCTGTGGTTGTTTTAGGAGGTCCAGAGCCAAAAGAGATAATCCTTCTCAGTCAAATAAAAAAGAAGAGTATCCACAATCAGGGGGTGTTTGGGGTTTCTACTTAAAAACACCTCGAACAGAAAATCACTTTTATAGGTTCTTTATTTGTGCTTGAAAAACAAAATGTTTTAGCTCTGAGGGGTGAGTTTAGGTGAGCAGGTGGACATTCACAGCTTTTAGTGTGCTGGGAATACTCAGACTAAATGGAAATAAAAGTTTCTATCCAAATATTTATAAACCTATCAGAATCTAAGATCTCCTGTTGTACCCAAAACTCAAGAAAACCTGAATTGCTATGGCTAATCTTTTATAACATTTAAGAGACTTTGCTTGGTTCAGAGATGAAAGCAAATAAAACGTCTAAGTAAATGTATTGGCTGCTAAAAGTTCAAGTTTGGTCTCTGCCGTATTCAAAAAAGACACAACAGGAGACTCAGGCCTCAGGCGGTAAATAATAATCCTCAGAGGTTGGAGCAAAGCCCTAAATTTTGTCATGTTAATGAGCAAAACTCCAATGAACTCCTTACCTTGCACTTTGCATCTATACTAGCTACTTTCCCTGGCTGCTTTGGGACCTGAGGCTTGTAAGACAAGAGGACACTGCACCAAATAACATCTTATATTTTCCCATATTCATCCTTACATATCTCTCTCCCAGGATGCACACCTCAGAAGTGTGGCCGTGCAGTCACAGACAGCGTGGTGACGAGGGACGAAGCTGAGGTCCTCCGGAGGTAAACAAGTCCTTTCCCCTGCTTGTTTTATTTTTTTATCCACTGTCCTCTGTCTCAGCGGTGCAGCTCCACAGTATTCATGCCTTTTGTTGTTGACACACAGGCTTGCTGAAAGAGGGCTGGAGCTGGCTGGATCGGAGGGAGGCGTGAGTATACTGTCAACTCAGTCTTTGGGATTAATTAGTGGTCACGTGCTAATAATACTCTGTGACTCAGGTGATGTATCAGCATAAGACATTCCCTTCTGCAGATGTTCTTTTGTGTCCCTGCTTTTGCATAATGAGAATTATGATCTCATGATTTCAAAAGCATAACAAAAATCCAGAATTAACACGTCAGCGTTATAATATTCATGTGAGTGCATAATGCAAATGCACTTCCTGAAACTTTCTAAAATATTGAGTTAAGATGTCCTTTATTAGGCTCTTATCTCCCCCGTGGTGTCGTTAAAACACACTTTGACAAGCCTGAATTTGGACATATACTGTGAAGAAAGCTGGAAACATCCCAGGTATCTTTTCCAGCTCTGACTTTACTCAACCTGACAGGAAAGATCATGCCAAATAATCCAAGAATCTGTTTATCAATTGGATTATTTGACTCAGAGCAAGCCTGTTCACACCAGCAAGGCGGGGTCAGTATCATATGTCCGATCACGAGACATGAGCAAGTCTGCTGTCATATTATCACCATAACTTATAAACTTAGAGCAAACTATGAGATTAGAGAGTTATTAAGTAGTTGAATGTATTGTATCAGACTAAAAACAAGACAGGCATGTTCGCAAAATGAAGGAATAACTGTCAGATCAGGTGAAAACCGAGAGAGAGCAAATGAAGACTCTTTATGTCACTCTCCTATCATTAATGGCAATGTGACAATTATTAATTCAATTAATGTGATGAATCTGACTTAGAGCTACATGATACTTACAAAACTTTTTTCTTTTCTTTGCAATATATTGGGTGTAGATGATAATACAGGACTTCCCAACTAGAATAGATGAATGAAGGGAATTTTAAGTGCCTCAGTAACACAATCAAACTCTTAATAATTTGAATTAACTTAAGATGATATTTCTAATAAAGCACTAAATAAACACTCTGTGTCCATGGATAAAGCCCTTAGTGCATGGTACTGAAGTGGTTGCAATTGTGCGCTGGCACAATCTGTTGTATAATTGTGGAAAAGTAAAATTTAGAGCCCTGGGGATTGAGTGACTGCATAAAAAAGGTTGCAGTATTCTGTTTTGGTGCCATAAACACATGGTCAAAAAATGTGTTTTTAATGGAAGTCTATTGTCCACATTTTGAGCTAACAAGGATGCGTGGCGCTAAAACACATAGACAGAGCTATATGGGCAATATGAAGAAGAATAAGAACTTTGGCCCAGTTTGAAGCCTTAATCTATAAAAATGTGACCATAAACTTAAAATTAAGATGATAAAAATGTTTTCAAAATGGTCATAGTAGGAACTAAGCGTAAAAATACACCTCACTTTCTCAAGGATTTTTCAGGTATTTGCCACAGCATCACGCTCAGCATCATGGAGCTCCTGCCATCATAAGATCCAAATCAATACAATATGTTTCAAAGGAAACAATATTATATGATATTATATAATACAGTCCAGTGTGACGTGACACACAGTGATAAGATAAGATATGATAAACTTTATTGTCCCCTTGAGGACCCTTGGGGGGGTAATTTGTCTTGGACCCTGGCTGCATTCCCTTCACTATACTTATTTTTAAAACACTACTAAAAACAACAAAACCAAACAGAGGCCACCCGGCAAGGAGCCAACGAGCAAGCAAGAAGCTGTGATGCTCTCCTGCTTTGATGTAAACACATACAGATGGCATCCTGTCATGTGGCATTTTTCTGTGGTATTGTGATCTAGAAATAATGCAAATAGTTTAAGACTGAATCGGCATATGATCACTCCACTCATGAGTAACCTGCACTGGCATCTGGATGCTAACCTGCAGGGATGAATATAAACTCCAGTTGCAAGTTATTATCAGCCACAAATGGAAAACTGACTCAGTGGCACTAGGAGGGAAACTGTCGCTGTCGGCAGATAGAGGGAGCATGCTTAGAAAACATGGAGTCATATTTCCTCCCAGAGATGTCTGAATGTCCCCGGCATGCCCTCCCTCCTGCTATCTGTCCCCAGCTCACCTGGTCATCTGCAAATAAAGACCTGTTAATGGAGTGTTAAGACGCTGAAATGAAGGGAGGAAATGCACAGAGGGAGTTTGGGAGAAAGGGCAGAGCTGTGCAGTGTCCCCAAGGAGCTGGAAAGCAATAACAAGTAAAGGGCAAGGGGAGCTCTAAAAGACCGCCACAGAAGGAGGGAACATTGCTATACCTTGTAGCAATTACTTTGTTATGTTGGACATAAGACACTAACATTTTTTCCTCCAACAGACTTGCCAGTAACTTTAGTTTGTTCTCTTCCAGGCTTCCATACTTGATCTGCACTCTGGGGCCTTATCAATGGGCAAACAGTTTGTCAACATCTACAGGTGAGAAAGTGCATATCACCTTTTTAATCTGTTTTTAATCCATGCTACCTCTGTGCAGATGAAAATGACATCCTGCATAATTTGAAACGTCTGCAGAAATATATCCTCCAAAACTCCTCATCAATCTTACTAATGCTGGTCCTCTTTAGCTGTACTCTACAGGTCCAGTGACCCATACAGCCCTCATTCATCACTGCCAGCATAACCCAGCTCCATTTGGATCAGCTGCCCCTCTCCCCCAGTTTCCCTCTCCAGTACTCCCCCCACCCCAGCCCCCATTCAATTTTACCACAGTTATCTCCCATTTCCCTCTGGTCCCAGTGGGCAGGTAGCTGACACCTCAGGGACTCTCAGGCAGATTTTAATCAGGAAGTGATGGCAATAGCACTCACACCGTTCACCCACCACTGGGTCGTTCCTGATGTGAGGTAGTCATGAATTACTATCTGCTGTGTTTGGTTGACTGGATGGCACAGCTGTCTGTGAAATGGTCGACTGTGTCATGCCTCTTAAGTTAATTAATGCTAACAGACCCGCTCTTTCCCCCTCTGCTGTCTCTGTCCTGGTGTTTGTCGGCTCATGGGTCTCTGATTGACTTCATCTGGGTCCTGATTTGTCTGTCTGCGTGTCTCTGATTTTGTTACGGTATGTGGCTGCAGGTATTTTGGGGATCAGATCAGAGATGTTTTCTCTCAGGAGGATTTCCAGTTGTACAGGTGACTATGAATCCTTAAATAAAAATACACTTTCAAATGTTGCACCAAAATAAAATCTGTAACTTTTTAAAACCATGGAAGCTGATCAAGTTTTCTGCTTTGATACTTACTCAGGATTCCTGCAGATCCTTAAAAAGTCTTCAATTCATTTGTGAGAGGCCATGAATTTTGGCACTTTGACTAATAAATGTCTGAATATTTAATCAAATCCACACTTCTTAGTTTATTTTACATTCTAAGGTAATCTAGTACTTAGACCCACCACCTAAAATTCCTTATAAGCACATGTATAATACATTATTATTATGTGCTTCATAGCAATCTTTATTGGTGATTATAAGCATTCATAGCTTATTAAATCAATGTGTATGAGTGTTATAAGCAGTGACCATGAAGCCTTGTGAAGTTTTGATGTATAATTAAATATACTTTGATAAAAAAACTAACAACAGCGTATTTTTAAATTCTGTGCTTCCCAACACATAAAAATTCCCACAAGTACAACAAGAAGAACTTCATTCATCCCTGAAGGGAAATTCAAGGCCATAATGTCATCAAGATTCATGTAGAAATCATTTAAATCATCATCAAACTCCTGTAATGTAATCCTTAATAATTAGACCCAAAAAGCACGGTTTCAGAATTATACAGCATGTATTCTCTGTTCTCATCTGTTCTCTTTTATTGTAATCTGAAAGTAAGGGTATTATCAGTGATGGGAAACCATTCACGAACTTGAAAGTTTGTAAAAGAGCTTTGAAACTTATGATTGATGGTTGAATGATTTTAATATTTGACATAAACAAAGTTTTAGTAAGACTTACCTGCACGAGCCATTACTTTGCTGCTACTCTTAATTTCTTTGTTAGGGTCTTAAAAAGTCTTAAATTTGATTTTAAAGTGTGTAGGAACTCTGCTCATGGTATCATCACTCAAGGGGTAGTGTTAAATCAATAATTTGTAATAATCTTGTCAGCCAACAGAATGAAAGTCTGGATCTGTTCTCTGCAGTCTTTATGCTTATTGTGTTATTGGCTTTAGCAGACAAACATGAGGAGAACCAGTAGAAAGGATATTAAATCCTGTCATGAGGTGTGTGTTTGTTTTAAATATCAGCCATCAGTCAATAAAAACTAAGCTGCAGAACTTTGTTGAGGATTCTTCTGAGTGGTGTTGCCCAAAGTGTCCCAAATCAAATCAAAAATAAAACCCCCTCAAGTTATGTCAGTCAGATCTGTAGGTCTGATGTCTTTTGTCTCTTTTTGTGTCTTAGAGACGTACGTGGGCGAATTCAGGCAGTGATCGCTGAGACGTTTGATTTGGACCCAACTCGTATGTACCTCACCAAGCCGACCTTCTTCTCCAGAATCAACGGCACCACAGCCAAGACCCAGCATGACGAGTACTGGCACCCCCACATAGATAAGGTAATGCAAAAATCCCTCTCATGGTATAATGGGTAGAGAGGCACTGAGCTTTGGGAGGTGAAGGACAGGAGTCTGGGAGTTTTTCTATCAAAAACGCCATTTTTGCCGGATCACCTCCCCATAAAAGTGTCTGAAGCTGGAAGACAATGAACACAAGATAGCCATTAAGTTTTAGCTTGTAGACATGGTATATCTAAATGGGCATTCATGTTTTAACAGCCGACTGCACTGCTGGGCACAGTTCAACCTGGTATTTCAGTTCAAATAGAAGTATATTTAGAAATACATTAAAGAAACTGTTTACATGCTTTCTTGTTACAGGGCAAAGCTCTTCTTACTCAACACCAAAATGATGACTAAGATTATCATAGTTTCAAAATTTTCATGAGTTTTTATTTTTATCTAGTTTTGGCTTTTTGTTTTTGTCTACAGTTATTTTGTAAAGCTGGGATTTTACTTTAGATTTTATTTGCAGAAAATTTTAGTGTGGTCTTTATAAGTATAGGTGTTAGTTTTAGTTATACTTGTCAGTGGCAAGTCTCCCCCAAAATTGAACAGTGCGTGGAAAAAAACCCTAAACATTATCTTCCTGGGCTGTTTGCCTCGTCAGAGACAAGACTAATATTTAAATTGACTACAGTATATGGCCAGTATTAAAAAACAGATGCAATAATAAATGTTACCAGTGTGGGGGTTCACATACTTCAGGCCACCCCAGTACTGTCAGTGCTAAGATTGAGCCCCCCAGTCAGAAAGGACTAGACAAAACCTTGTATTTTAGCAACTGATGGATGCATGCTGAACAGAGGGCTCTGTTGATTGAATGGAGGAGGCTGAAGTGAAGGGCAGGGGATGTTTGTTTATGTAGGGCGTTGCTCTGTCTCTAATTAAGTCAACTTTGATTGCCCAACAGCAGTCTGCAGTCAGTATAAACAAATGCTAAATTAATTTATCAAGATCATCAAAAAGAGGGGAGATTCTTGAACAGAATAAGAATATCAGTGTCGCTGAAACAGATTTTCCTTTACCCTCTATAACATAGTATAAAGATTAGCATGTTTACACAAATGACAGTCCGAATATAAATAGTTGGCTAGTGAATAATATTATTCTCTGTATGCTAAATGCTAAGCTAAAGACCTCGAGCAAATCCAAATTATGTTACTTTGAGAAAAGAAAAGGAAAAAATATATAAAAAAGGTTACTGTTGAAGTGTATCTGAACATAAAGTTCACAAAGGCTTTTTAAGTTTTTAAGTTGCTCTAGGACCAGTGTAGCAACTAATTGAAAAATGCCTCAAAAAGTGGTTTGATCAAGTTGGAAAAGAACTCACATTTTAAAAAAGTTTTTTTTTCCTCAAAAAGAAAAAAGCTATAAATGGAGATTAGATGAGAGGAACTATGACTGAAAAAGTTTGTGAATTGCTGCTTGAATAACACCCCATCTTTTAGCACAAGTTTGTTTTTTGTTTTTTTAGGCTTTCACATTTTTGTTTTTGTGGAAGAGTTTAATGATTATGAAGACCACTCTTAGAGTGGTGGTCTCTGTAGTTTCCTTATCCCTCTGCACTGGTCCTCTGCTGCTGAAACAAAACTACAGTTGTCAAAAGAACTGTTCCCTGAGGGAAACACCCCCAGTATACCAGCCATCTACCACATTTTTCTAAGTTTGAGGGCTGCTCATCAGTTGTGATGGGTCTGTGCAGATTTCATTTCACTTCAACAAGAGCTCTGTTTTTTTGTCAATTTAGCCTCTGTTGTCTCTGTTGTTATTGAGTTCTCCCTTCAGTCATACGACACATCCTGTGTTTGCTGAGCCTTAGCCAAATATGACTTAAAACTGTCGGCATTATAATGCAGGAAACAGCGCTGCTTTGTTACTGCAAGGTTACCGTCCTCTGAAGCTAAAAGAAATCAAAAAAAGGTCAGACTCAATCCAAATGTGCTCATTCAACCTGTAAAAGCAGCACCAGGAGAGCATCAAAGGAGTTGAACTTTTCTCTCAAATTTCTCTGTTTTATTCTTGACACAGCTGTTCTAAGTTCTTAGATTTTTATTTTATCCCACATATCCAAAACAGTTGGAGCCTTTTCCCCTACATTTCTTAGTATCAAAAGTGCAGAGGCTTTTACAAAACACAACTACTGTCAGTTTTTTTAACCCAGGGGAGAAAAGATAGAGGGTGATGACGGTCATCAGAAGTAGAGAGTGAATAAGAAAGAGAACAGTCATTTATCATACAAACTAACAGGAATTTCTTGAATAGAGAGTATGAAATGTTTTGATAAAACTTTGGATTCGAGAAAACCCGTAAACCGTGTATTTATGACTTATCATGGTATTATCATGTCCAAACCACATTGCCTATCAACAGGCGTTCCTCAAGGGTCAGTGTTTGGTCCCCTACTTTTCTCTTTATACACCACCTTACTCAGTACTATTATCAAATCTCCAATCTTCCTTTCATTCCCACCAGATGACAAAACATCTGGTCAGGCCTCAGTGATGAAATTTGTGTGGATGAAGGAGCGCCATCAGCTCAACCTGTGCAAAACTAAGCTTCTTGGCATTCAAGCCAGTCCCTCCCTACATCCACAGATCAGGATCCAACTTGGATCAAATGAACTTACTGTACGCCCACAAAATCTGCTCAGAATCTGGTTGTCAGGATTGATGACTGGCTGACAATTGAAGTTCATTTGCTCTTTATAACATATAAAGGGTCAGACCCTACCTGACAGAGCACACAACAACACAACACGGCTCCTGGCAGAGGCTTTTGTAATATCATGCATTGACTCCTCTTTACTTGCAGGCCTCCCTGCATGCCCAGTCAAACCTCTGCAGTTTGTCTGGTTTTCAACTGACCCAAAACAGCTCATCTCTTTCCACTGGCTTCCAGCAGCAGCCCTCATCAAATATAACACCTACTTCTTGCCTACAATACTGCAACAAAATCATCTCCAGTCTTTCTGCAGTCCCTCATGCAGGTCTACACTCGCTGCCCATGAAACACGCTCCCAACACCAGAAGGCCTTAAGTCACCAGTCAGACTCTTCTTTGTTGCCTCTCTCTTTACCTTTAAGGAAAAGCTCCAGACTCAGATCTTTAGAGAACACCGGAGCACTTAAGCTCAGCTCCTCTCTATAGTTCACAGGGGTAGAATGATTGAAACAATCATTTTAATATAAACAGCTCCTCTCTACATCTGAGACACTTTTGACCAAGCTGTTTTGGGACAATGCAGCACTAGGCAGTTTGCTGCTTGAGATGATGATGATGATGAGGATGATGATACAATGAAACTAAACAAGCTCTGAGCTTTCATGAAGGTGTTGATTGATAAACAGCTTCAGGTTTCAGGAACAGCTGAGACTCAAATTCAGCTTGTACTGGCCATTGTATACAAAGTTGTCATTGGTAAAGTGGCGAACACAAACAGCTACAATGCTGTGACTTTCCTGTACAGCCTAAACAACGCTCTGAGAAATGTACTGAGACACACTCAGGAGAAGGAGTCAAGTGAAGCAGACTTCCCAGCTGCCAGGTGGGCATGTCTTTTACATGGCTGCTGGGTGAGCTTGTCCTTTATCCTGATTGACAACTTGATGTCAGGTTATGGCCAAGTCTTGAAACAAACTGTGCAAGAAACCTGGAAAAAACATCAGGGACTCATGTTCCCATTTGTATGTCTCATACGTTTTAAGTGTTATGGGCATGTGGGCAGCATTATTCGTCTCCTTGTCCGTCACTGTCTCACCAGAAGGCTGATCAGAAACTTTGACATATCTGGTGACACAACCAACATTCCCAAATGTTCCTTTTTTAAAGATTGAACTGCGGGGCTTTAACCTTTTTTTTTATTGGCAACACTTAAACCAGTGTTAAGCCTCTGTGCCAGCAGTGATCTGTAGTCCTCTGTTTCTAAATGAGAAAAAAACACAGAAGTACACCCAGCTGTACATACACACTTTGCTTGTGGTATATGTTGAAATATATGGTGCATTTGCTGTTGCTACAAAGTGATATTTGTTGCCTCATTACCGTCTGTTTACCCTTGACAGCTGGAAAAATGTGGCCTGAAAGGACCCTTGTTTCCTTCCCATCTGTCTCAACTGCCATTTGGGGGATAATTGGCGAATCCAACTCTCATTTAAATGTAAATGGCCCCTGAAGTCTTTGGTGCTGAATTTATTCCCCACCTATCATGTTGCTGATAAGATGTCACCGCACCAGTTGTCGTACGAGCATGGAAAGTGGTGTTGATCGTATTTTGATAGAGACAAACCTGCCAACATGATGAAATGCAAATACCAAATGACTCTGGTCATCTTGTCGTGTTAAAGCTAGAATATACACTGCCTTCATGAAAAAGTGATCAGATCTTTCTCCAGTGTAACCTTCTTGATGTAGAATTAAACTGAAGGCTCATTTAAGGGTCAATTGATCCAAACCACACCAAAAATATTTTCTTTTGATATTCAACCCTAATTTCACAAGAAATGGAACATTGAGTTAAATTAAAATAAATTTAAAATAGATTGTTTTGTACCATGAGCTCTTCTTTTTACCAATACTCAATAAAAGTTAGTGAATCCAGCAGACCAGACCAGACCAGTTTCTGGAATCTCGAATGGGAAATGTTGTCCTTGTCTTGGCTGATAGAGAACAAGAACTCCTATGATCCTCATACCATCAGGGGTGCTGGCTTTGGACTGGGAGCTGACAGCAGGTTGGGCAGTCACTCTCCTTTTTAAGTCGAGGTCATGGTGTCCATGATTTTCAAAAAGAATATCCACCAGTTGCCATGTTACAGGACTTTTTTTTCTTCTTCACCCCAGTCCATCTGAAATGGGCCCAGGTCCAGAGAAGTCTCTGGTGGTGTCCTTGGATTATGATTCTGTCTGGTTTCTTCTTTGCATGGTTCAGTTTGAACCTCATTTGTGGATACAGTGATGAACTGTGTTCACAGACAACCATTTCTGGGAATGATTTTGAGCCTGTCCAGTGATTTCTACTACAGAGTCCTGTCTGTTTTTCATTCAATGCTGCCTAAAGATTTGACCTCATGGTTTGAAGCTTTTACTGTTATTGTTAACCCCCATACTAGTATTGGACTCCTTGGTTTTCAGTCTCTTAATTTTCCCCTCTCAGAAAGTATGGCACGCTCTGAACTGTGAAAAATAGATTAAAATCCAAAAATGTAATTCAACAAAAATGCTTAGGTTACCTAGTTGTCTCTCTGCCACTGACAAACAAAGCTGTTGAAATGATCACATTGTTCACTGGAGGTAGGGCTGGACGATATGGGAAAAAGTTTATCATGATATATTTTTTCATATCAGTCAATATCTATATTTATCACGATATAAAAAATGAAATTTAAGGGTGCTTATTGGTAGCATGTCTTTTGCAATACAACAAGTTTCTGCATCTGTGAGGTCTCTGTGTCTCTTTGACATTTTGTCATAAGGCGTTGCGCTAGAGAAAGTGGACTTAATGGTTGTCTGATTAGCTGCACAGGCGCCATGGGCGTCTTGCTCTGGTCGGGGTTTGTAACCTTTTGCATTGCGGTGCTCTGCTGCATGGCACTGCTTCAGGTGGTGAAAAAGATTTGAGGTATACCCCGACTTTACGAGAACATGTACTCGACATAATGTGCAGTGCACATTACTCTGCTTCATGTCAGACCTCAAAAAAACAAAATACATCCACATCACTGACATTTTTGTGCCAGTGTTGTCGACGATGTCTCATCTGTTGAGCCTTCATCTGCATTTTTGCTGGGGGGCAGCACTCTTTTTTTTTTTTTTCTCACCAACAGCGCTGTCAGCTTCACTTGTTAAAGTGGTATGGTTGTAGCTGCAGCCGTAGCCATAGCCTGCTACTTGTACGAAGTTGTTTGCTACTAGGTTTATATTCAGCATATGATTGGTCAAGGGTGAAGCGGACCCAAAGCAACTCCCCTTTTTATTGGCTATTTGTTTAGTCTACCAATACATGGCAAAAGACTGACTATTGAAAAGCATATTGATCATGTTTTATATTGATATTGAGGGAAATTAATTTTCGATATATATCGTTATCGTTTATCGCCCAGCCCTAACTGGAGGCTAGTCAATCAGCTCTGAACTCATGCTCGCTGGTTGTTATTGTAGTTTCTCTGCTCACCATTTTTTACTCTGAAGATCAGACATGACTCCTGTTTGCTGTCTCTCTATGTGAATCATATTCCAGTTATTCCACAAGTTTACAGTTATCTTGTATGTTGTCAACAAATGATAAGAGCCTCTCAGTGTCAGTGGAAAGTCTATTTCTGGTAAGAGGCGATGTAGCAGGGAGAGATGTCATCTCTTAGGACAGGTGTTGGAATATATTGCTGCGTCTCCACCAAGTGGTTTAGTTCACTTTTGTACAGTATGCACTGCAGTTATTTGTGTTTTCAACTGACCCTTACCTTTCTATTTTGTTGGCATCCTTTTGATGGTGCATCAAGCATAATAATCAGACCTGTAACTAAAATGATTAAGGAAGAGAGGGAGGAAAGATCATACCAAATTGTATCTCTCCACATTTAATTTTCTCTGATCAGTAAAATAATCTATCCTAATGCAGAATGATTCTGTTTTTTATACCTTTTTATTCATACAGCTTTTGGGAGAAGGATGAAGCTTAATTCAAAAACCGGATGAGCAGAAAGAGGGGTGCCAAGTTCGAGTTTTTGCAAATTTAGATAACTTGTCTGCAGCCAACATGTTTTTTTGAAAAAAATCTTTTCTTCCGTAGGAAAAGTTCACCATCGGGTTGAATAAAGAGCTGTGAAAGTCCTGGACACACATTTCAACATTTCGTGAAAACAAGGGGTTCACTTCTTACGCCTGGTTCACACAGGAAGCGCCGCGCACCGAGTTTCGGATAGGCGCCCGTGTTAACCTATGTGACTGTTCACACAGCGCGTGCGGGGGAGCGCCGCGCGCGGAACGGCTCGCTTCTCTCTATTTTTTGCGCAAGACGCGCGCACTGCAAGCGCTAATTGTAAAGCTGGACAGAGCAGATCGGACCAGACAGGAAGTCGGGAACAGGAGATGCGAGAGAATCCGGTCAATTTTCAAAATAAAATAAAATTCAATAAATTAGACAAAAAGGATTTACGGTGTTGCTTGCCGGTCTATTTTTTCCTGATGAACACGCATGCATGCACACATACACACGGAGGGAGAGCTGCAGAGATTCAGTGATGTTATTGAGACAAAGGAGGGGTGCTTTGGTACGATAGAGTCAATAGCTTTGAGCTAACAAGGCTACACATACAATGGAGTTTACAAACTCCCCAATTCATTCGTTGTTTACCCCTATATAATAATTTAAAACAATACTTGAAGATGCTGCCAATATTTAATTTATGTATGACGTAATAAAAACGTAAGCAAATATTGATTTACCCATGTTTAAAGCGCTCGTAAGTGTGGAAAACTGAGGGCAGACGAAAACAGCCGAGCACTGCTGGGCTCAGTCGATGTCTGACCGGCGCGTCAGAGCGCAGCAGAAAACGCTTTATGTGTGAACAGCCAAGCATCGCCGTCCGGTGTGAACCAGGTGTTAGAGAAATTGATCTTGCATTTGCAAAATGATGCCATAGTATATTTTTTCATGCTTTTAAACTTAAACTTCGTTAACTAAGAGCAAATGCAGCCCTCACTTTATTATTGTACTTAATTATTGTAAGCACTGCTCACACAAGGGGTATAACACTCTAAAATCAAGATGTTTTGAGGCTGTCACACAAGCTCAAGGTAAGGTAGTGTCTGCTGTGAAAATGTAAGCTAGATCAGTGTATAAAGTTAAAACTATACTGAGCCAAACCAGACTGCTTGGTGGAAACGCATCATAAATAGATTAACTGTTGTGTAACAGAGGCTAGTGAAAGTTTTTACAGTTTGACATATTGTTACCCTTTATTCTGCAACGACAGACTCTGCTGTTTCATGTCTGCTCCCACTGTAATGTAGCTCTTCAGCTGCTAAAATACAGTTTGAACTCAGGAAGCTCTCAGAGGTCGAAGCGTCTCTCATTAATGCTGTTTTGACTCGTGCAGCACAAACAGCCCACAGCTCATTTTGCATGAAGGGATTTCCTCCCCAATTTGAGGCGGGGCTCCAGATTACAATCTAGCCTTAAAACCATTACATTATATCCATTACATTAGTAGTTGCCCCAGTGTGAATAACAAGTATGCCCTCATCACCTGAAATAAATCACACCCAAAAGGCTTGCAAGGTGAGCTGTTCAAGGTGACAAGTGAGAGGGAACGACTAAGACTGGTTCATTTGGCTTCAGATCATTTTGTAACTCTTTCCAAGTTTAGGAAGCAGCAAACTTAAATGTCTTTTCATCTATCTCAGTTCACAGGAAGAAAAGGTCCTGGGATCCCAGAGTGTAAATCCCTGTACCCTTCTGTTTGATGTAGTTTAGATGTACTGAAAGAAGAGGACTTCAGATAGTCTTGTAAATAGTCTACACATGGAGAGCGAAGACCAACCAACATGTTCATACTGCATAGAAGGATGAGTCAGGGCTTTTAGATTAGAGATGAACCCCAGTTCTCTGTGATACTCAGTGTCTAGGCCATACAAAGTCTGAGAAGAGGTGTGAATGTATAACACATCACCATACTCCAGCACAGACACAAAAGAGGCACTATGACTGCAAACTTAATCAGTGTACCCTGAGGAGGATTGAACAGAGGTTTGAGGTTTGGAGAGAGCGTGACTTTTGCTTTTAGTGGGTTTAAGATGAGTTTTAAATTGTAAAAATTCTGTTGAAGGCAAGCTGTAACTCTGAGCTTTGTCTATTGTAAACACAGAGCAGTACATCACACTTTCATCTACATAAAAAAAAAGTTTTCACTTTGATCAAAATCAGTTATATAAGGAATAAAAACCTGTGGTCCCAACACCAATGCTTAGGGAGCTCCTAATTTTACTGCTATTGGGCTAGAGGTGCAGCCTTATACACACGCTCAGTGCGTTTACATGACACTCGAGAAAACCGTTTTGCTGCCTTACTCCGATTAAGACCAGACAACTGAAGTGCATGTAAAAACCTTAATCTGACCATAAACGGAGTTTAAGAACTCCGACTCCAGTCGGAGAACTGATTAAGACACCTAGATAATGTGATTGGAATTCGATTTTCTCTACCATGTAACCAGCTTAGTCGAGGTATGATTGGACAATACATGTGCGCGTCCGCCACGCCCCTGTACCTCAGGAACAAAAACACCAGAGAAGAGGAGTAGCGTGCGTCTCATCTGCAGAAAAAGTAGCATGTACATCATGTACGACAAAAACAACGGCATATGATGCTCCATATTCTTGCCGAAAATGCCCAGCAGCAGTTGTAGCCACTTCTGATGTCTGGCACAGACCTGCTGTTGTTGTTGACAGTTGTATGGGGTTGGAAAGAGCGCCACTGAAAACACCCATATCCCATATGGGGAGGAGGACACATTTACATCAATAATTCAATCTTCTCAGCTGCATGTATACGCAGACGAGGAGAGAAATCCAATTCGGCAAAAAAGTTCTTTAAGTGGTTTTAGTAGGAATAGTAAATAGTCCACACACTGTAGAAATATGTGCACTATTTGCAAGAACTATATTACTGACAATTTAAGTCAGCTGATCTAAAATCAATCATAGAAGTTTGTGTCAAACAGGTGTAGGGTCAACATCAGTGTTCAAAAAAAGATGACAAAGGCCAGACAGATGTATTCATAGCTGCAGCAGCTTGAGTTTGGGCATTTCCAGGGCAGGAACCTCACAGACGGGGATCTCAAGGACTCCAAGAAAGATCTGTTTTACAGACTTTAATGTGACACGAGGATTTTAAAGTGAGTGACATGCAGACAGATACTGGAGATAGAGGGAGGGACAGGGACTCAATGTGCCAGCTCCCCTGGCAGTTTAGAGTGTACAGCAGCAAAACTAAGAGCTGGTTCAAATTTTACCAATGACTGATCACTTAAGAGACAGTGTGCAAAGGTTTGCTGAAGTTTTTTTGAAAGACTGACTGCTCTTAAGAAATAGAAATGGTCTGTAATTTCCTTTTAAGTATCAAAAGAAGAGAAGTTTGAGTGCTAAAAAAAGCTTGTATTTTCATCACAGCTCAAACAATTGCCTTCTGAGCTCAATCTGACCATAGTTCAGAATTTTGAGGTGGCCATTCAGAATTAAAGGGCCTGGGGGGGGTTGTCAACCTCAGCTCCTCCTCTGGGCACACCTCTACCTGACAGAGTTTGTTGTTGTTACATAGACAGTTATTTAAAAGCAGATTCTCTTCTCTCTTGCTGTGTGTCAGGTAACTTACGGCTCCTTTGACTACACCTCCCTCCTCTACCTGTCTGACTACGGCTCTGACTTCACTGGAGGACGCTTCGTCTTCATGGACCAAAATGAAAACCGCACAGTGGAGCCACGGGCAGGTAGCTGTGAACTATCAAAAACTTAATCTGCCTAAAGTGATGTTTATTGGAGCCTTAACAGCTTAAGTTTTGATTTACTTCATCCTGCCCTACAGCAGGTTAGGCCTCACTATCTGTGCTAATACCTGGTAACTCCTGGCTTTGTCTATAAAAGCCCATTAATCCACTTTCAAGTGGAGGGAGATAAAAAAAGATTCCTTTTTCATAGCCTTGCTTGGATTATAATTGCTGCACTCGGCTGCATTAGGGGAACCTGCAGATGCTTTAAAACATGTAGAGGAGCAGGTGTAATCCTGTCTAAGTAAATCATTAGCACTGAAGAGTGCTGCACCAGGGGGAATTAGCCTTCACCTTGAAAAAGTTCCCTGGAGTGAAAAGAGAACAGTATAATGATCCTGCATGAATTATTGCTGTATGTGTTTTAATATTCCATACACAGACCATAAAGGAAATCAGAGAGAGGCTTGAAATGAAATGGATTTTATATTTATGGTCTATAGGGGAATGTCTAATCCAACACAGATTACAGTCTTTTGGGATATTGTGTGACTTCAAAGGAAACTGAGGAGGATAAAAACAACAAAACTGGATAGGTGCTCTGGAGATTAAGTGAAAATTCAGAAAGGATCTGAGCTGGCCATTGTGAGCTGGGCCAGGTAAATTTCTGCATTTCATTCCTTTTTGCTCAGTTAATTCTGCTGTTTTAACTCAACTCACCTTTCATCAAGGCACACTCACACACACACACACACACACACACACACACACACACACACACACACACACACACACACACACACACACACACACACACACCTTTGCAGTGCCTCATATTTAAAAAGGAGGATTCAGTGCTCATGTTTAATTAAAGAGGTTTTCTAAAAGTATACATGAGGGTTTGTGTTTAGGCTTTTCAAGGCAACATGGTTATAAAGGCCTTCCAGTCCTGCAAACTGAAACATCTTTCGATTTAATTTAACCAGCTGAGTTTTATTTATATGTCATGTGTAAAAATATGATTTTATCAGTAAAAGCAAATCCTGTGGTTTTATTTAGTACATTGCAGAATAGTTTTTGGGGCCAGGGATGAGAAAAAACAGTGTGAGAAGAAAATAGTCTCAACGAGATCAGCCCCTGTGAGTTATCTTTGATGGGATAACCCACATAAAAAGCTTTGTTTTTTTCGATAACTTAATCAATAAATAAAATGACGCTTTTCAAGAAAAGATAACTTGAAGAACAAAGTTGACTAACAATATAGTGAAAATGATTCGAGAAAAGCTAGACATTTTTATGTTTTGAATCACTGATTATTTAACTTTATTTATGACAGGAAGTCATCTTCTCCTTTTTTGTTGTAAAAATTACTTTTAACCCTTCAAGCTTAAAATACATGATTATATCTGATTTTATCAAATATCTTATATAAAATTATCAGCCTGCACTCATTATCAGCTTAAAAACAATACTTCAACTGCAAGTAGCTGCTCTCCTCCTCCTCCTCCTGCTCCTCTACCTCTCTTCTTCCCTCCATCTCCCACTCCTCTTTCTCCTGAACTTTGTTGTGCACCGATCTGAACTCATGTTGATGAAGGTAAAGTGAAAGCTGTCTGAGGGGAGGGGCGGAGCTCACTCTACCTTGAAAGAAGGGGGGGTATTACCATAAAAGGCAAAATGAGCCAGTACAACATTGTTCAGTCTTAATTAAGATACTTTTACTGAATGTTTGGTGCCCCAGCTGTAAAATGAAATGGAAACTATGTTGATGACCTTGCTCTGTCTCATGACTCAAAGACTTCAGGGTTGTTTCACCCAGTCAAAGAACCTTCTTAACTGAAGAGGAGTAGCTGAATAGCCCATGTGTCTTTTTGCTGGGATGCAGTGAGTTGTAGTCATATGATTGGCTGATCAGATAACAGGTGTACCCAGTAAATTCACCACTCAGTGTTTTTGCATCTCCTCTATTTTCTGCTTTGCCTTATCACTGGCTTCTGTCAGGGTGTTGCACTGATAACAGTGAAAGCTTAAGAACCTGATCAATATGGAAAGCATCATTAAAAGAGTTCCTGACAGCTCTACTTCCATGTCTGACAGCAAACAAGCCCCTGCCAACTCTGCTCACCTTGTCCCTTTTTTCACCTCCTCGTCTTGACACTCTCCAACCTCTTCATCTCACTTATTGTCCATCATCTCCCTCCCTGTAATTTAACTCTTGTTCCACTTTAATCAAAAGCCATTCAAAAAAGAAGCTTTTCTCTCTCTTGTTCTGGGCTTTGATTTTTCACTTTTACTCCTGTCTTCCTTTTTCATTCATCCTGTCTCTGAAACTTCCATGTCATCAGTCAGACGAGAGCCGCTCAGTGAGTGACAGTCAAGCATTGTTAGCTACTGACAGTGTCCTGTGATGAGATGGAGAGAGACGTTGACTGAAGGTCATATGGTAATAAGGAGTGAACGCTGCTGCTGCTGCTGTCTGCCTCGTCTCCAGTGACAGGCTTTGGTGCTCAGCGCAGACATCCTGCATCAATGAAGTAAGAATCAGACAACAGAGAGGACGGTGACAGTGTGATATTAAAGCCAGTGAAACCTGCTTAGTGAAAAACAAGAAGAGGAAGAGATGGGAGAAGACACAAGTGGGTCAACTGCTCCCCCATCCTTATTGATAGATTTCGAACTCTCAATGAAGTTGTCACATGCTCAGAAATCTGAATGCACTAAACATGCCAAATCCAAAGATAACCACTGTGATTACGCCTATCTGCTAAGAGCTGGGCGTTGTTCAATCTTTATACCATTAAACCTCCCCCATGTTGAAAGTGCTACTCAGTATGTAAGCACTCAGTAAACACTGAGTTATTGAGTTAGTTTGGCTGATAGAGAACTTTTAAAATACATGTATTCACATTACTCTGACTGAAATAGCACTAAATGGACTGCTTATAATTGGACCAACACACCTAGGTTATGTGGATGGGGATTTTCTCTTGCATACAGTGTTTACTTGTTTTTGAGGTATTAGGTCTGAACAGAGTTTATAGCTGTTGGTCTCACAATGCAAGTGGATTTGACAGTTGTAAAGTTGGTATGTTGTATCATTGGATCTTTTGGAGCCAGTATTGTCAGCACAGTGATTTTTAAATTGTTCATCAGTGTTTTGGACCGCTCCTATCTCTGTCCACCATGATCACCTTGGTTGTCACTTTCACTGACTGCATCTTGCAGTAGTCATATCATTGCCAATGGCTCTAATTCGTTGGAGCTGGTTCTGATCCACTTTTTGACTTAGAGGAGATGCCTGTTTTATTCATTCATATAGTTTGCATTCTGTTGACATCATATTAAAACAGTAACAACAAAAATTCCTCTGATTTGAAGCACACTGGACTTTACTTCACATACTATCCTGTCTAAAAAATGTGTTTTTGTAATACTTTGACATGAGAATGTTGTCTGAAAGAGATAAGTGAGAGATGTTAGATAGATGAGTGAGAGCAAAAGAGTGTGCCATTACTCTCAGAAGTGAAAAATCTTTATTCAGACTTCTGTCCTAAATCGACACAGTGAAGCAGGAACTTTGAACAAGGTTACAAACTGCAGACTTTGTTGAAAGAGGCACTGTCATACTAACAGCTCCAACATGTGCTGAGATATGTAATCCGCCACAGCTTTGCATGTGGCCCTTTTCTTTTTTGACACAGCACTCAGGAGCATCCTCACAGCAGTCAGCGGCTTAATAATCCTGGGACAGGTACTTAAGTTTCAAGTGTTTCCATCTCTCACTGTCACAATTTTCATGCAAATCTTGCACAGCCTGATGGAGATTCACTGGCTCTCCACTGTCATTTGGTTGGAAATTGAAATGCTGCCAAATGCAGGAGTCCTATTTCCCTTTAAGACCAACTTACTTTGTTGGTGGTGCTCCATGTTTTCTTTTTTTTTTTTTTCCTCCCTCCTGACTTGCAGCTGTCACATCACAACGACTTAGTCCATGTGAAGCAATATCATGCAACCAGAGATCAACTAAAATCACAACCACTCAGACGGAAAAAGCACCTTCTACTATTTTTGAGTACCATGCAACAGCTAGTTGGCATACCTGCCTTACTTGTCTGTAATTATCACCCAGAGAGATGGAAAAAAACTTGTTCCTAATGTTTCAGTGGCCCACATCATTTATTGTCTCTGCTGAAACATGACACATTTTTATACAAAAACTCACTGCCAACCGCAAGTGGGGTAAGTTATTGAGAGGTTTTGTCTTGTTGGGAGTCTGACCCTGATATCTAGATGAATAATTACTATGCTGAGATAACAACAGCTCTTTAAGGCAACTGTGACAAACAAGGTGTAATTAAAGCTCCAGGTGGACAATCGGGACTGAGCTACAGAGAGAAAGAAGTTGAGATTGTGATGATGACTGTCAGCTTTATTGAGATAGGTGTAAAAAGTAAGAGGGGAAAATTACAAAAGAAATGTAGAACTGACCTGACGGATATGCTGAATGTGAAAGCGTCCCATTTTTTAGTGAGAGGAGAGAGACAGTTTGGAGGATGGGCAAACACAGGAAATGCCTAAAGACAGGTAAAGAGCAGATAAGTGATGATGAGATTAGATGTCTGGCTTTTAGAAAAGCAGATACAAACCAAGAAAAGGAAGGTCAAATTGAAAAAAAAGGTATGGCTGCCAGTCTGGGGTTCGCCTACCAGCTCAATCAACCTCAAGGGAATCAGATAACCTCTGTTGGACAGCTGCTCTGAAACCAGCAGCCTGACCTTGGTGACTGGACCTCTGCAGAAATCCAGAAACTAAAGACCACGAAAATGTTTGGATGGTTTCCTCCAACATATCAGGGTTTGTTTCATGTTTAAGTGGATGTTATGTGTGCATGGGTTCTACAGGGTTGCAGCTAAGGTTGTTTTCACATAAGTAAGAGAGAGGGAACTTACAGGGGGGAAGAAATAGAAACACGTTTGGTCAGAACATCCATCCAAGATGTTCTTCTCATCCTCATCAATCTTTATTGATGTGGCATCATCTCAAAACAAGTTTTATCCCAAGATGCTTTACAAAAAAACTAGTCGAGACCACACTCTGTTTACTAAGACTCTCTGTAAAGATGTATTACAAAGAGCCCCTTCCTGTAAGATCAGACCTACTCTGATCCATCTCAGCTACATGAGTAAAACACTTTACAGAATTAAAGTCAGTGTCATGGGATTTCTTTTAAGAGACACTACTTAAGCACATAGAACAAGATAAGCAAAGACTTCTTTGTCTTTGCAGGGGACACCAAAACCAAATGTTTCTCACAGGAGCTTTAAAATAACATAAAATAAGAAAGCATCATCCATATTTTGGGGGTATTTTTGTGCATTCCAGTGGTTTTTGGACTGATTTAGGTCTGGAAACTATCAGCTACATCTGGTAGCACTGCCCAGCATAAGTCATTGCTCCAGGTCGCTTTTGTAAAAGAGATTTTATATCTCAATAAGCCTCACCTGTTAAAATAAAGGTTAAATTGCTGTGGTCCAGGCTGCAGATCTGGATCCCTATAGTCTGGCAAAAACCCACACTTCAGACTCTACATCCAAGCTGTCTACTCTATATGGGCATTTGCAGTTCCCTGACAGTCACTGAGCTAACCTGTGTTGACATAATTTTGTGTGTGTGGCGGCACATGAGCCCATTGCGTTCCTCAAAGGTCACAGACTTTATTAATTTGCACTCAGACATGTTTTTATATGTTGAATAGTTAATAACTGATATTAAATAAAGGTTGTTTGTACAAATTTCTTCCTGCCACAGAGGAAACCCAAATAAACCCTCCATTTTTTTTTTAGACACTTCCTGTGATTGTGGAAAGACAGGTTTGCCTTAAGGAGAAACATAGATACTTTTTTGTTGGTACACATTCGTTCAACTCTTTGTTGTGCAGAACCTCCACAGAGGCTGAGTTTATGATGTTTTTAATAAGTTAAATTTATAAAAACGAAGACATGGCTGCTTAGTAAAACACTAAAAGGCTTTAAAGTCAATTTATTAAACAAGTACCTGAAAGCAGTGGTCACCTCTTTTGACCTCAGTACTGCTGAAGCAATGGGAATCAACCAAAAAAAACAGAAACCTGTCATTATTATTAGAAGAATTTTAAACTGTACAAATTCAAATTCAGCTCTCCACACCTTTAGCTAACAAAACAATCAATCATTCTTTGGCAACCGATTGTAAAAAATATATGCTCTGCCCTCCACTGTAGATGACGGACTGTGGTCTCATTAAAGTCTAATGTCATTTTTAGTGTCAAGTGTCAGACAAGTTAATAATGACTTTGATATTCCCCGAAGACAGTGATTGATAGTCATCATACTGCATTTCCATTTGATTTCTATAATTGGCTGTTAAAGCTTTTACTACCTTGTCAAACAAGAAATAAATCATCACCTCCATGTTATGATAGTGAGTACAGATGATACAATTTTTTTCTGGCCATGAATTTAACTTGTCTATGCCATTTACATAAAGGACACCCTTTTTACTCATTTTCTCCTTTTATTTTGTGGGTCAGGAACATCTATAGAATAGCTCTGCATGATTGACACTGGTGTTTGTGAAAACCCTTGTTTCAGCTTCATTTAGCCTCTGAAACCCTTTGTCTCGGCTGCTTTTAAGCCCAAATGAAGTTAAGCATGGCTTGTGGGTTTAACTTTTTACACAACTTTGTAATGACCTGAAAGTTTTCTCTTCGTGGTAAAACGACACATTTTTTGTGCTGAAACTGCTAGTGAACAAAGGCAGTACATAGCAAATGAAATGTGAAAAAAAAAAGTCTCCACTGTCAGATCAACAATAAAGCACAGACTCTATACTTTCTCTCTAGTTCCTCTTTAATATCATTAGATGATTTTCAGATTTAAAAAAAAAACCTCCTGTTTCTCCCTCTGGTGTATTAGAATATCATTAATTCAGCCTCTGTCTGAAACGCTTTGTTTTAGCTGCTGTCTTTATAAGGTCCCCCCTACACAAGCCTACTTTCCTCTGATTGGACACCTCACTGGAGGCTGTGCATGTCACTTCACACACTGCAGGCCTTTCCACTTTGCCAGAAGCACATAAACCAATAAGGAGAGTCTAAGATTCTTGTGTTCAGTAAATTTCAGTAAATCTCACACATAAACTACAGTCTCGCATTTTTTAGCTTTTGTCCTAGATTTGAGCTGTTTACATCTACTTTCAATGATTATGACAAAGAGTAATAAGATTATAAATAAGAGTTTACCTTGTGATTTGAAACATGGCATACATCTAGCATGGAGACCAATCTTTGTAACTTTGCAGTTTTTGTTTTAAATGTGGAAAAGCATGTCCCCCAACCCCAACCCTTGAATCAACTGGATCAAGTTCTTGGATAGCATGTAAAAGACACTTGACTTGAAGGAAGCAATATGACCCTCCTGCTCTCCTCCTTCCTCCTGCTCCTCTCCTTGCCCCCTCTTTCCTCCTTCCTCTTGCTCCTCTCCCTGCTCCCCTCTCTCCTCCTCCTGCTCCTCTCCCTGTTCTCCTCTTTCCTCCTCCTCTCTCCTCCTCCTGCTCCTCTCCCTGCTCTCCTCTCTCCTCCTCCTGCTCCACTCCCTGCTCTCCTCTCTTCTCCTTTTGCTCCTCTCCCTGCTCCCCTCTGTCCTTGTCCTGCTCCTCTTCCTGCTCTCCTTTTTCAATCTCCTGCTCCTCTCCCTGCTCTCCTTTTCAATCTCCTGCTCCTCTCCCTGCTCTCTTCTCTCCTCTCCCTTCTCTCCTCTCTCCAACCCCTGCTCCTCTCCCTGCTCTCCTCTCTTTCCTCCTCCTGCTCCTCTCCCTGCTCTCCTCTCTCCTCCTCCTTCTCCTCTCTCCTTGCTCTCCTCCTGCTCCATCTCCTGCTCCTCTCCCTTTTCCCCTCTGTCTTTCTCCTGTTCCTCTCCCTGCTCTCCTCTCTTTTCTTTCCACCTCCATCAGTCTTAATGAGAACTGTGTTTCTCATCAATCTGAGCTACACCATGAAAAAACATAATATTGGTGTCCTGGCATATTCTTAAAGACCCCATTATGTAGTTGTGGGACCATGGGCACTCCACATAAACACACCAAGAAAAGCACAAATATACATATGCTATGCATAGCCTCCCCCTCCCCCCAGTCTGCCTCTGCGTTTATCTCAGAAGGTTTAAGATAGAAGATTTGCTGAATTACCAACAGCAGATTAATAAACCTGTGATCTGTAGCCTAATTGTATTGACGGGCTAAAGAACAATTAAACTGCCTCTTGCTTTATTTAGTAAGTAACAGACCAAAACGAGATGATTCAGGTGATGGATCTTCCTGCTGTGGTGGTGCTTTGTTTTAGTATCTGTTGCTGGTCCCTGTCTGCAGCATTGCTCACGCTCTCTTTTCTGGTGTGAACATTTGTGTCTCCACCACAGACTGCCATGGTATCATAATCAGGAAAAATTAAATAAGAGTCACAATCAAAATAATCTGGTGGGCCTGGTGTTACTGCTGTTGGTTGAGCTCTGAGCCTGTTCCTGACCCCTTGACCAGCTGCTTCAAGATTTATTTTGAAAGATTGAAAGACTTAAGTAACCTTTTCTGAAGTCTAGAAGTAGCGCTGAGCTGACCTTGGGCTTCTTTACTCAAAGAGACTTTAAAATAGTCTAGGATGTGAACATTTTTCAAAACTGTCTCAGTGTGAAGAAGAAAACACCTACAAACGTGCCTGTAAGTTTCATGAGAATCATACAGGGACCGAGGGGCTGACAGATTATGTTCATCCAGTCGTTTCCTCCACGCAGACTGCTCCTCATTCATTTATTACAGACAGAGTCTCTCACAGCAGATTGATTCCAGGAAACAAAAATATCGCTTTGACTCAGGAGAACAACAGACTGTGTTTCCACCTCTCTGGATAGTTTTCAATATGACCTTGGTAATAATGTTCAGACTGCACAGACACTGGGGTCTGTTTGTTGTATATGTTACTGACTCATGTATTGTTGTGCAAATAACTCCATTGGATGCAGAAGAAATCAGTTTGTTCTACACACTTTGTCTTTGATATTACCGTGTGAGGAAAGGATTGAACACCTCAGAATGAATCCTGAAAACTCTTCTTCAAGCGTTAACACTCCCACCTCCTATAAGGACTAAATAACTTAGACAAAGTTAGATAACAAAATTTAAAGAGTGACATTCAGGAAAGAGGCTATGAAGGACTGCTTTTGGAGCTTTTTCTATTGTTGAAAAGGGCAGGCAAAGAGAGAGTGAGTGCCAAAAAAATCAAGTCATGTCTGGACCAGGAATCAATCTTACAACCTTGCATGAGGCACCAGTGACAGATTGACAGAGTCTCGACTATCAAACCTGGAAATCTCATGAAGTCTTTTGCGGTCAAACATGACTTTAGTGTTGCTAGCTTCCTGCTTCATCCATTGTCATTTCTTTTTAATTTCTCTTGCTGTTTGGTTGTGGTATAATTGACCAAGCATGTTGTGTAAATGCTGGTGTTGTATTCAGGAATCAACAATTTCTCATGACAATGGACCGTTTTCATTATTAGCTGTCCTGGGGGGTCTGCCGTCTGGAAGGGGTTTCTCACAGGTTGGAACATGTTTGATTTTTATGATTTTACATTGAGGAAGCAGTCTTAGAATTATTCAACCTCTTCATGACAAACATCTGTAGGACTTAAAAGAGCACCCTATTGCCGTTATGACCTGCTGCTTATGTGATGCACAGCCAGGCACCAGCTTCTTAAGAATTTCAGCCCATTCCTCAGGACAAAGGCCTCCAGCTCAGTAATATTCTTGGGTTTGCGTGCTGCAGCTGCCTTTGTCAAATCCCAACCAAGATTTTCAGTAGGGTTTAAGTCAGGTGGCGGTTATGGCCCCTCTGGTATCTTCCAGGACTTCTTTTGAAACCAAGCCTTGTTGGACTTTGAGGTATGCTTTGGATCACTCTCCTGTTAGAAGGTCCACTGACACCCATGCTTCAGTTTCCTTACAGACATTTTTACTACATGACATTTTCTCCCAGGATTCCCTGATACTTGCTTGAAGGCTGCAGGTTTCCAGTGCCATGGAGAGCAAGCGGTCATCGAGTGTTGTTGATTCACTGCCATGCTTCACTGGTGATCTTTTCTCTGTGTGCTTTATTCTTCCTCCTCCAGACATATCGCTCATCCATAGGCCCAGAAAGTTCCAGTTGTGTTTCATCGCTCCACAGAACAGAATCCCCAAACCTCTTCGGTTTATTTCTAAAGTTTTGAGCAAATTTGAGACTTAAAGAGCTTTTGGGTCAATACTGGTGTATGTCTTGAAGTTCAGGCATGGATCCCCTCAAACTTTAGTATGCACCTTACTGTGGGAACTGAAACCTCAGTGCTTGCTACCACCAAGTTTTGCTGAAGGTCTGCTTTGCACTGCAGCACACCTCTGAGATGCTAGATGGCAGTGCAATTTCTAGGCCAGTCATATCCCCAGTTTCTGGTCCTACTTCATACTCTGCACATGTCTGCACAGGAAACCATGGCAACCAAATCTTAGCATGTTATGTTGGATTTGAAGCTGACAAATGTTGAGCAGCTTTTAAAGTACTGTGATTGTAAAGATTCAGAGGCTAAATAAGTGAAGGTGGAGGACCAATGAATGCTGCAACACTTAGAATGTGTACCACCAAGACGACCAATCCCAGGACCTCCAGTCTGTGCTGATTTGTCTTGTCGCTGGGTTTTCAACATGTTGTGCTGTACAGTTATTTTTGTGAGCCAGGGCTGTCTTGCAAAAGACAATTTTAAACCTCAGTGAGATTTCCTGATTCAGTGTAGGTTACATCGGAAAAAAACTTTAGGAAGTGCTCTACGAACCAAGTACACCAACTTCAGTGTAGGTAAAGAGCAATGCAGACCTTCATTCAGCATTTTGGTCTTTGTAGCAAAACAGTCTGGCTGCAGACCTCCACTGAGGGGACCAGAAGTTGTTTGAAGCCTTAAAAACAGAAGCAAATATACTGGGAGTAAGTTTCTTTTTATACGCCCAAAGCTGATTCAAAGCCTTTCAAATGAAAAGCGATTGCAGCGGGAAGTATGTACTTTTTTGTCTCATGTGAATATATTTGATTTCTTGGGGCTTTATTTTACGTATATAATGTTAGTATGATTATTTTTGTATTTATGTGTTCAACAAAGACAAATACAAAATGGGATGACGACTTCAAACAAACTGGAGCATGTGAGAAACGTCACCTTGGGTCCTCTCAGTGGAAGTGGGTCCTCTCAGATGAGGTCTGCAGCCAGTCTCCTTTTTAGAAATTCAAGACTGATCCTCTGTTTAACTCTGCAGCTTAAAATCTCTGAAGGATGATATTGTCTCAGTTCTGCTGCTTCATTTGATTTATTTCAATAAAACTCTTCAACACTATCCACAAAAGAAATGCGTAACTCTTCAATCTCCAAAAGCTTATTTCACCTCTCACCTTCTGACCAATGACTGAACTGCTCAAGAGCTTCAAACGCAGCTGTGATGCTCTGGAAATGAGTGTCTAGTTTCTGTGGTTTATTACAGTACAAAGCTCAACTAAAGGCAGGCACTTCTGATAACTTTTAGAGTCCTTATCGATTGGGATTATTATCATTATTTAGTCTTGTATGTCCACCACCTGCTGCTCCTGCTTTCATGTTGTTATTGGTGATATTTCCCTGTTTTACTTTTTTGCACGCTTTATGCTTTAAGTTGAGTATGATTTAATGATCTTCAGTTGCGTGACTAATGCATGTTGCAGCTTTGATGAAATGTCTCCTGACCCATAATGGAAAGTAATAAAGATATGAATAAATCTGAAGGCTGGGGAAAAGCTGGGCTCACATGGGTTTTCAACTGCACTTTGAGGCCCAAAATAATGACAGAATATCAGAAAATGAGCTCTACATGAAAGTAAACCTCAGGGGGGGAAGTTAAAGCAAAAGTGCAGATGTGCATGTTCTGCCAAGCTTAATCTCTCAAAACTAAAATGTTTTCTCCCTGCAACTTTTTTGCTAAAATATTTATAACTTTCTCTCAAATTTTGATACTGTCCTTACAAAACTATTTTTTTCTCGCAAATGTTTTCCTTTTTTACTCTAATTTATAATATGAGGCTTTTTTTTAACTCCTTTGTTAAAAATGTATTCACAGTGCTCCTACAAGGACAGTAGGCTGTCGGTTGTCATACAAAGAAAAGAACTATATCCATTGTGCCGTGATTCGGTTATGATATGAAAGCATTGAATGTCAAGTGTTGAAGAATTCTTATGAACTAAAATAACTCAGCAGTCTCTTCTGTTCACCTGCTTTTCTCAATGTTTTCACCTGTTTGCAGCATGTTTCTTCTCAATAGTTTATCACATGCTATTCTGACGGTTCTGATGACTTTGTCAAAATGATGAAAAAGCGTGGTCAGTGAAGCTTAACACTTGCTCAATGAGAGAACATTAAGTGACACTTTAAGAAAGGCGTGGACTTGACATTAACATCGGCCAGCCTGCCAGATGCCAGTGGATTTTAGTGATGAAGCACTCCCACTCGCCACTATGGCAGGCTGGGTAATTTTTAGTACTCTATGGTGAACCTTTTAACATATAAACTGTATTGTCGTTAGATCCTGCCAGGACAGCAGCAGTCATTCTCTGCCAAGTAAACAGTTTGAACATCATGATCTGGGCACTCTTAAATTTGTTAACTGATAAACTTGATTGAAAGATTCTTCCACAGTATAAGATTGAAAGTCTCTCATTTTCCTCACTTTGGGATTTAATAATTCATGCATAAGCATGTCAGCAGTAACTCTCCTAACTTTTCTAAACGTACACACACTGTCCCACTGTGTGACTAATACTCTAGAAACATCCTGAATATCAACCTCTGTCAGATGAACCCTGCTGAGTTCTCCTGTGAATATTTCTTTATTACGCTGTCTCTGATCTGCTGACTACACAATCTGCTGCCCTGCTCAGTAAACACTGGCAACACTTTTATCAACAAGTGCGAGGGATTATTTTCAAAGATTATTTTATTGTACAGTTCTCTAAAGCTGTGTGGCTAATCCCGGCACTTGAAAAAGCCTTCCCTTTGAAAGACACACAACACGCCAACCACCACACATTGTCCTGCTGCTCACGCTCATTTTCTCTGAATTCATTATCTTTCTCATTATGGCCTATTCTCAGGTTTTCAGTGTAAATTTCATTGTTAAACTGAGCGCTGCTTTCCACTGACATCCTCAGCTAATGCCCTGCCAGGGGATTAAGCCTCCCACGCACACACACAGGCATCGATATTCCTGGGAGGGAAAGTAGAGCAAACAAATGGGGTTGTAATGGTTCCAGATTCTTATTCACAGCCTCTAATGAGATAACCCAATCCAAAGTTAAAGAAACAGAAAGTTTTCTATTAAAAAAACAAAAAAAAAACTGGCTCTTCTAACTTTTAATATGAATCCTTTAATTATGCAACAACTGCAGAAGAGATGTAAATATTAATACAGCTGTCTTTCTAGGAAGCAGAAGGTTGTGTTTAGAGAGATCCGGACTTTGTGGTGAATGGTATCAGCTCATTAGCCGGTCCAGTGAAGCCGAGCCCTGTAGAAATGGAGAGAGTTTAGCCCAAGGCGACCTCCCCGGCCTCACGCTGCAGGTCAGCCTAATGAAAAATGTTGAACTCAGATGGACTTACAGAAAAAGTTCAACCCCTGAATAGGCTGAGCCCCAGTATTCGGGCTCCCATCCGTGTCTTTGGGGATAGATCCTCCTCTCTCTTCTTTCTTTCACCACTATGAGCATCGGACTGACCTGAAGAGGTCCATGACGTCAACAAGCCGCCATTTCTGCAGTGTGGCGGCTCCCTAGAATAAATCTGCATGTTTAAATGCAAGTTGTTCTCATAAGTGATTGATTTCTTTTACTTTAACCTTCCTACTCTAAGTAACTTTAATCAAAAGAAAGGTAGTACATGAACTCCATTTGAACAGCACTATGTTTAACTTAAATGAATACTAGCAGAAACTTGTTCACTGAAGTAAAGCATCATGTAGACAGTGCTGCTGCAGCAAACTGACTTTTTTTAGGCTTCATCTAAAATGAAACTATGAGGATTTTCCATTCAGTACAAACTCTTTTAAAACTTTCAGTCTCTTTGGAAAATGCTGCTAAATTCTGCACAATGTACCTTTAAATTCCTCAGAAATGGAGAAATATCTGGATGGTTTAATTGTATGTAATGATCTTCATCTCATAAGGTCAGTGTGTCTTATAACGTGAGGTTTGCTAAAGAAGGCGGACCTCACTGGGGGAGCTGTTCTGAGGTTTAACAAAATCCAGCACATACTACAGCTGGCTTTTTAATGACAAAGGAGTTGGGAGGTGATTTTCTGCTTCTTGCAGCGGGGGGGCAGGTCAAATATGGACCCCTGCCATTAGCACTTGTCCTTAGACGGGGCTTACAGTGTTCTGGCTTTCTTTCAGTGCTTTCACCTCTGAAATCATGTGTTTGACAATGGCTGTCTCCCAGAAAGCAGAACCATTGTCTTTCTTTCTTTTTTTAAATTTTTTTACCTGAAGCACGATCAGTCATTTTTTTCAACATTTTATTTTCCTTTAAAACACAAGTATAAATGACATGGGGGTTTTACTTGTTGGAATATCAACCTCAAAATCTCAGTCTGTGAAACAAAGAGCGTCTGTAACTCCAACCATTTCTCTCCTCTTTTTCCTGTCTGTGTCCAGGCCGAGTCTCCTTCTTCACCTCTGGTTCTGAAAACCTCCACCGTGTGGAAAAGGTGACATGGGGCACACGCTATGCAATCACTGTGTCCTTCACCTGCGACCCGGCACACGCCATCTCTGACCCGTCTCTGCCCTGAGGCACTCACAAGTGATGAGGACGCTCTTGGCTTCAAATGGATCCTGCAGAGGGGAGGAGAGGAGGAGAGGATTTACTTGTACAGTGGTTTCCTGCAGCTGCTGGGTCAATGTCTGTAATTGTCTTTTATCTGTAGACTGTCTCCTACTCTCTGTGCATGCTGTGAAAAAATCATTTTCTTCCCCTTTGTTGCAGACTATTGTTTTTTTGTTTTTGTTTTTTATCAATTTTTTTACAGCAGCACTTTTCTCCTTGCATGACTGACACCGAAAGGCTTGTTGGCTTTTCCCACACATTTCCAACGTTTGTTTTTCTTTAACTTTGAGCTGGAGCAGAAATGGACTCAAAGCGAACTTGGTATCAGAGACTCTTCAAAAGTGGGATTGTTTGCTCACTGTGTGTTTCTAAGTGAGAGGAGCTGCCATTTTCTTCAGAAGAGATTCAGATCTGGTCGATCACCTGTCATCACACATTCCTGTTCAGGTGTGCGTTTAGCCATGATCCCGAGGTGTTGACTTCTAAGAAGAACTCACTCTGTCCAGTGAGGAATCCTCTTTCTAACCAGTAACCTTTTACTATACAGGGTTTTAAATAAAAACTGATAAACATGATCTTGTCTCTTTTCTTTGTTTCTAGCACAAAAGTATCTATGTGTGCTTTGAGAAAGTACTAGAAACTTTTAGGTTCTTAATTGTTTCTGTGGCCCTTTTATTCCATTTCCACTGGGGCCTGAAATTCTGGAAAGATCATGCAGGTCACACCAATGATGTTCAGGGCTTCCACTTGCCGGCCCCTCTCTCTCAGCTTAGCTGCTGTCTGTGTGTATGATACAAACAAGATTGTTTCCTTAGACGTACAACCCCTGAAATTGCCATAGCCATAGCGCTAAGGCTCTTGCCTAAGGACCTACACTGGTAGATGTTTTTCACTCTTTACAGATGTGTGTGATGCAGGAATTTAACCACAACCCCCAGTTAGGAACGGGATACTCTACCCGCTGAGCTATCCAGCTACTTACAGCCGAGATTCTGTGGGACTTCCAGATACAGGCTGACATGGTAATGGCCAACCAACTGGACATTGTAATTGTAGACAAACAGCAGAGAGCCATTGTGGTAGATGTCGCCATCCCAAGTGATACCAACATCAGAGGGAAGAAACACTAGAAACTAGAGAACTACCAAGGGTTCAAAGAGGTTTCTAACTGAGGTAAAAATAACCAGAATACTCTGGCAATTGTATTCTCCTGTCTGATTAAATTAACCGATATCAGTCCTGACTTAACATGTATTAATTACTGCCACAGTCTTATCTGCATGTCTTCAAGCAGCCAGAAAATTGATGAATTTTTTTCATAGGCACTTACTGTTCAAAAAGTCATGAGGCATGTCTTTCTTATTTTCTGCACAGCTGCTCCGAGCAAACCACACTCAGCTCTGCTTTGTGCTTTCAGGACTCTAAGCCTTGAATCCATTATTCAGAGTATGTTTTTTTTCCCCTAAAAACCTTTAAATGTTTAAATGATGGTTCATCAATAGGGGGCAGAGAGGTCCAGCGGTCCATCTCAATGCAACAGCTGGTAGGAAGAGGAGGAAAGTTTGAAGAACCCTGGCAGACCGATCTCATCCTCTGTTCTGTCAGTTGGAGCTTCTGAAGTCTAGGAGGCATTACAGAGCTCCTCTGGCCAAAGGTCCTTTTAAAAAGTCATTTCTACCAAATGCCATTGCCATCTTGAATTCAATTAAGTGGCCAATCCACCCATATGGCCTGAACTGCTCTACCTTTATGTTTTACTTGTCTCACTGGATCCTATTTTACCTCTACTTTTACGTCTCACCTCTGTTTTTATTGTGTTTATTATTTGTCTTTATGTATGACAATATTTGTATTGTAGTGCTGTCTGTCTCCTGTGCTGGTCAGCCAAAGACAATTTTCCACCTCGAGGAACAATAAAGGATTATTTTAGTCTATTCTGTTCCATTCTTTATCATTTTTTGAAGGGTTTTACCATGTGGGCTCAGGAGGACTTCAGATAACCATTGTCAGTTAACATGAGTTCATCTCTACGCCTACAAATTCAAACTCTACCATGCAAAGACAAAGGTCGCTTTCACACCAGAGCTATTGGTCCACTTTAAACGGACTAGAGTTCGTTTCCTCGGATAGTCCGCTTCGTTTGGGCAGGTGTGAAAGCTCATCCGAACCCTGGTGCGGACCAAACAAGCGAACTCTGGTCAGCTTGAAAACGTGGATCTCGGTTTGCTTGCAAGTGAACCCTGGTTCGGTTCGTATGCAGTGTGAAAGCTCACCAGACCAAACACAGGACCAAATGTATGTAATGATGCTATATGCAGTGCATACGCAGTGCATCTTGGGTAGAGGAAGCACGGCGTTACTTGTTGCTATGGCAACAAGTGACCGCTGACATTAGCAGTTGCTAGCTAGCTTAGCTCAATTGTCTGAACAACAATAACCCATAAATTCACAATTTGACATATTTAAACAAAATCAAATCACAACTACCAACAGTCACAGTCCTTAAACTCTAAGCTCATAGTACAGCGGCTTAGCCCCCAAAACAATAGGAATTGTGCACTTTTTGAGAAAAGCATGAAACTTCTACCATAGTTAGATGATACCATGAGGGTTTTTTTTCAGATGTGGAGGGAAGTTAGATTTGACCCCTGAGGCCTGGGAGAGGTCAAATTCAAAATGGCTGATGAAAATATTGAAAAATGCTTAACTTCAGAACCAAATGCAGTAAAAACACATTTAAGGTGTCATTTCCTACTAATTTTTGGGTGCCCAGTCAGTTGGTGCCACCTTTGAGACCAATATAATTTTAGAAAATGTATTTATTTTAAGGTCAAGGTACAATATATGCATAACAAAACAATAAATATTTATTTAATTGTATCCATGTGCCTCGAAATGTTATTTTATAACTTTGCACTATCTCTTATTATTAACTGTGATGTGTGGTAATTTCTTCTAAGATCAGAACTACCAGGTGGACCTCTAGTAACTAATTGCATTAGAGTTGTCAGTAGGGTGGATGGCATGATTAGTAGCCCTGTCTGCAGTCTGCAGGAGACAACTTCTGGCAGGAATATTCAGAGATTAATATTCTACCTCTAACAGGTAAACTGATTGACTGATTGAACAACATCATTGGTAATGCCTTAAAATGCAAATAATACCATCTTGAACATTTCTTTGTGAGCTAAAGTCAGTTGAATGATTGAACACAGTATAGATTTCAGCATTTTAATTTAAAGCATATCACCTCTCTTGATAGCAACAAGTATACTAATTCCTGAAACCAAACTTAGCCCTGAAGCAAGTTGGCTAACACCTTGCTAGCTAGCTAGCTGTTAGCCAGTCTCAAATAGGCTTGATCACTTATGCTAAAGTAGTCTGGGTCTTTAAACTGTCATAATCCAAATGCAGAATATTGTGAGTTACACTATACACTCACCGGCCACTTTATTAGGTACACCATGCTAGTAACGGGTTGGACCCCCTTTTGCCTTCAGAACTGCCTCAATTCTTCGTGGCATAGATTCAACAAGGTGCTGGAAGCATTCCTCAGAGAGCTTGGTCCATATTGACATGATGGCATCACACAGTTGCCGCAGATTTGTCGGCTGCACATCCATGATGCGAATCTCCCGTTCCACCACATCCCAAAGATGCCCTATTGGATTGAGATCTGGTGACTGTGGAGGCCATTTGAGTACAGTGAACTCATTGTCATGTTCAAGAAACCAGTCTGAGATGATTCCAGCTTTATGACATGGCGCATTATCCTGCTGAAAGTAGCCATCAGAAGTTGGGTACATTGTGGTCATAAAGGGATGGACATGGTCAGCAACAATACTCAGGTAGGCTGTGGCGTTGCAACGATGCTTAATTGGTACCAAGGGGCCCAAAGAGTGCCAAGAAAATATTCCCCACACCATGACACCACCACCACCAGCCTGAACCGTTGATACAAGGCAGGATGGATCCATGCTTTCATGTTGTTGACGCCAAATTCTGACCCTACCATCTTAATGTCGCAGCAGAAATCGAGACTCATCAGACCAGGCAACGTTTTTCCAATCTTCTATTGTCCAATTTCGATGAGCTTGTGCAAATTGTAGCCTCAGTTTCCTGTTCTTAGCTGAAAGGAGTGGCACCTGGCGTGGTCTTCTGCTGCTGTAGCCCATCTGCCTCAAAGTTCGACGTACTGTGCGTTCAGAGATGCTCTTCTGCCTACCTTGGTTGTAACGGGTGGTTGAGTCACTGTTGCCTTTCTATCAGCCCGAACCAGTCTGGCCATTCTCCTCTGACCTCTCGCATCAACAAGGCATTTCCGCCCACAGAACTGCCGCTCACTGGATATTTTTTTCTTTTTCGGACCATTCTCTGTAAACCCTAGAGATGGTTGTGCGTGAAAATCCCAGTAGATCAGCAGTTTCTGAAATACTCAGACCAGCCCTTCTGGCACCAACAACCATGCCACGTTCAAAGTCACTCAAATCACCTTTCTTCCCCATACTGATGCTCAGTTTGAACTGCAGGAGATTGTCTTGACCATGTCTACATGCCTAAATGCACTAAGTTGCCGCCATGTGATTGGCTGATTAGAAATTAAGTGTTAACGAGCAGTTGGACAGGTGTACCTAATAAAGTGGCCGGTGAGTGTAAATTTATAATACATTTTTGATTGAGACACTGTGGACTGTGGAGACAGGTGTACCTTTTCTCTTGGTATGTAGGCTATAGTGCTCCATTTCCTTGTATTGGACACTGCACCTGCCCATCACTGTCACTAAGGATGATTACTGGTGTGCAAGAAGCCTTGGGATAACCTGTGAGCAGTCTACCCATTAAGTTAATTATTTAGAATCAGTATAGAGATCAATTACCATAATTTTGAAAGGGACAGTAAGTAAATATTTGATTGAGGAAGACTGTGTTAGCATTCTTGTTTCTCTCAGTGCAGTGTAGGCTATCACCCAATGCACCTGAGATTACGGTTATATATATATATATAGGAAAGAAGACAGCCTGGGAGACTTGGAAGTCTTTCCCCAAGGTCACTGATGCTCTGCAGGAACTCCTGGCCATGCCAAGTGAGGTCAGTGAAGGATCAAGGTCACTGATAGAACGATTTGGGGTGCTGATGTACGACCGAACCAGTGAATGCATGGAGGTAAACAATGCCAGGGAACACCTTTTCTCCCAGAAGTCCAGGACTTTGGAGAACATCCCTCCAACCCAGGCAGCCCTTAAAGAGCACATCAAGCGGACTTGCTTTCAGGCCAACCTGTGGAACCAGTTACTGGTCTTGGATCCGAAGATACCAGAGGCATCTGACTGGGGATGGACAAAAGAATCCACTGGGTGGCAGCCATTCTGGACAGCTCTCCCTGAAGCATCAAAATCTTGCCATGAGCTAATCCAGTGTAACTGCCAGAAAGGGTGCACTGGACGGTGCACATGCGTCAAAGCTGGACTTGCATGTACAGAGCTCTGTTTTTGTTCGGGAGACTGTGTTAGGGTTCAGTCATTCACCATAGCCGTCCCAGAGTCCAGGGAAGTGCAAGGGTACCAGGATGCAGAGGGAAACATGCGTGGGACAGGGTCCGAGAACCTCCTAAGACGAGGATCTGTGGAAGGGAGTCAGCCAGGGGTGAATAGATGGGGAACCAGGGGGCTCCACCCAATACTATAATAGACGGTTAAGAAATTTGATTATTTCCATGACATGATCCTGATATGAAAGGGAACTAAGCACTGTCTGTTTGCTGTATTTCCATCCATTGATTGTGTTTTGTTTTGTTACGCAACCTTAAGTTCTATGACAGGTGCTGTATTAATACAAGTTATTATCATAACTCTTATTGTCATTAAAAATTTTTTTTTTAAAATCACTTGTTACTTTCATTATTTGGGAAATAAACCACCTTTTTGCACCTTTCGCCTGACTTTTTCCAGATAATTTGACCTTGACATTGATCTGAAGGCATTTAATTGAATTCTATTGGTCTCAAAAGTATCACCAACTGAATGGGCACCCAGAAATTAGTGGGAAATGACACCTTAAATGTTCTACTGTGTTTGGTTCCAAAGTTAAGCATTTTTCAATATTTTTGGCAGCCATTTTGAATTTGACCTCTCCCGGGCCTCAGGGGTCAAATCTGACTTCCCTCCACATCTGAAAATAAATCTAATGGTATCACCTAGCTATGGTAAAAGTTTCATGCTTTTCTCAAAAAGTGCACAATTTTTTGCTTAACCGCTGTACTATCATATGTTGTCACATGTTAGATCGTCAAAGTTAGAAAAATACCAGGATCAATCCCTGACAAGCTACGATAGCATTATAGGAAGAGTTCCGTTCACTAACGTTGTAGCATTCCATAAAATAATGTGACGAAGCACAATACAAGACGGCTAGTCCACCCCTGTTTGTAATCCATGAGGTTACATATCCGTCCTACTTTGTCCAATCGACAAGCGCCCCTTTCAACCATGTGATGCTGCTCAGAAAGTTCGGTGCGCTTTAGAAATCACAGTGTGAAAGCAGAACCAAAACAAGTTATAAATGCAACAGTGTTGCGACTTTCAGCTCCCCAATCGAACCGAGTCCGCTTGGTCAGGTGTGAAAGCGACCAAAGTCAGATATCAACAACAGCCAGAAACATCGCAGGCTTCTCTGCGTGCTTATCTCTTGCTTATCTGAGATGGACTGACCCAAAGTGGGAAAGTCTGCTGCGGTCTGGCCATTCCGTATTTTAGATAGTTTTTTGAAATCATGGACGTGGTGTCCTCCAGACAAAAGAGGAAAAGGATCATCTGAACTATTATCAGGTCAAAGGTCAAAGCTAGCATCTGTGATGGTCTGGGGGTGTGATAGTGCCCATGGCTAACTGTCACATCTGTGAAGGCTCCATTAATGCTAAAAGGTACAAACAGGTTTAGGAGCAACATCTGCTGCCATCCGAGCCCCGTCTTTTTCAGGGACATCCCTGATTATTTCAGAAAGACAACGCCAAGATTCTTCATGGGGTACAACAGCGTGGCTTTAGGGTCAAAGAGTGAATATGTGCAATATCCCCGAATGTTTAAACACCAGTGAGCTTCACTGCCTCCTTAGAAAGATATCTCCATCTTAAGCTGTTTAATAATGTACTAATGTTCATTAGACAGCAGGTCAAGTAGCTGTGTTGAACAGGAAATGTGCAACAGGCTTATTAGAGTGAGATTCATGAGGACAGTGAGAGTTATTGCAAAACTGGGGGTCATAAAACTGAAATCCAGAGGCTGAAATAGAGACAGCTAGGCTGAGTGATCATTCTTTATAAGTTGGTGAAATACTATCTTTCACATGCGCAGCAAGTTGATGACTATTTAGAAGAAAACATTTTCATTATTTCATGTATCTGAAGTCAGTGTTTTTGGCCGGAAACTGATGGAAAACAATAGAAACACGTTTAATTTGTTCTGTCAAACTCCAAGTGGGCAGAAACAATGGTCACTATGCTGCAGTGCTGCTATCATTCCCACTATGTCTATGAATTCAATCTTTTCATTAACATAAAAAAGCAGGGACTTTAGGACTGTTCCAGGTTTATTATAGCAGCAAACAGAAAGTACAGACCAAATAGACTGTATATACAGTCTATGGTACAGACTTAAGGTAAAAAGGTCGTATACGTTCATTTATTTTCTCCTTAGAGTTTTAAACCAGCTCAGACGACGAGCAGAAGTCTGGATTCTGAAGGTTTCCTGAGCAGGCAGTCATTAATCACCTTTGTTCTCAATGGAGATAAATGCTCTGGTCCCTGTCATTAAGTGCACCATCAGCTTTAATGACTGGTGTCTTACATTGATCTTCTAGGTCAGAGTTTAAAAAGAACTTAACTCAAAAGGACATCTTTACCTCATCCATTTACCACCTCTTTAACACTGTCAGGATAACTGACAGAGATCTTTTACTTCTCATGATTACAGTGTTGACCTCACAGGCTCAGCTGAATACTTAAGTGTTGAAATCACAGCACTGAGGGGAAAAGGAAACTGCTCTGTGGTATGACCAATCAAAATTTTACATTCTTTTTGGAAATCATGTCCTCCACTGTTAAGAGCAGAGAGCTCACCCTGTCTAAAGCCAGACTCTGCATCCTCTGCTCTTAAGAGAATAAGGACCCTCTAATTTATCATCGTACAGTTCAAATCCAGCATCCCTGATGGTATGTGGATCATCAGAGTCCATGTCATGGGAATCTTCCACATCTGTGAAGGCTCCATTAAAACGGAACAATATCTACAGATTTAGGCCATCCATCCAGACAACGACTTTTTCAGGGAAGACCTTCATATTTCAGTGAGACAATGACAAACCACACTCTGATAAAAGGGATTACAACAGCATGGCTCTGTAGTAGAAGAGTCCTGCTGAGAGACTGGCCTGACTGGCCACCAATTTAAAACATTTGGAGCATCATGAAATGAAACAATCTGACAATATAGCCTGTACAAATGAGAAAATAATCAGAGCAACAAATCAACATAATCTTCTATTATATCATGTAATATTTAATATAGCCACTAACCCTGGCCTCAAATGTCAGTCTGTGTCACTGAACATGTGAGATAGTCATGCTAAGGTTTACAGCCCTCTGTGCATGATCACAAATGTGATAGTAGACTAAAGCATGCTAGTCTTAAGTTTGTAAAACTTGCAATGCAGCATGGGATTCAGCATTAATGAGCCTGTTACAGACACACCCAAGCCAGGAGAATGAGTCTGACTCTGCTGACCAACCCGGCAGATCTCAGTTTAATGAAAAAGTAGAATGTCTGTCAGTGTCAGTATGAAACGTTGCAAACAGCTGCTATCTGATCTGTACTACTGAATGACTGAAGTGCACATTTCAGTAGCATATTCTCTGGTGCTGTATTACAGGGGATCGCAAAGTGACTCCTGCACAGGTTCAGTCACAGTGAAAGTTATGCAAGTTAAAACTTTGGTCTCCAAGCACAAAGGGGCCATCAGCTGATAAGATGGAGAGTCTCTGTCTAACAAAGGTGTTATGAGCGTCTCTTCTGGACATTTCTACACCTCCCTTTGGTCAGGTCATGGAGACTGGTATTAGTGATGGGAATTACGGCTCTTTTTAGCGAGCCAGATAATTCGGCTCAGCTCACCGGCTCTTTCAGCTCCTAAACGGCTCTCCATTTTACCACTTATATATTTCCTAATTCAGCCAAATTTAGCATTGTTTGGCTTATGATATGTACGCATGTGTACACATGCCTCTTAAATAATTCTACATCCTTTGTACTGCAGTATTTACAAGTAAAAATTACATTTTCTAATATTAGTAAATTGCTGTAGCCAATGGTTACATTGCATTTACACACCTTTGTAACGCTCTAAAATCACCCAATGAAAGCGCTGACTTGCTTGTAGTACCACTCTGCTACACAAAACAGATAGAAATCCTGTCATTCTGCCTAGTAGTTTTTTTTCTACAGTCTGTGAGGGGAAAAAAGAGAGAGAGAGAAAAAAAAAAACAGCTCACAGATGGGAGCCGGCTCCCATCATTCACTCTTTGAACTGGTTCGTATGCGACTGACACATCATTAATTGATATACAGACTTAAATCAAAACTCTGGGAGGCTTTAACCTATCTGAAGACATCATTAAGGGGACATCACTAAAGCTGCCCCAGTTAAGGCTATCACAGATAGCCTGTTACAAAGACAGACAAGAAGTCACATAAAAAGTCATTTAACGACGGGGAGGAGATTTAAACCAGGGGTGAGGAAAAAAACTGAGGACAGAAAGCTTGTTTCACACTGCACTATAAGAACAAAGTTTAAATTGAGGAAAATAAACTGAATATTGAGGTGAGAAAGTTATAATTCATCCTTGAGAGAAAAATAAATACAGTAAAACAACAATACTTAGAGTCTGGTCTTTAAGTATTTTCTCCACCCCCCACCCCCCCCCCCCAACAGTGGGATCTGCAGCTGAACAACAATCATGTGGCGTGCCTGTTTTTGGAGGAAGCTGTCTTTGATCCTTCACTTTTCTGGTTTATTTTCATGTCATCAGCACTGTTTCTGTTTATTTAAGTGTTACATCTGTCAGAAAAAGGCTGCCCGGCACCAATCCAGCAATCTGCTGCAGAGACAGAGTTACACAGTGAGCACAGAGGAGCATTCAGCATTCAGCAGAGATGTTTTCCCCAAATCGAAAGCTTTAGAAATTACTAGAAGAAACGTAAAAAAAAACATTATCAATCACCTGCTGTTTTGCCTGCCTGCAAGATGTACAGTATATGTGTGTTTATGTGCTGCTAATCTCACAATAATTTCATGAAGATGAAATTTTTTTGCATGCTAGGATGGCAACTTGTGGCATCACCCACCCAGCAGAAAGGAAAAAATGACATTTCTCTAAAAATAATCATGAATGTAAAAATTAGCCTAGTTTAAATAAAGCTTAAAAGATGCATCCTACTTGTACCGGATTATTATTTTATTTTATGAGGGGAGTAAACTGTTTTTTTTTTTATCCTACTAAATTATCATGTTAACAGTTTGATGACCGATCATGTGGACTAACTTTTCCCCAATTCCTCCCTTCTTCTCTGTGTTTGTAAAGATGATGATGTTCTGATTACACAGTAAAATTAAAGACACAAGTGGTTATGAGTGAGCCCACCTTTGTGCACACATGTTGCTGCTGCAGATTGTGTAGCATAAAATATCACATTTTTGCCTGACTTAATGCAAGTGCAGAAGTAGTGAGTTTAGGGGCATGCCATGGCCAAATGAGCAGTCATTTACAGTAGAGACAGAGGTGGTCCCTTATGGTGCCTTCTTGCTTCTCTGCATGCTCAGGGCCTAACTAGACAATCAAACACAATGATTTTCTCTCTGCAGAAGTTAGATGCAAACGTGTCTTTATCCATCTCGGGGATGAGCACATTTTTTTGGGCTTACAGGAAAAATGACAAATTCCCCATGAATCTTGTACATGAGCTGATAAGTCTTGCACACAGCCCTCTCTTTCCAGATTTTGCATTGTAAATATTCTGCATCGTGTTTTTCAACAGTCTGAGGAGAGAAAAATAAAAGCACAAGAGGCTTTTTTTTCCCACATGGATGGTGTGACAGTATTTGTGAATCACCCAGGGATTTTCAGCAATGAATTTATTCATGAGATTCTGACTTTTGACATGCAACTAACCGAAGTCCAAGTGCACCAATGCTTGCAGAAGCTCCTGGGATGTTAGTAAATGTCACGGCTCTAGATTTTATTTAGATATTACTAATGATTTTTAAGATCTGCCTCTAAGGAGGTTTGTCCTCTCTGATCACGCAGCATGTCCAGGCATGCATAATGTTGCTGCTACACACCAGTAGTTTTTCCCTGTCTGGTGAACTGAGAGGACAGAGCAGCTTTGCAAGCAGATGGTAGTGCAAACTGATGAGACTTTAATAAGTTACATTAAAGTAAAAGAGCTGCCCTTCACTCCTCTGAGCCCTCCTCATGAAAGAGTTATTGACTCTCCATTAAACAGGAAGCACATTAAATTCATCATTTGATAATGAAACATCCTGAACAGGAGGAGCCGTCACCTTCGTCTTTCAGCTCCAGTTTAGGCTCTTTGGTTGCTGATAAACTCAGTCATCATCCTCACCCAGTTAAGTAGGCCGCTGATGAGAGAGCACACAAAGCCTCATTTAAAAGGCTCCATTGCAGCAGTGGGTGTTCAAGGCTCAGGCTCTGTTTGATTCTGTAGAGAGATACATCCAGACAGGTAGATTTGTTTCTTCTTCAGCCAGAAAACACCTTTGAAGTCCAGATGTGGGCTCAAACTCTTTCCTCTGAGCTCAGCTCAGTCACAGAGTAAAACACCTGTGGGCCTTCACTCACCATGTGTCTGGCATGGCCAAACAAATTCAATTATTTGATTTTTGGTAATGTTAGCAGCCTCTTGTGCTTTTGCAGCCGGTCTATAGTGGACACTTGAGGATCTGCAGTCTTTAGCTCATCAGCATCAGCATCAGCATCATTTCTGAATCCTGGAGGTTGCTGCTTGATTTGTTGAACAGTGATCATTAACATCCAAAACCACTTACATGTTAAAATGTAATTGTCAAAAAAATATGATGAGAGGATTTTTACCCTCCTACTCCCCCAAGTTTCCAGGACTTCCCTCATGCACCCTCTGAGGGTCAGGGCCCCCCGCTTAAAAAAACAAAAAAAAAAAAACACAGCTTTGATCTAACCTCAGGTACCAGAGAGCCACAGGAGAACTTTTTAGAATTTGATTTATTCCAGATGAGTTTTTGTTAATGGTCTCAGACCATCAGAAGCTCTCTCTACCTGTGCACATTTGCACTGTAGTTATTACATACAACAGATTGTGCGTCACATCAGCAGAGCTGGGTAGTCTGCACTGGGCTCAGTAGGAACCTGCAGGCACATTGTGTTGTACTGCTCCACTGTTGCCTATAAGGATCATTTGTATTTGATAACTTAATGTTACATCTAACAATGTTTGAACATGGTCTATTTCCATACATTAGCATTAACAAATTACATTAACTACATAAATGTGTTGATCAATGTAAGGGTTTAAAAAACAGAGGAGCCCAAAAAGTATTGACTATCCAGCAATGCTCATGTCAATCAAACCTGAAATGAAACACTGAAATGATCTGTTGTAATATTGTTCTCCCATCTTTTTTAAAAACATTTTTCAGTTGAGCGATAATCTATGCCCTCTTGTTCAGCACATACCAGTGTAAAAGCCCTGCAGAAGTGCCCTCTTGGAGACCTCTGCAGTCAATAAATCATCACAAATACCCCCACAGGTGCTCTTTATACACACAAATCCAAAAGACATGAAGGCACACCATTACCCAAGAGTACCAGTAGTGATATAACCACATTATTAATGTTTAGTGTTTTAGCAAAGTGGTTAAAGCTACAGTAGGCAAGGTCCTGGAAAAAACTTATCTTTTTCTGTGTTATAAATACAAAAAAGGTCATAGCACCATCAACAGCTATGAGGAATTGATATTAAATTAGATGATCACAAAATCTCTGTGTTTTGCTCTGCCTCTATACATAGCTGTTTAAAAACCTGTACTCCTCTCAGTAGCTCTGACCAATCAAAGCCGCCTTCAATCTCTCTGTCCTGATTAGTTGTAGGGCAGACTCTACTCCCTCGTGCTGATTTGTTGTGAGGCACAGTTCATGACTTAAGATAAATGTGTACAAGCAACCCAAAACAAAGTTAGTTTGCAACAATGTTGGACAGTTAAACCAGCAGTTTAACTGACAGTTACACATCTGACTCCTCCTTTGACCACTACTGCCTACACGAGCAAGGGTGCTTAAAAAAGGAGGTACAGCTGACAAGAGGAAAAAAAAAAGGTCAACATCTGTTTGGATATTATTTTTCCAATAAATTTTGTTTCTATGAAATCTTATTTATCATCTTTTATGCACCATTGCCCTTGCTGACTCTGCTGTGACTTAAGTTGTTTAGTGTTTGCTGATGTGATTGGTAATGAAACACATGTATAGCTTTTCTGGTTTATTAGATAAAAATGTTATATTAAATGTGTCAGTTTACTGGCTAATAACACCAAAGTAACACTCTGTTTTATTTGAGTTGGACTGCTCAGAGTGTAAAGAAGTGATTGACTGATATGAGCTGATACTGATGCCAATATTTAAAGAACTGGTATATTGTATCATGCCATTACTACCTTGTAATTATTTTTAATCAATTCATTTAAAATCTCTGATTCATGATGATAACACCCATTGTTTCATGCCCATCACAATCTAATATACATTTTTTCTTTGACTTTGAGTTAATCATGAAATAAACGAAAATATGTTGAGCATAATATGACAAATCAATGCTGGAAACAACATTCAACTATATAATTCAATGAATCAAAACAGAATTTGTCAAACCCTTGACAGTTACGGTTAGATTGGATTTGCTTCATTTAGCATGTTGTCCTTTAAAGGGATGTTGACCTTGCATGACAGTGGCCTGGCTGGGTGAATCACTGGGTGAATCACGCCGTTCCTTCACACAAGTATTTGTGAAGGAATGACAAGTGATTCACGCAACAGGATGGCCCAGCCAGGCTAGCATGACAGCAGCCACAGTGACAAACCTGCCAGCAGAGTCTGCAAACGTGATCTGTTTATTTTTTAAAATCAGCTTAATGAGTCCAGATATCGGCCAATATGACAATGTCACCAAGTTATTACTGTGCCCGATTAATGGGTCCATATTTGATGTTAAGATGTTTTTTTCACAATAGGCAAAGATTACATTATGATCATTATAATTACCACAACTGCAAACAAGCAAAATCATAATTGGTATTTATCCATGTGGCACTTTAATGTTGAAAGGATGTTCATAAGCTGTGAAAGTTGGACAGTTTCAGTCAGAATCAGTTTTGATCACAGAGCCGTGTAAAAGTCATTTCTATGCAAATTTGTAAAGACTCTTTATTATACATGTACCAAAACACTACAGTTTGGTTGAGTAATTTAAAGCTTTTCCTCATTTGTGAAGGAGACACTGATTGTTCAAAGACTAAAGCTTACTGTCCTGGAAAAAATGATATTTCACTTGAGAACCGAGTCAAAGTGAATGAGGAAAGCTGTAGAAGCCTAGAAAGTGATAAAAAACCCAATTATCTGTGAGACAATCCTTCTTTCACTTTATTTCTGTGCTCTACATATATCTTGAATTTAAGAAGGGTGTGTTACACATTTGATTAACAAATAAAAAAAATGCACTTTGATAAAGGCCAACATAATCTGGAAATCCCCAAACTAGCTTTTGGTAAATGCTGTGCCTTCATTTTGTAGATCAGTGCTAAATATACCATCGCAAAGTTATGACAGGTTAGACATGTGAATCATTCTTTTGTATTTTATGTTTATTTTATTGTGACCATGTTGAACATTTTCCACCTCTTTGTTTTTAAAGACCCACTCCAATGAAAATCATGTTTTACTTGCTGTCTACATGTCCATATGAGTATTTCTTCATTCAAATCACCGTGAATCTTTGGCTGACCCAAACAGCAGATTCAGACCCTGTGGGATTTTCTATGTCTCAACTCCAAGCTCCACTCACGGAGCCCCACTCTGCAGGCAAGACCCCAAGATGTAAAGAGGATGATGGTGGAACAAGCAAGTGCGTTAGCGAATTGCAATGCTTGTACGAAAGCTAATTATGGTACTAACTTTCATCATGACCCCAAAGACCTTAGTAATTGAGAGATGAATAGCTCCTTACCTGCTACTTCTGCTGCAGTGTTATGGTACATGTGTGTTAAGGAGGCTGCAATTCTTTACAAATCTGCTCAAAAATCACTTACAAATGGCTCTGATCCTACTCATGGGTTGATTCTGAGTGAACATGTCTGCCACAGAAAGCTGGAGAAAGACCTGCCAGGTGAGAGCGCTTAATGGGTGAGAAATCACAATTGAGTCAGAAGCACAAACACTGATAGTTGGTGCTTTTCGGCATAGAAAAGAAAGAATTAAACAAGTCACAGGGTCAGATGATTCTGCTGAATGATTGAATGAATGAATGAATGCTGCATATAAGGACATCAGAGGCGATCAATGCGGGTGATGAGTGACCCAGATCTGCAGCACATTGCAAATGAAAACATCAGATATTATGTCAATGAAAATCCTGGTGAAAAAGCATCTTTACGGCTCAAACAACAACAAAGAACTTTTTGTTCTGTTTTAAATTTACAGAAAAATCAGGCTTGTGAAACATAAACGAGAGGTTTTGGTTCTCACTACCTATTGCAACGCGCAACAGAGTTTTGACCTCTTATTAAGCTTTGTTAAGTTTAGAGAACGTTAAAACCATATGCAAAACAATGAAGAACGTTTTTTTTCTTTCACATAATTAATCAGTGTAAAAAAACAATAAACAATAAACTACAATGCAAAAAAAAAACAAAAAAAAACAAGGACGGCAAACAGGAAACACATTTTGCACGTCAATCATGTTGTAAAAGAGGACAGCACCGTAGGTGAAATAATAGCGTAGTATCCTCTTTTCCCAGGAACTGCAGGCCTCCTGTCTGAAAATCCGTGCTGGTATGTGTGAATAAACCCTATACTGAGGTATTTAATTTGTAAAACACCAGGATGGATAGTAAAGGATTTGATTTATGAGTACAAAACGCAGAGAACTGTCAGAAAATTGACGAGTTTACAAAAAGGTTGATCACAACTTTTATTTTGCCTCAGGAGACTCTTTTCCTCCCCTGTCCTAAAACAGAGGAAACTCCTGGTCCCAATTAACAACAAGGAGTTAAACAATAACAGGACAAGAAGATTAGCAGTGATAGGATGACCTTTTTTTGGTAACCTGTGCGCAGTCTTGACGTACGGTGTCGCGGTGGCACGCGCGTCATGGAAAGCTCAGCGCTTACCTGTTTCTGATGCAGTTCGCTTCTCCCACGCGGCTCATACATCACTTCAGCGTCCCCATGACCAGCGTCTCGGAATTGAACTCAAACTGGTTGCTGGAGGACGCGGACTTCCCCCAGGAGTAGAGACTGGGCGGCCGCTGCTTGAAGGACGAGGTGTACCTGTAGAAGCTCCGGTGCCTGTTCTTCAGGTACTCCCTGTAGTTCTTGGTGAGCAGTGTGTAGAGGAAAGGGTTAATGCAGCTGTTGCTGTAGGTGAGACTCGCCACCAGGTAGTTAATGCAGGTATGTGTCTGAGAGGCCAGGCTCAGGGGCTTGGTGTGATATAGGGGCAGCAGCTGCCAGATCCAGAAGGGCAGGAAACACGCCCAGAACACCAGCACAATGGTGAAAATCATGATTAAAACCTTCTGCTTTGGTGAGCGCTTATTCCCGCCTCTGCTGATCACAGAGTTCTGCTGGGACTCCAGATAAGTGCGGGCTAACTTCACGTAAAGGTAACCGATGATGAGCCCCGGTGCCATGATGCTGGTGCCGAACAGGACAGTCACGTAGACTTTGTAAGCCAGGGGCGCCCAGGTGGGAGCGCACATCCTCTTCACACCCCCATCAGGCGTGTTTTTAGTGGTCTGTGTGACCATGATCATCATGGGCAGAGTCAGGACCAGGGACAGCAGCCATACGCCCCACGCCAGACCTTTCCGGTAACTCTTGGAGCGTCTCACCGTGTCCAGCGGCTTGGTGACGGCCAAATAGCGCTCAGTGCACATGACGGTCAGAGTAAAGATGCTGGCGTGCATGGTAAGGAGGTCCAGGCTGAGCAAGATGCGGCAGCCCACATCTCCGAAGTACCAGTCCTTTAGAAAGTACGTGGACACCACAAAGGGGATGGTGGAGAGGTAGAGGAGGTCCGCCAGAGCCAGGTTAATGATGGAGATGTACATCGACGTGGCGAAGCGGATAGAGTGACACATAACCACCAGAGTGTACACGTTCCCAGACACTCCGATTATGTAAACAACCGAGAGCAGCGTCCCGAAAGTGGTGGTGATGACCAGTTCATGATCCACAACCCCGGACCCGCCGACCCGCGGCGGACTCGTGTTTAACTCGATGGAGTTGTTGTCCATCGTTTCCCAGGGTGATCCCGTCCCCAGATGTTTTGTGTTGTTTTGCTCTGCGCTGCAGAAGTTTGGAGAGATGCGCTCTGGCGCTCCGGTGCTGCTTCCGCTTCTCCGTTTACCGAATGATGATCTCCGCTCCTGACGTCACCACCGTCACTCTCACACTGGAGATCTCATACCACAAGACATTAAATAAAAAAAAATCTCACAGATCAAAGTGAGGTATACCCAATGTATCCACGCGTCCCACGGCGCAGCTGTAAACACCGCTTTGCTCCGTGAAGTGTGATCATGACGGAGTGTGGGAGAGAAAAGGAGACAGAACATGTACGGGGGAGCCTGTCAGTGAGAAATCACGATTTCAAATATTTTACCCTAACTTTGGCTGGTCCTGTGCAGTGGAGTAGGGGAGACTGGGGATGGTTGTAACACTTCAGCACCTGTAAGTTTTTGAGCACGAGTTTTAACAATTTGATCCAAAGTTCCCACATTTGTTTACTACATTAAAGGAATACATAAATAGATTAACTAACTAAATGTTAGTAACTAAGCTCTTTTATTGAATAATCAGATACTCTTTCTGTCTGTCCTTGAGGTAGATGCACAACAGAGCCAGTTTAATCCCGCTAAACATAATACTGTGCTAAAGCTGTGGATGAAGGACAACTTCCTGCAATTAAACAGTACAAAAACTGAAGCCTCTTTTATTGGCGCCCCACATCAGACCCGGGGAACCACCATGACCAGAATCACGCCACAACATCCATCTGTCATCATCTGTCACGAACCTCAGTGTAATAATGGACCCTCACCTAACTTTGGAACCCAATATAAAACAGCTCTGCAAAACCTCCTTCTACCATCTGTGAAACATTGCAAATCTCTCCTCCAGGCTGGGTTATTGCAATGTTTTAGTGAGGGCACTTGTTAAACTTTGATCCATCAGAAGGGCTTTTAGCCTTAATCTTATTAGAGGAGCATCCAAAGGATAAAATAAGGCTGGTACTTTACTACCCCTTGTTGGAAATGACATCTTTATGGCAGATAAAGTTACAGTCAGTTGGACCAGAAAACATCTAAGAATGATATTAAAGATGTTCAGACTTATAAAAGAGTTGGATAAAAACAAGACATGGAAATGTACAAAGAAAAAAACTCTAACCCTAATTATCAATAAGAAAATATATTTATATTAAAGGTATTAGTTTGTGCTGAAATGTGCTGAAATCAAAATATATCAAATAAAATATGAACAGTTAGTTGAAAACAAAACAACAAAAAGGGGCACTATTTCATCTGCAGGGTGCTTTGTCATGTTTCATTCTTAAAGGGACATTCCAGTGTAAATTTAAGTTATGGTCGAGCAAACCGTAACGCCAAATTAGACACCCCCTTGAGTGATGAGTGTTTTGACTGCTTGCTTCTCTACAAACCTCAATCAAAAAGCTACTTTATAGCCACAAATAATGGGGGAGCCCTGATGAGTCGATCACCGAGCGCGATATCTCAGCTCAAGGAAGAACATTTATGATCATTACTTAATGGAAATGCAATCAGAGTTCTTGTGTATTTTGTATGTGCACTGCAGACACGGTAGCTCTTCTGCCTTAGCATGTCGGTCCAACTGCAGAACTCTGCTGCACTCAGTGATTGACTCGTCAGAGCTCCCCCCACAAACATGCAGCTGCTGGAAGACAGTGGGTGAGTTGTGTTAAAGAATAAGAATAAGAATAACTTTATTAATCCCTGAGGGGAAATTCAAGGGAAATTTGGTGTCTTTGCTTAAAGGGGACCTGCCATCAAAATTTCATACCCATTTTTATCATTTTTTCATAATCCTTGATGTCCTCTGATCATGTTTGCAACATAATTTTAGCTGAAAAGTTATTTGATGGTTTGTTTTTAGTATGCCTAAAAAACCTTACAGGAAAACCAACTGGTTTTGGCTCATTAACATTTATGGTAATGAGCTTTGCTCTGATTGGATCGCTGCTGTGAAGCCTGCTGTGCTCTGATTGGCTCAGCAGTGGAAGTTCGGATTTCGGTATTTCCATTTTGCTAATGTGTGCTAAAGTAAGGTGCCCAGATGTCTGTAATGATATCCAGGGATATTCGGTGCGGCGGTGGCGGGTGCAGGGGCTGTGTGATCACAGACAACATCTCGGTACTATTTAGTAGCAGCGCATGCCCCATTGAAATAACCCCCTTAAAAACTGTTGTTCAGGACTGCTTACTTGTGCTTCCTACCCATTCGGCTACTGTAATAACCGTTGTTCGAGCCCACACGCAACATTTTTGCTCTCATTCATGAAACGCTTAAATCAGGGACATTTTCGGGGACAGCTTTTGCCGGGGACAGATCATCCAATACGGCGACTGTCCCCAGAAATCGGGGACGTCTGGTCAACTTATGCTAAAGGCTAAAAATGGCAGGTATTAAACCATATATTTTAGACCCCGAGTCCGAAGAGGAGGTGGAAGTTGAAGAAGAAGCCAGAGATCTCCAGCGGTGTTTTCTCATTCATTCTGCCCAGCTTTAAGTTCATTTTCCCGGCAGTGAACCCAAGGAAACACCGGTCGTTTAGAAGAGACCCATAGCAGATACAGTGGTAGCTGGGTCTCGCTCTGGCTGGAGAGTGATGTTGACTGTGAATGAGTACGAGAACGAGAGAGTGGGCGCGGCTCACCGAGGACGCGCTCGTGAATAATAATGAGCAAGGTCAGCGTGACGTCAGAAGGACCTGCTTTTTCAATTGGCCTGGTTTACCAGTTTCTTTTTTTTAAACATTTACAGAATGCAAACGACGTAACGGTTTGTTTTCACATTTACAACATAAGACGAGCATAATATGGACCTTATCTGACACAAAAAACACACAAAATTACATTTTTGATGGCAGGTCCCCTTTAAGAAACCAGGCAAAGTTAAAAAGACGTTTAATGGCTAGTACTGTGGCTGGGATCCCATATGTTCTGTTGATGAAGTTAGGTGCTGTTCTGAGCATTATTTGTGACTATAAAGTGGCTTTTTGGTTGAGGTTTGTTTATGGCTTCTCAGACTGCTGTGTATTGCTATCGTGTGGTCGTTACTGAAGTTGGTATAACTAGAGAAGCAAGCGGTCAGCAACATTCCTCTCTCGTGGGGGTGTCTAACTCTGTGTTACGGTGTGTTTGACCATGACTTAAATTTACGCTGGAATATCACTGTAAGAAGAGCAGCTGCTAAAGAAATGTTCACAGTCTTCATTAAAGGACACCAGAGAGGGAATCTTATAATGTTTTGTTTACATTAGGAGTCAAGAGGGCACTACCACGGCACATTTGTAGTGCCTTACTTTCTGTGTTTAATTTTCCTTTAAAGGCCACCTCAAAATTAATCCCCCCATTTCTTTTATTTGCACATAAAGTGGTTAATAGTGAGTTTAACCAGCACTCCTGTTTTCTCCCAGTCTCTCTCTATACCAGAGACAAATAACGTCCTCTCTGCTGCATATGCTGCACCTAACCATTATACTGACATTAATTAGTGGTTTATTGTGAGGAAGTTATTCAGAAGTTTCACCCACAATTATGATGATAATCATATGACCTGGACATTTCGAAATGTCAGCCCACAATTTTAATTTGAGCAGAAAAATATCAGTCTGGTGTTTCAGTCTATTGAAGCTGCATCTTCAGCTCTGAAGGTCAGCTGGAGATGAAAAGAGCTTCTCTGAGCTGCCAACACTGAAAACAATGAAGACATTTCTCCACATTTGCTCTCAAACTTTTAATAACATGCTTTTCATTTTTTATAGTCAATTTCTTCCATATTTAGAGCTGTATTTGTGTACTGTCCTGAAGATATGAAAATCACCTCCGTCCATCAATCTCTTCTCTGTCCATCTTTCTCTTTCTTCATCTCCCTCTATCAGTCTCTCCTCTGTCCATCTTTCTCTTTCTCCATCTCCCTCTCTCTCCTCTCTCAACCCAGCTCAGTCTCAGCAGATATCTGTCTAACATCAGTCTGGTTCTGCTCAAGGTTTCTGCCTGTTAAAGGAAGTTGTTCCTTGCCACTGTAATTTCATAAATGCTGTTTCACTCTTGTTTTTGAAGATGAGATAGGGGTGGGTTCCTCATTTTGCTACAGACAGCTGTCTGCTCACTGTAAACCAAAACTACCACTTTATCATCACTTTATTCTGAGAACATGAGGACTTCATTCTGTTAATATAATGAATTTATTGCCTTTCAATAATTCTGGTAATGTATGACATTAAATGTAACATTACACTTTGATTTAAATCGATCAATCCATTCTAATTTATGGCTCCCAATCACAACAGTCTTTATCCCAAGACACTTTCCAAGAGAGCAGGTCTAGACCATGCTCATTTCTTAAGACTTTATTTTCATGAGAGACATGAATACGACTGAAACTAGAGATATGTTTATGTTTGCAAACTGAGTTGTCCTTTATGAATTCTGTCTGGATGCACTTGATTTTCTTGCTCCTCCTCCTCTCTTTCTAAATCAATGAATTTGTCCTGATCTTCAGGACATTATTGGCTCAAGAGCCAATAATCTTTTGCAGACAGCAAAGGTGTCCACAGACTCAGACATGTCCGGTCGACTGCTCCTCGAGACCATCAGGATACTCTACCATCCTTAAATCTATAAATGGCTCAGAGCAGAGTCTGCCGGCGAGTTGCAGCTTGAACCTCAGCCCACGGGCAGAGCGGTATAAAAATGTGATAAGAGGAGCAGCTCGGGCAAAGAGGAGAAGTACTGTGGATAACACGAGAGTTTGTTTTTTTTTACCATCTTTCTCCCCCTCTCCCCCCTCCACACATGCTGTGTTACAATGTCATATAGTAAATGCTTTTAATCAAAACGACATACATTCAAGAACAACACAAGCAAAGATCTAGACAAGAGGAAGTCCGTTTGGACACAGGTACAGACAAGCAGAATTAAAGGCAATGCACAACAGAGAATAAGATCTTTTTTTCATCAATAAGGAACAAAAACAATGAAGCAACCAATCAATTATACACCTTTCATCATCACCAGCAATTAACTTGTCTTCAACACAAAAATACAAAAATACCAAGGTACCAAGTGCTGGGTCACTCAAGCATTGAACATAAAGGTTCACTTACACTCCTACACAGAGTCTCCTCCCAGAAACATGAATGAATCAGGTGCAGAAGGACATGATTTCCAGGATAGGAATTATTATCACTTCCCTGGTGCAGCGGGAAGATTACATGGACAGCTGTACTGTCTTTGTTCCAGTGTTGCTCAGCAGACAACAGGCAATCAGGAC